TTTTTCTCGAGAAGATGCACATGACTTAATGCTTGTAGTTCTCCCTGTTATTGTTCTGGATTGACTGGAAGCAAAGGTCTGTTTTCAAATACTTCTCTTGGTTGTACTGTATATTTAGAGAACAAATATAATTACTGAAATAATTCCCCTCATATTTTGAATCATCAAATAATGCTCAACTTGAAAATACTGTAACGCACCTGGAACATACAGTACAACACTCAAAGACAGGTCTAGGAGTAAGGAGTAACTTTTTACGGCTACTCCAGGGCAAACTGTAAAACGTTCTGTGTTATGGCCACATTTTGATTTCATATGATCAATGACAAGTCCAACTTTCTGAGCGTCCTTCAATAAATGAAAGGGTTGCACATCTTATGAGCTGATAAAAAAGTGTTGCTCATGGTGTCTTCAGGCTCCATCAGACATTCAGACAGAGTGCCTTTATTCATTTTACAGATTCAAAGTCAGGATATGGAAAATAACCAGAGTCAAAAGCTGAAGCTTGAGGAGTCGTCTTCCGCAGCCTGGTTTTGGGAAAGTGATGTGGAGGGGGAGTAGGTCACAATTTGTATTTTGCAGTCAACCATGCCAATATCCACAATGACCCCTCCTGCACCCCCCACCCACCGTCTCTGTGGTGTCCCCGATCTACCCTGTAGTCTGCACGTCTTTTGAGGAATAGTCTGCATTTGTACTCCCCAGCCTAAAAGTCTGTTCATACTAGTGGCAGTAAGACTGAAGGACAACAGGAACTGCAGGGAGAAACAGCTGCTGGCAGCACATGAAAGGACTGATTAATTTTGCACTGTCAGCTGCAGCTGCATGTTTAAATAATAGAGCTCTCTCTTTTTTGCTTCGATTGAGTCAGCTGGTGTTATAAGCCACACAAGGTTAATCATTTTATTAATGACTATTGGAAATAAAAGACAGCTTGGGATAATGTTTTTTTATTAAACAGAACATGGAATCAGGCTTATTATTTAAGTTTTGTTCAATTCAATTTCAATTCAATTCATTTTTATATAGCACCTTTCACACAAGTTGTGCACAAGTTTTCGCCGTAGATTTACAGCATGTTGGCACAGTCTTAACAAATGTTTGGTTCACTTCAGCGTATATAAAGGCAAAATCATAAAGTAGGTAAATAGTTTTTTGTATTGCACTTTGTACTACAAACTGGCGCATCTTACATGTGAAACTATTGTTGTTTCACTTGCTAAAATGAAGTCACATCCTTAAAACACCTGGGAGTGAACAGTATGCATAAGTACTGTACCTTACCACTGTAACATTTCAAATGAAAATCTGTTTAAAAAAATAAAGTACCCTCAAAAGAGAAAATTAGCAGTAGAGAACACAGGAGTTACATAATGCATTGTATTTCCTGCTGAATATTCTGCACTCTGTATCACACATGTTTTTCTTAGGTTGCTGCCAATAAATCTTCATCTCCTGAACTCAGCCTTTTGAGGAAAATGCTGACAGTGTTATTTGTTCAAACGGCTCTCTTTGTTTTCTTTAATCTCAGCTAAAGGTTCATGCGCAGGGAGCAGAGGTTAAAGGTAACCGGAAAAGCAAATTTTGCAGCGTTTGGAAAGATATGGAAATGTTTATGTTGGAAAAGGCGCCATGGTTTGATTAAACCGGTTTTGTTTTTTTGATCAATCCACTCCATCGCCCACTTAGATATACAGCAGTGTCAAAGAAATGTACTGTAGTGCCACACCTAAATAAGGCACAGTCATAAGAAACACAATAACATGCTGGACCATGGTTTGCCGCAGTAGTGTTATCTGGAACAAGTAGAAGGATAAAAACCAGCATGAGGAAGAGAAAGCGAGTAGGAATAATAGACTGCTGTCTTGACATTTTGACCATTGCTTTGATAATTCAGGAATCCTTAATTCTACTTTTATTCTCCTCGGGCTTGCAGGAAAATGGGTGAAGTGGCAGGGCATTTTGCTGTTTTCGCTTTTCACAAGCCACAAGCTGGCTTGCATTATTACATCGGAGCTTATAGTTCCCTCTGAGTTGTGTGCAGAATCATAAAATAATTAAAATGATATGTATATGGCCTCCAGATATCAGCTATATTCAGGAGTACAGTAAAAAGCCTGGCTTTGATGTGAGTATTGTAAACTGAACATGAATGATGAAATACTGTAAATGCTGCTTTGACAATTTTAGGGAAGTTATAGGAAGAACTGTTAGATAAGGGACTTTATGTTTTGTGCATCTTCTGCATAAATGCAGGACAATGTGAAAAAGTAAAGATTAGTGTCCCAGACTGCATTCAAAAAAAGATGAGGCTGTTTACGCTTAAGATTTCAAAGTGGTGTTCTTTCTGCACACAATAGTTTGAAGGTGAAAGCAGGCAGAGAAGCACTACCTAATAGGGCCACAAATTGCAGAAAACATACAGAACTCTAATATACCTTTCTCCCGCCCAAAGTGCACGGGGTTTCTCACAAACGACAGGAGTTTGTGAGAAACCTCTCTGACGTCATTACACAATTTTCAAAGCTAGTTGGAAATAAAAGTGCAGATAACTCTTTTGGCAAGCTAGCCAGCCTCTCCAGCGACTGGAACGCGCTCTAACTTGTAAACAGTATTATAGTAATTTATTGATGTGTGCTGATGGTTTGAACAGGTGGACTGAAACTGGTGCCCTAATGGGGGAGACTAGGAAGGACAGATTCCTGCTCCTCCAGCTACAACAAAAACAGACAGGGGAGCTTTTCGTTTACTGCCCATTTGTGTCAAATATTCTGAACTGAGTCTGTCATCTAAAGCAAAACACTTATTTGCAGTACTTGAAATCATTATATTAAAATATTAAAACTTAAAATACCAATGGGCTACAGTGCTTTGTTTTAATAGTACTACCAGTGTGACTTATTGCATTTTTAAATACGTATCCAAAAGGCCCAATTCTTAATCATTTGTGGTGGCAATAATGGACAGGAAGGTTTTCTGTTTTTCCTTAGTGTTGTAACATTATGAGTTACAACATTGTCACATTAGATTTTAGTTGTTTTTTATTAGATATATTGTCTTTGTGGCTGCAGATTAAAGGATTCCACACAACCACCCTCCTGCTATAGGGCATCTATTAAGTCTTTATGGTGTGGTTATTACAGGTGGGACCTAAAATATGTTCTGTTTTTAGGGTGTTGACCTAAGAAGACAGTTTTATATGCTGGTTCCCTCCCTGCTAGTTGTGCATTGTAAGCAAGAGTGAAGATAACTGACTGGAACGTCCCACACTATAACAGCAGTTGTGGACTCCCATGGTCCTACACTGCAGGGCAGTCTGTCTGTCTGTAATTTATGGAAATCTAAACCCAAAACCTTTGATGTCAGCAGTGAGATAAATGTCACCATTCCTAGCTGATAAGTATAGTGCAGCACAATGCTGAACACTGCTTCTCTGGTGGAATGTGCAGTAGCATATTCTTAAGTGGGAATCTCAGTTATTTATTGAATTCTAATTTGAGGTTTGCTGGAAAAATACCTGATCATTTGCATAATGTAGTCTCATCTCAAAAATTACGGAACAGAAAGGAAAAGAAGATACTGACGAAAAACTGCAAATTCATCTCTTTTTGCCTTTTACAGTTAATCGTTAATACGTTAACATTGTAGAATCGTTAATACTCTATCGCAATTTCCCCCCAATCTTCTAAGATCATGTTAAAAAGGTAAAAATAAATCCTATATGTTTAAAAGGTTAAAGTACATATTGAGTATGCTGTATGTGCCAAATTATTAATTTAAATATAAAGTTTACTAGGAGACTAACGAACTGCCTTTTAGTTACTGAACATTGGCATGGCTTACTGAGTTATAAAACGCTTTGCAGTTAAATGACAAAAGACCTGATCTGACATGTGCTTCGTCAAGCAAATCTCTGGCTCCACTGCAGGGCTAGACAGAGGGATTGAACATTAAACCCAACTGAATTACAAAAGGAATATTGTTCTCACGTTTCTGCTTAGTTCAGCGAAAGAACTTTCAGCTCCAGTGAATAAAAGACCCATGAAAAAGTAACATGCATCGTATCTTAAATTATATTTACTAATGAAAATAAAAGTCACTAGCCGAAAACCTGCTCTCACATTAGGTTTAAAAGCAGAAACTGTATTAAACGCTATCTGAATATTGCATACAGTACATGCAACAAGATGTACTGTATAACAACAAAAGACAAGAGTAAGACTCAAGCAATTACAACTGTGACAGCATTTTGAAAATATAAATCCCATTATTATTATTGAAGCAGTGATTGTGCTTTTTGTAATTTAATAAAGTAGTAGCACTCTGTACGTTGCAAGTACTTTTGGCAGTCCACCCATTTTAAAACAACACTCTCTTAAAAAAAGAGTAACTGCACCTTTATCCTATGGAAGGATTTAACATAAAAAATAGACAACAAGGGTATTCTTAAAAGCCACCTGCTATATCTGAACTTGTGATTACAGAAACCTTGGATTAGCAGCATTATTTTGTCCTTGCCGTTGACTGTTAATGTGAATGCTGGGTGTTCCTGTCAAAAATTAAGGAAAACCATTTGTCCTCACACAGACTTTCACAGTTGCTGCCGATTCCATTAGTGAAAACTTCACTACTGCTTTCCTTAATGCCTGACTACAAGCTGTCCGAATTCCAGTTTCTGGTTGCAAAGAAGCACGATGAAAAGGTGGTTTCCTAGGCATCAGAGCAGAAACAGTTTATAGATCTGGATATCAATGAAAAATGGATGCAGACAGAAAATAGGAACTTTGGGCTGACAGACATTTATCACACCTCAAATGCATCTATAATAATGTTGCTCTCAGAGTGTTTTGGCCACTTAAGCAGTAGAATATAACTTCCAAAAGCCACGACATTCACAATAATTGGGTATTTTTGTACTGTTTTTTTCTGGGTCAGAATGTGTCATTCCCTGTTGTGCAGAATCTTTTAAACAGTCAGTTTTTCTTGCCTTTTATCCCCAGTTGCCTTACCTGCTGCTGAACTCCTCTGGGACGGAGATGAAATCGAGGATGTACCCAGTGTTCTTTGGGGAGAGCATTGAGGTCTGCCCAAAGCCGAAGCGTGAAGTCAGGTGAGAGAATTTTAGATATATATCTTTCCAAAAGAAGCATGGAATTGTGCATTGCATTTGTAAGACTCGTTTAAAAAGTGAATGCATATTTTGTTAATTGTCATTCAGTGATTTTCTAGCATTTCACCAATATTGTGAGATTCAAAATATTAGCAATAATTCCACTTTACGTGTGATGAAAGTGTACATTTGTCCAAACCTCTATTCCTATATAGAACTTTAGTATCTGATGAATTACTTGTGTTCTTTAAAAGTTTTCATTTAGTCTCAGAAGGATTAAGTACTGTAGATACTGACCAGCAATTAAACACATACTGTACATTAAGAGATTTGATCAGTGGAAGTATTTGCTTTTGAATAATTAAATAACCTAGCCATAAAGCATTAAATTATGGCATTTTCCCACCATGTACAATGGCTGACTTGATCATTTTATGAAGTAGGTTTATACAGTACAGTACATAGCATAAATAGGGCTCAGTGGTTTTCAGAAATTCAGTTGGGTACAGTGCCATCTAGTGACAATATCTGTAATTATTATTCCCTTTGTCCAATTTTTGTTGGAAAAAGCTTAGACCTTGAATTTCAGTTTTTTTGGGATGAAAACAGCTCAGATTAAAGAATCTTTTCAGAGTGGGTTATACTTTTATCGACCATATTTCATTTAAGCTCTGCTAGACTTATTAATTCGATTCAGATCAATAACAAAACTAATCACTTTCTTTAATCACCAAATGCTCAGAGAGTGGTTCTTAGCAGGAACTTGCATGAAAACAGAAAAAAGGAAAAGTGGAGCTAATTAAACAGGTTTTGGTTCAAATTCGGCAGCCAGAATCCTGACCAGGTCCCATGCAAGTGATCACTTTACTCCTGTCCTGGAGTCCATGCATTGGCTTCCTATCAGGTTTTGTGTTGACTTCAAAATCCTCAAGCTCACCTATAAGTCCCTTCATTGCTGGGATGCTCTGACACTCTATGGGCAACAGGGCCTTCTCTTGCTACACCCCAGAGCTCTGGATTTCTTTCCCCAAGGATATCAAAGAGTCATGTTTCCTGAGCGCATATCCAGACTCAAAACCTACTTCTTCAGAAAGTCTTTTACTTAATTAGTTCCTTGTCTGCTCCTTGCACCTTAATCTGCATTCTAAGCCCTTGTTTTTAATTGTGCTAATTTTACCTCTTCTTCTACCTAACTTCTATATAGAATATATCCAATATAACAAATATATAAAATAATGTATTATATAAAATAATATACAATTAATATATAATTTACTATCATTATATAATTAAAAGCAAACAAAGGTGTAAAAGCAGGAACAAGGGTGAGGCAAAAGTTTTCATTTACCTGCCTTATTTCTTTTTTGTGCTGGAAATGACAGGTGCAACTCAGAGGTGAAGTATGACTCGGACAAACACTACAGGGACAATGTGTACTGCGCCCCAGTTCCCACCGTAACCTCCTACAGCGAGACCGTCATAGCGGCCCCTAACTGCACGTGGCGGAACTACAAGACGGAACTGCAGTTCGAGCCCCGGCAGAAACCTCTGCGGTTCCAAAGCACGACCATCATCTTCCCCAAGCACGCCAAGAACATTTACAGGACCACCCTCAACTACAACGGCTCCAGCGCCGACAGGTGGTTTGTCTCCCGCGTTCAGCTGGAATCCAGCGAGGATGCCAGCCCCTGTATAATCTACACCGAGAACCTCTGAGTTCCCCACCGCCACCTCCTTGTGTAGATTGGCAACACGCTTCAGTGAGCGAGAAGAGGAAAGAGAGAGAGAGACACTTGACATGCTGCGGTAGAGGGCTCTTTGCTATCGGTGAATAGGTACTTGAAAACTCAATGGCAGGACATGAAAGTTCCGAATGAGTGCCTGTGTGTCTGCGTCTGTCTCTGCATGTGTTGCCACAAACAGGAATCTGAAATTATATAGCTTTCTTTTTCCTTCAAATTATTGCTTAAGTCCAGGTGGTATAGGGAAACACTCTTTTGTGGTTTTTTGCCTTTGCTGCAATTCTGTTTGCTGCTGATTTCTGCAGTACGGCTCTCCTTTCGCTTGTAGAAGCTTCTGAGTTTGACCAGATCTGGAGATGCTTTTCCTTCATTCCTACAGCAGGGCACTTCTGCTCTGGCGGTCAGTGGCCCATGTGTGGCATTCTTTAGCTGGACAGCGTGATAAAAGCAAGCGAGGGATCTCCCACATGAACCTTGAGACAGGGGGACTCAGGATTTGGCCCCTGCGCCAAAACAACTGGAAAACATGTATTTAACAGAAAGAATCAGGAGGGATCTCTGCTTTCATTTTCAACTTTAAAAAAGTGATTAAACTGCAGAAAAAATATTAAAAATGGATATGGAAAGAATAAAAAAATTGGAAACTACTGGGACAGTAGAAACCATGGGATTAGTGTGTAATTTTGTCAGCAGTTATGTCCCATGTTAGTAAAGGTTTTTGATATATTATTGTAATTAATATTTTAAATGTTTTCAGCCACATGAAAACTGCATATCAGCTACAGAAAAATAGTTGTTACATGTCAGAACTGTCGGAACTCCATTGGCGAAAAACTCAAAATGCCAGGATATAACCTTAAATATTTACATTCTGAGATGATTTTATCCTATTTAGCATTGCTGATCGCCAGAAAGTATATTTAGAGTTTCTGAAAGAAAACCAACTTTAGCAATTTTATATCTGTTTAAATAAACAAAGAGAGATATGCCAGAATCAAGACTAGGCAATGAAAATGTGTTTCCTGAACAGCTTTTGTATGTTCTAGGAAAAAGGTGAGTGTTCAGTTAACATAAAGGAGGCATCACTAACACAAAAATCTGTAGTTTTATTTAAACTATTACGTTAACATCTGTTGCAGATAAAAGGTCACTATACATTATTCTGTGAACATACTGCCTAGAAAATGTCATATACTGCATAAAGAATTCAAAGGAGAATGTATTTATGAAGATTAATAAGGTCAGACAAGTATGTGCTACAACTGATTATTGCTGTGCAGTATGTAATATGATAATTAGTCATAAAATACAGTTTAATGCTTTGATTATATTTCTTTAAAATGTTTTAAGACATATACACATTCTTCTGACAAAGAGAATTTGAAGTATCTATCACTTTTAAGGCAGGACCAAGTATTTAATAATGCAATAAAATCCATTAACTCATTTTGTGCTTCTGTCACACTGTACTGTACATGCATTAGTCTGTGCAGTGTGATCAGGTGAACATAGTCTTATTAGTCTGATTGTGTCTGAATATTTGTCATGTTCTATTTCATCATAATTGAAACACTTCATAATCACATCATAAATTATTCTTCTGAATAATTATGGAAAAATTTTGCAAAGACTAATATTATACTCTTCAAAGTTTTTCAACTTTTTTTCTTTTAAAAAGACCTTGTCTATTAAGAAATGGGTTAGCACTATTAGAAAACTATGTGGTAGGGCACAGCTCACACCTCAGTTATAAAGAGCTTTTGACTGGGTTTTGCTTCATTTACCTTCTGCAAGTTCTTTGTAGTCCTTTTTATGTAGAACTAGCTGTTGTATCACAGCTAAAAGACTAGTGTAAAACCAAAAAGCGTGGTTAAAGGGTATTTATAGTGAAATTAGAACTCTTTTTCTATAAATCTGTCATTACAAAAAATATAAATTGGCCAACACTAAAACACACAGCCATAATTTACTTTTCCCTCATTGCTGAGTGCTTGGACACACAGGTACAGTGTTTGTACAGAAAGTGCTGTTTTCCACCCCTAATTCAGATGGGCTTCTACAGGGGCTGAACTACTCTTCATTCAGCAGGAATTGTGACCGACCTTTTGATGTTGTTGTTGTTTTAATCGCACCAATGGCACCAGGGCCAGAGTTTGGTGTGTTAGGAGGCCGAGTCACACAATTTGGTTTTTGTGGGACAGAAAATAAAACAGATAGGAAATCCCTTTAGCGAGCCCCTGCTTTGAGATTTTACAAGCCTGGTACACTGGCTTGGCCCAAGAAGTGGGGCATGAAGCAGGAACTACAACAAATAATAAATCTGATTTTTACAACATGTCAACAGTGTTTATAAATACTGCAGAAGAATTTTAAACTAAACAAAACAGTGCAGCAGCACTGCCTGTCCTGCCCAGATTCATGTTCCTACTTGAATCTAAGGAGTCTCAGATATAACAGTTATAATTAGTTATTTCAAGTTAAAAGTTGTTTAGTAGAGTTCACCGTTAGGGTCTTCCTTACAAGAAAATCTATCAACTAACTTACCAATTATTTCTTATTTCACTCAGTTGCTCACAAGCCACAGAAACTTCCTACGTAACATACAGTACTGTGACATAGAGCTCACCTCTCAACACAAGATTGTTATAGATAAATACAGACTAATTTCAAAGGCGACTGGAGTCAAGAGGCAGTGTAAAGCAGAAGAAATCAAGAGTAATTGTTGTAATTTTTCCTTTTTGTTTGCTGTGCAAGCTGGGACATCTTTCAGACATAAAGCTTACCTAGGAATGATAACTGGTCTTGCTAGGTAACCAGACCAAAAGAGTTTTTAAATTAACAGGGCAGATCTGTACAAGATGTTGTTCCTCTTGGGATAATTTTAAATAACTTTCCTCATTGTCTCTGGTGCAGCAACTGGGAGTAGGGATGAGGTCCTGCGATTCAGGTTGGAAACTGAACTGGAAAGAAATGTGGCAGAATGTCTATAACACATCCTCTTTATGTAGGTGGGTCAGGCTTAAGTCCCAGCAGCTACTGTAAGATATTTTAATAAATATGTAAGAAACTTACTTTATAGCAGAAGGAGGTGCAGCTAGAGAGATTCCAAAAGCAGTCTTTTTGCTGCAGGTTCAAGAACTGCAACCATCTAGTGCCAGGAGGACAGGGGAGCACACATTCACAAGCAATTTGTTTAAAAAAAGCCCTTTTTTACATTATAGAATGACTGGTGCCAGTTTTATTCGAGCTGAACTCTTGCCAGGTTTCACATTTCATGGTCCACTAATGTTTTCTTGTTTGTAAGAAACTTTGTAGTACTTTTTTTCAGCCAATATTAAAAAATACATTGCCAAGTGAAATTCTCCTAAACTGTCAAATCCAACTGGCTTCATCCCCATTATCATAACCTATCAATTAACCTCTGGCCTGCTAGCAATAAAGTAACACCCTCCTCCTACAGCAGTCATATCGCTGCTGTAGCTTCACTGCAACGTGGCTAAAATATAATGGGAAAAAACAACAACTTTCCGAACAGTACAAATTTAGGATGAATGACGCTAATTACCATGAAGAACGATGTATTCAGGGACTGCATGAATCGTTTGGTGTATAGCACAGTCTATAAATCAGCCTTCTTGATTTTCAGAAAGTCATAGGTGCTTTACACGTCTGAAATGCCTTCATCGCAGTCTTAGGGAAAATTAAGATCTCTACAGGCCATGCTGTGGACATGACTGTTAACACCCACTATGGCCTGGGTTAGAATTATGACCCATCAACGGCAAATTCCAACCCCAGTACTTGATGGTGGCTTTCCATTGGAGAAACCCATGACTTCACTATACAGTCCCAACATTTATAATTGGGTTAGGAATTTGGCAATGGCTCAGCTTTACTTCTAGGCTCACGTCAGCCTTAGTATATTTCAAGACTAATCTAATAATTATGCTTTTTATAAATATAGTACTGTAATTACTATGTATTTAGAAACACTTCAACATGGAGCAAAACTTTCACAGATCACAAATTATGCGACTGAATGCAGCAGGTAATGAAGTATTTGGTATCTGAACTTCTTTCCTTTATTTTCCTCAATTGATTAAGATTGAAGTTCTATATACATTTGCATTAACTCAATAATATGTACAGTACACATATATATAGTATATTGCCTGCCATACTGTATATAAAGACAAGACAAAATCCTAAATTGTGAACCTGGCACTGGATTAAAATGCATGAATGGTTTTAACTAACATGGTTTATGTTTATGCTTATGCTGTACAGTAAGAAGCTGAACATGCCCTGGGAATTACTAAAAAATAATATATATTCTGGTAAAGATGGACGTACTCTAATGATGTAAGTGTAAAAAAAGGGTCTTCTCATTTTCATTTCCAAATAAGTAAAAAAGTCGTCGGCTATTAAAACCGACAGTAAAACACTTTTTTATACTTCTACTAAGCAGAAATGTGGTTTCACAAGGATGTTTGTCGTATTAGTAGTTTAGAGTGATTTAAGGGAGGATGCAGATTTTAAAGACTAAAGCTCTGTACCTTGTATCAAAGCCATAATTACAGCCTTAACATTGTTGGGAAACAATTTTCTTATGATGAAGACATTTTACGAGTGCTGCAATAATGATAAACGTTTAGCTGTTGCATATGGTGAGAGATTAATGGGGATCTTTAGCATGAACTGATTAAAGCAATCATTAGAAATCTGATGTTATGGGTTATATTGTTACATCCATTAGCAACAAGCAAGAGCAATGTGGCTGTGTAACTCTTTAAACATCTTGCAATCTTGTAATGCAAGATTTTCAAGATATTTATTTTAAACTTTAAAAACTTCTTGGACTCCAGAGAAACCCTTTGAAAATGACAAGATAGTTTACTGATCATTTGTATTGTACCTATTCTTACTGTACACTGTAAGTGGTCATTCAATAAAACGGTATTGGACATCCCAGAAGAAGAGATACTGGTCTCACTTCTGGGGTTCTCTCTGGATACAAATTCAGGATTTTTTCTGAATGTCTTTTACCTTCAGAAAAATTGAATTTCACTGTGCCCAGACCTGTGCTTTTCCAATGGCTGAGGAAGTTACTGATGGTTTGCGTAGAGTTGAAAACAGGGATAGAGGAAGAGACGGATGAGGTTCTAAGACTCTTAAGGCGTAAAATTGTACTAGATTTTATTAATGGATTTTGATTTTTTTTCTTAACATCTTGACATTTTATGTGCTTGTTAAATACTTTTCATGTTGTATATGTGGCAATAAGGCACTTCATAATTTCCTTTATATTTTTGTATCTTTCCCCAAATATGCTCTTTTTCAATGATGGATAAGAAGATAATTTAAAGAGACAAATGTGTATCATAATAAAACTTTATAAAAACCCCATGCCATGTGCTTTCAATCTGTTTTCCCCTACATGTCATATTAATTAGCTCTGTCAATGTGTTATAGTATATACTGTATAATCTGATTCTTTATGGCAGAATAATGAGGAAAATAAAGAGGAATAAAGAGGAGATACTAAATTGGTAATTTGTGGCTATTTACCAGTGTTGATGCAAAATCACTACTGTACGTACCAACGCATCAAAAAACTGAAGTGTGCATTTTCACCTTAACAAAAATGCCAGTACTACACTTATTTTTAAATGTTACTCATAAAAGGTGCTCCGATATTTCAGTGTAAAAGCAGAAATTCACAGCAGTGCTTAAGTCTTCAATCATAGGAAAATGGAAAGGAATAAAAAACTCATCACAACACCACAATCATTCATCAGAATGCACTATTTTCTTTCAAAGCTCATTACCAAGAAAAGGCATTTAATTTGTCGTGCTCAGAAAGAAGGAAATTCTCCAGACATCCATGGGACTCGTGGAAAAGGTCATACAATTAATGTGGCCAGCTAATAAAACTGAAAAATCGGCCCTAACACTTCAGAAACAGTCCCTTTGAAGTGAGTATCGTGATCTCCAGCTCTACACTGGAGTCAGATCCCTTTCTCATTAGAGTACCAGCAGCATCAGACTTCACTCTTTAAATCTGTCACCATAGCCCACAAAGACTTCATCCGTTCTTTTCACATGCATATTTATTTTAAGGTGGAGACTTCTTATTTTTTCCTGCGATGCTCTTGAGAAGGAGGTCACTTAGTGTATCTATGCAGCAGGAGAAAAGTCCTTAACGTACTGAAAAATGCACATTATTTTGAGAATTATTTTGCAAAACTGAAAGCTTTAATGTTTTGCGTATAAAACAGAAAAGCAAGAACCATTCAACAGTCCTTCCTCTACATGTAACTGTATTGCAGACAGATATTATCAGTTGGGACATTATTAAGCAGAGTGTCAGAAAGCAGACAAAAATGCACGCTTCATCTGTCTACATGTATAAAAGAACCATATTTCTAAAACTTTTCAAAGAAAAATGCCCACCGATTCAACAATATTCTAGCTGGATGTTTAAAGGAATCATATAACATCCCCTTGTAAAAAGTCAATGGAAAAAAGTCCTTCAGCCTTTGACCCTTCAGGCCAATGTGCAAACCTTCCATCAGTAGCTCTGAGGGTATGTCTATGAATTTACTTGAACTCCTTGACTACTTCAGATGTACAGTGGAACAACTAACACAATACAGTTTTCACACTTACAGTTAAAAAACAGTTACAAGCAAGTTGAATATTAGCAATTACAGTAATCCTATATACCAATTTACATAGATGTTCCTAGTGATGAACAGAAAGTCACATATCTTAAAATAACATGACCTGAAGAGGGCTCCACAGCCAAAAGGTTGTATTTATTTTCTTCTCTTTCCAGCATGGAATAAACCTTTACTTGTTCTCTTAAAATAATGCCAAGAACCTTTGAATATCACCTTTGGAGTGGTATCAGGTTCACCCAGAACACACAGCAGAAAGCCCTCCAAGCCAGACAAAGTCCTGGGCTATTCTGGGTAGAAGACTCCGAAGGAAAAGTTCCTGACAGTAGTTTAAGCAAAATGGAGCCTAATCTTAACAAGATCACATTTGCTTAAATGCTGTGGGACACCATGACGGGAACAATACTGTACATATACTGTATGTACAGTACGTTTATACGAGTGAACTCACATATCATGTACTGTATGATGTAATATCAGTCACTTCTTACTCTGGGATGAGAGCTTCAATGAAATCTGATGCACCTGGAAGAAGATGAAGGATTTAGGAAAATCAGAGATTACAGCATAACAGTGACCAGAACACAAGGTGCAGCAGGTGATGGCATTTTGCCACCCGCAGGACCTGATGCAGATGCTCATACAAAGGGATGATGTTTGAAAGGCTGGTGGAAACTATGCTGAGAAATTCTGCTGTGAGAAAATGGCAGAGATGTGTTTCAAGAAGTTTGTGAGAAGGGAGTAAGGTTGATAGCTGTTTGACTACAGGGAATCTCTCCCTTCTGTGTCCAGATGTTGCGATTTTTTAGGTCATTCCCAAACAAAAGGCACTCCAGGGTTTCATTCCACTACACATCACAGCAAATAAAAAATGATCATTACACAACACCTTAAAATAGTCTTTTACAGTCTTGTAGAAGGAACCGGTCCCTGACAGCTTAATGTCCCCAGTTACATGGATATTGTCACAAAAACACATCGCCTCCAGTGTTCACAAGCACTACTTCCACTTTAGGTAAACTGTACGTACATGTGTAGCAGCGCATGTAAATACAGTACATTATAAATGGCCGTGTCAAAATTTAACAAGAAGCAAATGCTGTTGACTTTTTTCATATTTAAGGACAGGAAATGTGTTTCACTTGAGAAATTTTAGTTGGCTGCATGTTATACAGCACAGACCCAAATAAAATCTTAGGGAAGAGGTGGCTTTCGTGAAATGGAAAATGACTGAAACAACATGCAGAAGGAAGTCATTCTTCTCTCTACACTCTACACTCTGAGACTTCGCAGCATTTATTGTACTTTATTTAGAAACTAATTAAGCCAACTGAAGATAGTAAGCTCATAATAATGGCCAATATTCTGCACTTTGCACTTCCAAAGTTACATCGTAAAACATCTGGTCAATACTGTTGTCAAGACACTATAAGCTGTTGTATTAGGCTTTCCTGGCTCAATTCCAAATCAGGTTTCCACAATCAAACCTAAACATGCATACTGCCATTTACTTAATCACTTCTTTACATTAATGGTTGAGTGTTGCGCTTTCACAGCAAAATGGTTACTATAAAACAAGACAGAGCATCCGAAACCATTGGAAAAGGACCTGAATTGCCACCTTACCCTTTGTAAACATTCTATTGTAAAATGCTTTGGTATCCCTTGAAAAGTAAAAAAGACATACTAATTCAAAAGGCTTGTTTCAAATATTTCTAAGATCTGGACTGTTGCTGTATTTTATTTTGTATTTACATGATTTACATCAGAGTGTAAGCTGATACAGTTTTTTAAAATGAAAACATAAGAAAATGCTAAATTGCTTTGAATTGCTTGTGCTATAACCCACTAGAAGAGATGGGGGGGAGGGGTGGAAGGTGTCTGACTGAGATTTTAGCATGCGTCTGTTTTTATTAATTTATTTCAGTGTTCTAATATGTAATATATATCTCCACATACTTTATCAATCAAGTAATACACCAAGAGTAATAATGAAGTAGCTACATTGCCAGAGACTAAAACTCCTTCTGCTAGCAACAGGTATTGCAAATGTAGATGAAAGTAAAGCCCTTGTGATAAACAAGCCATCCAATTCCAGCAGTGCAGAACTTTTGAAAAGGAATATTTCTCACTTAAAAGAAAGGAGAGGCACACTACTTTTCAAGACAATAAGAAAGAAGTGCATGCAAATGAAAAATCAACATGTTACCCCAAGTCTCTGGTGCCACAGACAGAATGACCTCAGTTTCAACCCATTCAGTGAAGAACAGGAAAAAGATCCTTCTGTTCTCTGGGGCTGCATGAGATTATAATTCACTTTGTCTTTCAACAGTGAGCAATATCAAACCCTTGAATATTTATTTTACCATTATTCATCCATTCACCATTTTCTAACCTCTTTATCTTGTACAGGATCACTGGGGAAGCCAGTCTGTTCTGGCAAGCAATGGGGTCCAGGGTAGGATACACTCTGGACGAGTTGCCAGTCCACAAACACACACACCATGGCCAATTAACCTGCCAGAATGTGTTCGGACCACGGACCCAGAACTTGGGGAAATCACTCCGACTCTAAACAACACTTACCATTATTCATACTTATTATCCATTATTCTGTTCTGCAGTAACCCTGATGGAGTGGCGCAGGAATGAGGGAGGAGGGACTGAATGATGATTAAAATCAAGATCTAGAGGTTTTGAGTAGAACTATTTTGAGTATTAATATTTTCTCAAGAACACTTCTTTAGAACATGCATACTGTCACACTAAGTAAATAAACTGAAAATGTCAGCATGTTTGGGATAGGGAAAAGATAAAAAAAATGATTTGGGAAAATATTTTTTAAAAAGAACAATTTGTGTGATTTACATCGAATTACATTACTATTGCTGCCTTCATCTCAAAATTCACATGTGAAAAATACAATAACTGCAGTCTGTTTCAACATTTACTAGAAAACAAATGATTTTGAAAACAAAATGCAACTGTCTTCTGTGAGCGTAAAGGCAGAAACCGATATTATATGTAATGAATATACACTTTTATTGTTCTCTTAAGCATGGGTCAGGAATGAACCAAGGCTCACATAAATAACCTAAAAATATCACATTTATGTAATGTAATGTAAATGATCACTGTCTTCAAAGTCTGCAATAAGCTGAGGGAGTATTTCATTCTAGCTTCCATTTAAAGGTAAATAATGTGGTCCTGATTCTTCTTTACACAAGTAATACATTTTTAACATGAGGCACTAAACAAACACTGCTGAATTTTAAAATATGAGATACATCTAATGTGTTCTGTGGGTTCTGATGCATGTAAGCTTATATCACTGACTGCTTTTATTGGTAACTTAACCCAACCAATATAGAAAGGCTATGCAAGGGACTTCAGAATAAAGATTTATTGCTCTGAAGCATTCAGTAGCCCCATATACCAAATGCAGCAATGTTTTTTTGATAGTCTAGCAGTTTATCAACTTCACAAGTTCTGGAGCTACAGCACTTAAAGGCCCTCAAGGAGTGTACTGGATCTTCAGTATACACAACCAGAAAAGTGTAAGCTTTAATGTAACATTATGTGATAATAATAACAACAACAGAATACATAAATCTCAGACTTGCAAACCAGCAAAGGTAACAAACTGCTCTTCTTTTGATTTTTTTAAATAAAAAAAACATCACATTGTTTTATGAAAATTGCATGTAACTCAGATCAGAAACGCATTCTATGAAATTTAAGAGCTTTTTCTCTTTACATACTGTATACTGTGCTCTCTGACAAATGGGTACTGATAAATGGTCTATTCAGTAAATGTAACCACAATAACACCTCATGTTCTGTATTGCGAGTGTATTATTTCATATATCACAATATGGACACTTTCGCAATTTAAAAGCATTTATAATCTAAAGGGTGGCAGTGGCCTTTATGCCAGGCTGGTTTCTGAAGAGGTAAGATCATACCATTATAGGCTGTCAGTTAAGAAGGTTTGAAGTGTGTGCACCGCCTAAAAGCGCAAATGCTGGACTCAAAGCAGTCATACTGCATCCTGAGGAACCATGAGGTACGTGCTGGGACGGACGGACAGACAGACAGTGGGCGACAGATGTCTGAGAGAAGTGCTTCAGTTCAGCTCAGATGGAAATCCTGGACCCTGCCTGATGCACATTCTTCACCAAAAAAAAAACAGCTATCCACTTCCCACACTGCTCGCTGTAAACACCAGCCAGCCTGGCCACCTACACGAAACACAATCCCTTTTATAGGTCAGAGAACGAGCACTGACGACCTGTTTAATATCTGTGTGGTGTCTGGGAGAGAGGCTTAGCTTTGGCTGCTTAAAACTAGACTTTTCCTGCCCTGACAATGAATTCAGGACACTAGATTCTCTTGCTTGTTTTTTAAACAAAGGAAATACGCCCACCTCAGAAAGGCTAGCACACAATCACATATCTTCCTGCTCTGGGAATTCATTTAGGACACTAGCCACTCGTGTTTGTTTGTTTTTTAAACAAAGGAAATACGCCCCTCCCCAATAAAATGTTGTAATACACAATAGAAGCAGAATGAAAGGCGCTGCACACTGGCTTCGTGAAACCAAGACTGAAATTAATTATCATTACTTAAGTGAAAGGTCTTTGAGCGAGCTTTGAAAATGTCTCCAGTTGCACTGTCTAAACTAGGATATGAGCACCTACATAGACGTTGTGTTGGACATGAAGGACAGGAAAGGACAAGGTTCTTCTTCCCATTGTATGAAGACGGGTCTTTGCCAAAATCCGGGCTTAGGCCTGAATAAACACGTCTCAGAGAAGATGGACCACTCTATAATCAGATACTAAATTATAATTCAAATTTTGAACATCCTACTTAGAGCATAAAGGCAGTTATCCACGTGGATCTTTACTTCCAAACTGCACTTACAGGACACCCCAAACGCAACCGCATAAAACAACATATTGTGTACACCCACCAATATGAAGCACCCACAGAAACACATGAAAAACTGTCTTATCTATGGCAATATCACACATTGATGTTCAGAAGTGTTAGCATTCACAGAAAACAGCGGTAAACAATTTTTCTAACGCCTTACCTGGAACGGAGCTTCCTTTCAGTCGTGGTAGCATCCGGTGAAATGAAAATCAACCTTCAGCTGCGCATTTTGTGTTTTTTTTTCCCTTGGCAAGAACAGACTGATCAAATTTTGAAATAAACGTTTGCCGTTCGACTCGGTGTCGTTTTGCATTAATAGGTGGTTCGGTTCGCAACTTATGCAAGAAACTAGTACACCTGAAATGTAGATTATACACCTGTTGTTTTCCCTACTGTATGTAGTAACGAGGTTTTGAATTTTCCTTTTAAAGGTCACGAAGTTTGGAATTTAGTAAGATACAGCAAATGAGCCATAAGAGCAGAGTTAATCCTGGGTCTTTTTGGGTTTGATGTGAAAAAGTTAACGGCGCAGTTGCAAACCGGTTGGAGGGAGTTTAAAAACCAATCTTTTTGTATCTGTTAAATCCTCCAGTGTCCTTCTCCGAAGACTGCTTTCTGGATTCATTTTCCTCGTTAATAATTATAAATATCCCTAATCACATTATTCCCCATTGTACGCCGCTGAAATGGCAATTACGTACAGTATATTTAACAAGAGCACGTAAGTTGAAGGATTTTCTGGTTCAGCTGCTTACTAGAGTCTGGGTTATTGGGACTTTTTTCAGTAAAGTAGCTTGATAGAGTATGTTCCGTACCTCTTGTTTTCCCTTGTGCTCATGTGTTGATTTTGTTAAAACTAAGGATTTTAAATATTGCATTGATAAAGTTCCACCCGACTCCGTGATTGGATTAAAAAGTTTTACAGGGCACAACAGATTTTTCTTTTAAATGATTGTCAAATACTTTGATATAAAACATACAAGTTTCGTTTGTTGCGTCGTTTGGGCTCATTTTCCCCAACCGCTAGAGGCCACTACTGCTTTATGCCAACTTTGGCCTTACCTTCGCAGGTGAGACAAGAATCGTCACAAAATGCCGGCATGCGAGCCCAGAGAAAACCTGTTTTTTTTTCCTAAGTAAATGATATGAAATATAAATGCATCTCGTGAATTTGTTACTTTGGTGAACGCCTTTGAGGGAAACGGTCCAATACACATCTTGGGCATTTCAGATGGTGGAAACGCAGTTGAAACTTCATCGCACAGTAACCCGTTATAATGAAACAGGACTGCCCTGATGCCGTGAGAGGCGACTTTCTTTAGTCGCGACTAGAGGTGACATTTTAGATGTGAATTACAGAAGTAATTAAAAACATGACATATTATATGCCGGATAGGAACCCAAAAGTTAAAAACACATGTGCCTATGGAATTTATCGATGTGTTTAACCTGTTCACTCAGATTTCTGCCTTAGAAACATGAAGGTCTCCTCTAAACAAGTCAAAGTAAAGACTGACTTCTGAAACCTTAGATTTTTTTATAACAAAAAGCAAAAAAAAGAACAGTTTAGATAAAATAATGTAAATCATGAAAATAGTTGTTTCAGCTCAAAAAGAATGAGATATTTATGGTTTAATCGGGAAAACAAATTGCTTATCCCTGTGATTCTTACTTCTCCCAACTTATACTACAAACCTCCCCAGATAAGGTCAAACATTTTAACAGCAAAACTGCTACAGAAACATTGGCAAATTATTACAGCCTGATCTTGACACTGCAGATTGTGAAGACATTTTTAAGGGTTTTAGATGAGTTAATCCAGAATAAATAGTGACCCCTAGTGGAGTTTAAGGGTAATAGCCTTTTTCGACCTCGATTTATCTGCCCTCTTAACGAGAAGACGTAGTAAACACCCCTCATTTTTCACTCAGATTTACATTGATCGCAGTTGACAAGTGTACAAGTTCGGATTTTTTTTCCCTTGATAACAGCAATGCTCTTCCATTGTGTTGGCGCCTGATCCTTGTTCTTCCATTTATGCGTCTTCTCTTGTACATTTGCCTCTGCCTCTCTCGAACTGCGCTTATCTTCAAAGATCAATGTCGTTAAAACCTGGAGTGACCTTGGTAAATGAAATTAAACTGATTTCATAGGTGTCCTTCTAATGTGACTGCACCATTTTCAAATGAAAAGCCAGGAATCCACTACACACTAGCATGTGTATGCTAACTGAAATTCTGCCAGTGTTAGCTATTTTGTCTAGAATCTGGACAACACCAAAAAGAGCATCTTTAATGGCAATAAGCTTTTTTATTTAAACATTTAAGGCAGTGTTTTTACACTGCTATCCACAATGCTTGCTGGTGGGCATATTGAATAAAACAAGTGAACAAAATCTTCTTCTGTAGAAGAAACCAATCTTGCAGCAAGCAACATAAATATTTACATCTCTTCAGTTCTATATACAAACCTTTCTATTATACACAGGGTTCGAAAAAAAATCATTATGCACAATATGGTTGTACAAAATATACGTTTTTTTCTTCCCATTGTACATTTGTGACAAGATTGGCCTTTCTTGTTCCTTTTTAATTACAAAAGAAATAACACTAACATCCTTTGTTGCTTTCAGAGTAAAAACGTTCTCCTGATTGCACAGTCAACTGATATCAGAGCAGGTAGCACAAAAAAGACACATTCCGCCAAAGAAATGAACAACAATAACAAAAAGCAGACATTGTAAAAAGAACAAAGTTTCTTTTTTGTAAGTGTTAAAATTTGAATAGTCCTGATTTGTAAGTCTCATTCCTGGCTATTTTCAGTTTTAGACTAAAACTCCACAGTTGTTAGTACTGTGGTTCAGAGTTCTAAACCAACAGGCACAGGTGTATTAAGACAAAAAGGGTATTGTACAGCAATATGAAGGGAACAGTATAAAGAGTAAGTACAATACCATAGGAGGATTTTTGTTTCAAACATTATCTTTCCAGAACTACAATAATGAGCTTCTGTTCCAATCATAGTTTTTTTTTTACTGACCCTTTCTTGACTGAGAAACCAGAAACCAGAAGACAATATAAACAGGTCTGAGTTGCTGATACTCTTGGCATGACTTCACCTGGATTTTGGGCAACTATTTTGTGGTGGCTGTTATAGAAGCTCACCTTGTCAGGTGCAAAGGAATTTGCAAAGAACTTGTTTTCCTGATTCTTCACCCTAGCACTCCCTCCACTCTGCAGAAATAGTTGGGCTCCAGATGTTCCCCCCACCTTTGAACCAGAAGGGGGCAAAGATCTGATCTAATCCAAAGCAAGAACAAATACTCTCTGAATTACACTAAATGTGTGTTAATGCAAAATCAGCAGCATAGGACCAAAAGACTGGAGCTGCCTTACTGGAAATCAACAGAAATGACACTTTCACAAGTAACATTTGATACCACACTGTAACACTGAGTTGTGCATTCTTCAATCTGTAGTGGTGTAGTAGCCCGTCTTCCTTCCCTCCTACAATAGGGATAAAATCACTGGATAAAGAATGCACAAATCAAATATTTCCACTAACAGAAGCGTGGGTAAACAGCTTAATTCGGACAAGTCATGTTCGAATTCAGCAGCCTTTGCTGTGATTAAGTGCAATGAGAAAAAGGAAATTAAACCCACAAAGGGCTGCGTTAGACATCATTAGTACAGCTCGCCTTCTACATGTCCTAATTACTACAGTATCAAGATGGATTTTAAAACACAAAACCCCCATAAACTATGTATTTTTCCCAAGTGTATAGATAATGGTTTGCCACAGGGGGGAGTGAGGACAAAGTAATGAGCTGGTAGTTTAGTAAAGGCTAGTAATCTCTTCTTGTGCCTTTCCCTGTACACACACACACACAGAAACCACTCCATGTGTAAAACCGTTTTTTTTTAAGTCTGTTTCGATAAAGCATTTAAGAAAGGAAGTGTAAACAGCACATTGGTATATGGACTTTATCCCTGTAATATTGAGTATATTTTAACTTGCAAAAATCTTTAGATCAGCCCAGCATGGTTTTGAACTTGGCGACATCACATACAACAGGATTTGCATGAAACAGTGTTGATGCTTTTGTCTCTGCTTACAAAAAGGCTAGAAGAAGGATCCTGGGTGGTGTCTGATACCGAAACATTTAAAGATGGAAAAGTGTTGTTATCATTCCTTTCCAGTTGATTTTTTGCAGTTCCAGCTATGAAGATGATCAGATCCTTTCACAAAGAGGGATGATCATGTATATCAAACATGTACAACTTGGCAGCTCAAACACTTGTGCGTAGTCACTTGGTAACACCAGTTCTGTCTACTAAAGAAATGGCACTTTAACACTAGAAATACTTAACTGTACAAAAAAAAAACGTACTCCACCCAACACGGAGAACAGGTTCTGTCTGTAACAACTAAATACAAATGATTAAGACTGGAAAAAAAGGACCCTTGGGCAGCTATTCTGACTGACAAGATGCTACAACCATGAGGTCTGTGTTTAACATGCATGTATCCAGCAGTTGGGAGTTGGGAGAGCCTGCAAGGTTAGGCACAGCCTTAGCAATGTCAGTAACTTGGCAATAAGTGTTATCGTTTGAGTGCATTCACCATGTTCTTAACCAGTTACCTTATACTTGATCATTTTTAGAGTTTTTGCACATCCATTGCAGCATCATATCACTGGATATTATGAGAAATGCTTATGCAACCAAGATGCAGACACTTTTCATCTACTGCCAACACAGTGTGATCTCCCACTGGATTTATGCTTTGCTGAAGTGCAGTCTTGAGTAAATCAGAGATATACCAAAGGAAGTCCTCTGTTGCTCTACAGTATTCTAAATCTCTGTATGTACTCCAACAGCGCTAGACAGATGTGGACATGTTGCAGAAAAATGGAGGGTGTACAAGGCAAGACCCCCATCTCTCAAACTAAGAATATCACCGTCAGTAAAAGACCACAGTGGGCTCTGATGGCAGCAAAATCCGATAATGCTATAACTGTCCGATATGCTGTAACGGCTATAAGGCGCAAAATGTCAGGATGTGAACTAGAAATCCGGTTCCATCAAAGTGGTAATATGAGAGGTCATTTCCAAAGTGGTTACATGACCATATACATTTCCGAAACAATATACAGTAACTCTTACAAAATTTGCAATATATACACACCTGTATGAGCAAACCTAAACTGGGATGTAGAAATGTTTCTAAACCGTTAAACCGGAAGTAGCTGACATGAGCTTCTGTTAACTGCTGATCAAAACAACTTATGAGCAGCATACTGTATGTCTTCATCTTCAGATGGCATCATAACACAAAGTCCCAGAAATCTGTGCCAGTATGAATCCAAAACTCAGTAACTCTAAGCCCAAATGTATTTTTACCTGACTAATCTGGACTTTCACAAAACAATGAATAAAGATTTATGACAAAGTGACTGATATCCAAAACAGCTTCAATACTGTCAATATCATACATTTTTATAATAGTAGTAATTAAAAGGAAACAAGCTGATAGAAAATTGCTTCCTGGTTGTTAATCCACACCAAACAGGTTTCTCCAACTACATCTTTCTACTTCAGGTATAAGAAAAACATTTTAAAATATGGCTCCATCCATCCTAAGACAAAAAACCTCTCAAGACATGACAACACCAAGGGTGTATATCACATTTACCCTGTGGACCAAGAACATGGATCTTAAAATAATATTGCCACTAGAAAAAAACCCTATCCTTTTCAAGAGAAGCTCACTGCTGAGGGACATCTCAGTTCTAAAAATGGACTGCGTTGGTTTGAAGTATCAGTTAAAACAAGCAAGGGAAGAGGAAAAATGAAGAAACAAGCTGCCCCTTTGGTAAATCAGTTCCAAAGCCAGTATACAAACAATGAAAACAGAGCAAACAATGGGTACATTCAGTTATGGTGCATATACAATGAACTCTTCCCAGAATCACTCTTTGCCACTCCATAGACATGTCCCTGGGCACACACGTCTAAACAGACAGACAATGGATCCTGAAAGGTCTACAAGGACACAAGGACACTTCTGCCTGTAGAGGAGAATGATGCCATGAAGGGTTATTTCAAATTGTACTTGGCCCTGGTGCACTTGTTCCATTTCGATCCATTTCGTTTGTTTATGGGATAAGGCCAGAACATTGTTTCAGTGAGAAGACCACTATGTGTGTGTAAATGTATATATATAAAATATTTCCTTTTTTTCCCCCAAGGTGTTTGTAAACCAGTCTTAAATGAGCAACCTTCACATTCAGTTAACCTGATCATTCAAAAACAAAATTACAAAAACAAAACCAAAATACATCTGATTAAGACTATTTGAACAAAAAGGAAACAAAATAAATCACTATGTTCTGACGGCTTCAGTTGTTTTTCCCTATGTTCCTCAGACCCTGCTCAGCTCATTCATTAGCACTTTTGAAGACCTTAATCCTGCCCATCCAGCAGTCTGACAGGACGTTTCTCTTCCAGGATCTCTACAAGCTCAGCAGTACTGTACGGTTCTTCCCTGTCACAGTCTGTACAAGGGCTGGTCTAGCTGAGCTCACTGGACTATCAGGAAAGTCTTCACACCCATGACGTGGACTGGGGCTTTGTTACTGTATGACAAGAACCTTTGCATACTGTTACTTTGTTACTGGCATTTGACTAGGAGTCTTGGCAGTCCTTTTCAAGGTCAGAGAGAGAGCAAAGTAAAAAAACTGTCAACGAATGTTTTCTTCCCCCATTATAAGGCTGTCAAGAAAACAAAACACAAAACTGGATACTCCCCAGAAGAAGCCAGGGTGTAAGCCAGGGGATAACCAGCAGCAATCCTGAAAAAAGAAAACTGGTAAATATGCCGTGGCGCAGGTCGAAGGTCATCTTCCGCCACGCCAGGACTCCATGAGTGTTCAGCAGCCTGGGAGGAGGGGAGGCTGTTTGAACAATTCAGCAGCAGAGATGGGGTGGTTGGTAGGGGGCGATGGTTCTCCAGCGTGCTCTCTCTCTCTCGCTCCCAGCTCACTCGCTGTCTGACAGCGTCTCGTACTGGGAGCACAGCAGCGGCTTAGACTCCTCTTCCCAGGCTCGGCTCTGAGCGCCGGGCGCCCCCTGCTGCATGGAGGACGGGGCGGGGACCAGGCCTGAGGGGTAGCGCATCGTCAGTGGGTTGCAGGGGAAAGGAGTCGAACCTGTACGTGACCGAAAACAAAAAACAAACACACGTGTGAAATAAAGCAGACGCACAGATTGGCGCAGTCTAAGCAGTTAGGTGGAGAGAAGAAAAAGAAAACTTTCACGCTCGGCGTACCTGTGGACGAGGGCCTGTCCTCCCAGACGCGGTTGGTCAGCGGGGTGCGCCGGTTACAGTCACCATCCGAATGGACCGACGACACGGAGGAGGGCCTCTCTCCTCCTGCTTGGCCCGGCCCCGGGGACTTCGCTTTGCGCCCGTGCGATCTCCCACTGCCTTTGGGCTTTCCACTACCTGCCAGCACAAGACGCGTTTGCCTTTTAGATTTAACATTTGCCACGGCTTCTGCTGCGCTCATTTCCCTCAACGGTCTGAAGCCATGACATGACAGGACAGGACATATTTCGACATGCACTGCGGAGCTGGGCCATCCTAAAGTTATGCCTCCCCTAAGCTTCTGAGCAACGCTTCAGTGCGGGGGGGGGGGAAAAGACTATAAACGTGCAAAACTAAAGCAAGACCAGTTACGCACACTCAAAACAGACACTGACCTCTGTCAAGCTAACAAACAGATCCTAGCTTGTTTTAATATGGTATGAGTCTAAAAAAAGATATCTGGGAAGGCTGTGGAAAAAAATATTTAAACTGAACTTACTCAGAAGTAAAGTTTGATCTTGAAACCTCCAAGATAGACAAAACGTGTGGCAGTGTTTTGGCTTTCTCAGCCTTTGCACCAGTGTTCCTAGCCCTGTACTCTGCCATGCTAAGGCGAGGGACGCTACTATGCAATAAGTTTATAAGCTGTAGTAGCTGAGCGAACGACGGCATTACTGTTTAAGGGTGGTAGCAGCAGATGTAGACATTAAGAAAAAAAAAAAGAAGATTATCATTATTAAAATAAAATGAAGCTTGAAGCCTTTTTTGCGGGAGTTTTAAAGGAAAGAAGGTTGTATGGGGGTAGGATGGGATTGGGTGGGGGGTGGGTAGGATGGGGTGGGGAGGGCAAGAAGCAAAAACAAATGAACAAAAGACTACCAAAAGACAAAAACGTGAGTAGTCCGGAAAGGGGAATGCAGACCTGCCAAAGAATAAGTGTCCTCAGTCCGTCCGTCAGCAGGAGCAATGGGGATAGCAGTAGCCACGCTTGCACTGGCAGCCAGAGGGTTAATAGCATTGGCACTGAGAGATGAGCGTTCTTCCCCCTGGTCATCATATTTACCCATTAGGGCCTTCCTAATAATTGCTTCCAAGCCTATGTTGTTACCGGAAGTTTCTGGAGTGGTGTGGCTTCTAGTACTGATCGGCCCTGGGAGGGGGGAGGAGGGGTTGGTGAGGAATAGGGTACCAACAGGAAACGGGAAAAGTTATCGAGTGAGGTGAGGTGAGGTAGGGGGACAGGAGAAGAAATAAAAGAATGAGAGAGAGATACAGAGAGAGAGGGAGAGAGAGAGAGAGAGAGAGAAGGGAAGAACAAAACTGTCAGCACATTCTTAGCCAGCAAAAAAACTTTTGTCACATCTGTTGTCAGTGCAAGTGAGTGGGTTAGGTTTCCTAGAAAGCCCATGGAGATGATATCACTTTACACCTCACCCGCCCTTCGGTACCAGACAGGAAAAGTAAGAAACGAAGCAAACAAAAAGGGGTGGGGGGGAATTTTTAACACATTTGGTCCTGTACGTGTATGCATGCCTTTGTGTTGAAAATACACAGCAGCCAAAAGCACAGCTCGGCAAGGTTATTTCACTACAGAAGCTATAATGCAAGTAGCGCAGCTTAAAAACAAACAAGAAAATGCTGACAGAAACCAATGAACCCGTTTCCTAAATAAGGTACTACCAATTGTACAATTACATTGGAATCCCCCCATAAAAAGTGCAATCTGAAAGGTGGAAACTCCGAAATCTTCTTTACATTCTTGTCCCTGGCTTACATTTCAAAAATTAAATCACAATGCCCACGTTATAACGTATCAGCTTCAAAACATTCCACTAGAAACTGGCATGCAGAAGCTGTTAAAGAACGGTGCTGTTCGAGTGTTTCTCAGTCTCTGTTCTGAACGGAAGAGAGGCGATGGATTTCCAGCACACTGCATGAGCTCTCAGGCTGAGGTACACAAGGCAGTGCTGTTGCAAACGAAGTCCAGATGGTTTCTGAAGCGGGCAAAGGGAAGCCATCTGGCGCAAGGCAACAGCATACCGAGTTATAAATTACTGGCTTTTAAATATGTCCATAGATGCTCAAAAAATGTCAAACAGACATCACGCTCGATTGAAAATTAATACCCATTAAGCGATAATTTTGTATCGCATGCTTGCAAGAACGTCCTGCAATTTATCTGTGCTCACTACAGCTGTGTCCCCTGGAATAGCATGGTGTCCAAAATAGCTTCAGAACTAGACGTTGTTAGGGCCTCCTCGCCTTAAATGCATCACATAGAGCAAGCTGTTTCTTATCATTTTGGGTCCCCAATATGGGTGCAGATTTTATTTAGTTCTGGTTCTTGTGACATTAATTATCTAGTGGTCTTAACTCTTAGTGGACTCTAGGAAGTTTAGTTTTGCCCTTATCTGGACTAAAAATGTAACTGCGTGCATCCCAGAAATGGCCATTTTCAAGTTATGTATGAATATGTATACGTGATAAAGCCTGGCAGTTTGAGAACTGAACACAATTCAGAATTATTTGTCTAATTAGCAATGTAATAGCTAAATCTGGGTTTCAATTTAGGTAAATCAAGTTCTGCAGAAACAAGAGTCATAAGGACCTACTTTGGGAAGCGCTAATGTTTCAGAAATGAGGACAATGATTAAATTGTTCCAATTTAACTTGTCTTCACGGGTGTATGCAACTGTATTATAGGCTGTGGATGAATTTTAGAAACCCAAAAACCTGGATTTGGAGATGGGGTTTTTATAAAGTACAGTGAAACACACTGGACAGATCTGCAACCAAAAAGCATGCTGATTTTCTGTGCCCATCCCAGCCTTTCTGCTGGCCATCACATCACAGATCCATGGATTTGGAGTACATAACTCCTTACTGCCCTCATGCAAAGAGGAAGGGACACTTGTTTCACGAAATGCAGCACCTCTGTCTAGATGCATCTATTCTAAACCATAAATGAAAAGGAGAAAGGGATTAAGCTAAGGAGTACTGCCGAAATAACAGAATCTCACAATTAGTTGAAGGAAACGGCTGATACCCAGTGACATCACTTGGACTCACCCCCCCCAATGGCTCAAAATGTCTAAGGAGGCAGATGGACCAGCCCAAGCAAAAAGCTGAAAATCAAGTGGTGGTGTAATTGCACCTGGCTGAAACTTTTAACAATCTGTAAAGAGCTAACTTTATACATGCAAGCAATACAGTACATGTGGGCGGAGCCTCCTACAGACCAGCCATAACAATATTAATAACAACAAAATTGCTTTGCTGCTTGAGCTGAGGTAATGAGCTGTATTGACAATCCGAAGGGGTCTTGGCTGTGCACAGCCTGGGACTTGCAAGAGTAGCTTGGCACTGCAAGTACAGCAGTAGCATATGGCAAAGCCACAGAATCAGTAGAATCTATAGGAAATCCCAGTCTTACTAGATACCATCCAGACTGATGCTTCAGTGAAAAACAGCAAACCCTGCATCTGATTGGTGGGACCAAGAGCTGCCCGCATATAGCCAGCAGCTCTAGAACCTTGCAGCTCACAGCTGGCAGCCCACTGGAGCTCAGCAGGTGAGAGCCTGGCCAGTGCCTGGATGGGAGACCTCCTGGGAAAGCTAAGGCTGCTGCTGGAAGAGGTGCTGCTGCCCCCAGAAGGGGTGCTCACCCTGCAGTCTGTTGGGTCTTAATGCCCCAGTATAGTGATGATATACTATACTGAAAAAAGGTGCGGTCCTTCGGATGAGACATAAAACCAAGCCTCCGTGGTCATTAAAAATCCCAGGGAGTTTCTTGAAAAGAGTAACCCAGGTGTCTGGGCCAAATTTCCCATTGGCCTTTACCAATAACGGCCTCCTAATAATCTCAATCTATGAACTGGCCTAATCACTCTGTTCTCCTCCCCACTGAGAGCTGTGTGGGGAGCTTTCTCGCGTGGGGAGTGGCTAGCTCAGACACACCCAGCTTATCTGAAGGACCGACCCTCAGAACCACTCAGACTCAGCAGATCGGCTGCAGGCTGATTTGGCTGGTGACCAGACTCTCCAGCAATGGCAGATCCATCAATCGGAGCACCTGCCCCCAAGTTGTGACTTGTTCCAAACGACACTACCGGTCAGTTACAGCTTTGTTAGGAGGAGATGATTGTGCTGTCAAAAAGGACACTACTGCAGGTTTACCTGCAGTCGTGGAAGCCGGCATGTTGAATATTTCAGTCCCTGGTTGTCCTGGGTCTGCAACGAGAAGAATGAAAGATGTTTTCTTAATCAAGTCAAACCTTTTTGAAGGGTAAAGGTCTTGGATCACATGGACACTCCCAACATTGTTGCTCCACCATTGAATTAACAGAGCTGCGCCGAGGGACTCACTGAAGTCAGGCTCGCTCCCACTGACGGTCATCTTCTTGATCATCTCCTGCTTCTTGGACTTGACAATGGCGGAGTTGCTCTCCGTCAGCTTGCTGAAGAAGGCCGGGGGCTGGGAGTTGCTGGGGGACAACCGGGAGTTCGCCCTGCAAGATGGGGACAGCCCAAGCGTGAACCACCTACCCACACGCAGGTGAGGAGTGGCGGCCCGAGGAGAGAGGGCAGCTGGCCTTACCCCTGATCGGCCTGCTCTGCGGGGAAGGTCGCTCCATGTGACGCTGGCTCAGATATGCCCCCTGCTGGAGACACCGGCTCAATACCATCTCCAGACAGGCACATCTGAGATGCTTTGTTCTGCTGTGGAGACCTAAACACAAAACGCAATGCGCTTGTCTTTTTCTTCCTTCTCATTCGTCCACACAAACCGTCAAGTTTCCCCATCTTTCAGACAGACCATCAAATTTCCCCATCTTGAAGATATTTCATTGCCAGCAATTACTGCTGCACGCTGTATTGTTGTGCATTTGATTAAAAAAAACTTTGATTGATTGACTGACTGACATATCCACCCAGATTAGTGAACACCAGAGGAGAACGGGACAGAGATCAAGCACATTGTTCCTTGCCATACAGGTCAAACTACAAAGAAGCAACTCATCCCTAGATGATAACTAAACTTTCGCATTGTCAATTCAACAAAGAGGGAGTTCCATTATTTCTACAAAGTCTTCTTCAGCCCATGAGCAATATAAAACAAAGCAAAATGCTGTCCTCCCTGATCAGGGTTACACACATGGCCATGGGCAATCCGTGGGGACAGTATGATTTGAGGCGACCAGAACTTGGGGAGTCCCGCTAATTCATATTTCAGAGTAGGCAGCTCTCATTCCAGCACGGAATGGGCGAAAGGCTGAAAGACAGACATACCTATCTCGGCCCCTGTCTCCAGCAGCCCCCTCAGGAGTGTAGCGAGCGCTGGGGTTGGAGTCTTGAGGCTGCATTTGCGGTTGGGAGTGTGGGTTGCTGGGGGGGCGGGTCAGGTCCAATACTGAGGAGCTCTGGTAGGGGTAGCCCTGCTGCTGGGGCTGGGAGTTGAGCTGGTACTGCCGTGTGTAATCTTTCGTGATCACTTCCTGTTACGACAGGAAAAAGAGAAAGTCCAGATCTACGGTGACACACCTAATAATTTGGTAATACGCAAACTCATCAATGCAAACAATGCTATTTACAGATCCTTGGTAATTAATCAGTCACAGGAGCTTGTAATGCAATAAGTAACCTTAATTATTACTTTGATGTCAAATTAAATATCAGCAAAACCTCTCCTCCAACATGACCCATCTAAAACTAAGAGGTATACAGGAGGAAACAATGCAAAGCTAAGACTTGACTTCAGGAAATGACAATTCAGCAATCGGTAATGAATAAGCTCCTTAACTACTGCTCCATCTTGCCTTAATAAAGCATCTGGGTTTTGGTAGGAAACTCAATTAATACAGGTCAGTTCCTACCAGGATACTGACACACTGTTAATTGATTACAGGAAATAAAGACTTCACAAATGGAATTTGCATCCCAAAAGTTGTGTGCAGGTGTGTGTGACCCTCACCCACCAAAGAGTACTTTCTCCCAGAACACATAACCCAATAAATGCTATTCCAACACTGATGCCTCCTAATGTACTGTTTTTTCCTACCAGCTCAGGGGACACTTACGCTGATGTGCTGTGCCAAAGTGACAACTCTCTGATTGCCTTTGTAGGGCTGGGAAGAGTGACTTGGGGACTGGCCACCTTCGGGTGCCTGCCGTAAATGAGGGTGGTGTGGTTCTTGAGAGGACAGCTTCTGTTGAGCTGGAGGACGGAAACAAAAACGCAGAGAAAAACGAGTTTGGTCACTGCAATCCGCCAGTTCTCAGACTAGGCAACACTAAGCTGAGAGTGCTGAGCAAGTTCGCTGATCTAGGGGTCACATCATGGATAACAACTGGACTCCGAGATATCAGTGCCTGACCTATGAGGAGGTCCACTCATTTTAGTCTGAACATGATCTTTGGTAAGAACGTCAAACCCCATGATGCAAAAAAGGAGTATTTTAATAGTTCTGAAATGGAGAAATAAAACTGATTTAAACAGTGCAGTATCAATTTGATGATGATTGAAATGGCAGAACCGAATGCTCAGAATTTCTTCATCTGCTGAATGTCATTTTCAAGGCTATCGTAAGGACTTTCTGCATGACAATAGTCTTAATCCAGGGTCTGCTGATTCTTCTCATGGACAGCACCTCCAAATCACCCATATCCATTAGAGGCTCTGTGAGTGTCAACACTTTCAAAAGCAAAGGCGACAGGTTTAAAGCCCTAGCACTTCACTAAAGCTTTAAGGGTTAATTTTCACGGTACCAAGAGTTTCTCGAAAAGGGCTTAGAAATAAAACTAACATCATTTCTGTTGTAACGCTGACATTATTAATCATCATGCCAATTACTGCATGTTAATTTATACATTTCGAGAAGCAAATTATTTATTTTTTCACTTAGTTTATTTAATTCAGTGAACTGTGTTCTGCTAGTGACACCAGCAAATGAACATTCTCCTTAAGTTTTGTTTACTTAAGTCAGTTACTATCAGTATTAAACTGCAGTAAAGGCAACAGCCAGATTCGGTTAATAGAAGTCTACTACATCTATAAGAAGATGGATAAAACTTGGGATTAAACTCTCAGAAGCAATCGGAAATCATTAGCTTTTCAGCAGTGGGAGTAGTGGAAATCTGAAATAATCCCCTGCTGGTTAAAATCTCCGAATATGAGTTTAGATGTTTTAAAACTAAAGTGAGATTTTTTTTTTTTGATAGCAACTTTTTTTTAGGGACGACAACAGATGAAAAGGGTCAAGCTAGGACCAAGCAACTCCATGGACACATTTTAATTATGGGAAGCCTGTTGCATAGCAACCATTGAGGTTTTCAGGTAGCTAATTTGTGTCATCTAAACTAGCAGACCCCAGCTCCGGGCCTGAGGGGCCACTGTCCAGCAGACAGGCCCCTTCACAATCTCCAGCTCCTTAAGAACAAATAAAGGCTTCAATTTGTCCAATAAAGCAAATAATGAGTTCAGGGATTCCCATCCTGGTTCTGGAGGCACAGAGGAGGTTTTCATTCCAGTTTAATTACCTAACTGAAGCCTAAACTGAATTAATAAGACCCTTAGCTGGAACATGTGCAAGTCGCTTTTTCTGACTCAAGAGTTTCAGATTTGATTTTAACTAGGAGAGTTAAAAGGCGACCTCCAGGAGGTTTAAAATCTGATAACAGTCATACAGTTCAAATTTACCCTGTGAGTAGGTCAATTACAAATCCAATGGTTTAACTGAAAACTTGGCTGGAACAAAAACCAGGAGGTGTGTGGGTCTCGGGACCAAGACAGAGAATCCCTGAATTAGGTCATCAATGGCTCAGGTAAAGCAACTGCTAAAACCCTCTGGCCCTCCAGGACTGGAGATGTGCGCCCCTAGAGCTAGTCTCCTTATCTGTAGCACAGCACGTTAGCTTTTTTCTCTAGTTCTGTCAGCTTTTATACTGCACTGTTTCTTTTTACAATGTCTCCTGAGCTTTTTTTTTTTTAAAAAGGCTTTTTTCAGGTCTTTGTGAATGGGACCTAACTAGCCAAGCACACTGCACTCTTAAAGCCTGACCTTGTGGTCTGTGCCTCTTGTCTATAACATTATGCCCTTTGTCAGCTTGGTGGTTCTGTTTGCGGCCTTTCTCATTGAGCTGTACGGGCGAATTAGCTGGACTTATTGCCTCAATCCCATCCGAACTATTTGAGTTATAGCCGCCGGCTGGACCTGTTAAAAATCGAAATAGAGCATTAAAACAAGGCAATGCAGCGCTGTTGTTTTCACATTGCGATACACATAAAATTAGGCTAAGAAAGAACCACTAATGTATTAGATGACGCTCTGATATAAATCGCTACACATCAGTGGACTAGTACTTGTTTTTCTTTCAAATAAAAAGGGTTTGGAACAATCCCAACCCAACAAAAATCTAGATTCCAGCAATGTGTTCAGAAGTTTTAACTCTCCTGTGGTTTCCTCAAAGACGCTTCATGCATTGTTTAAGTCCCCTCTCTATGGCTGGGGGGATTTGTTGCCAATGGGACAGATGTTTCTGTATTCATGATTCCCAAGTCAATAAGCTGAGCCAGGAAGAGGCCGGGGTAGATTATACTGTATGACCACTTCCAAATGAAAAAGGGATCACAAGGCATTGTGCAGTGTGAATCCCCTTTGCGAAGGGCAACCCCCTGCATAAGGAGTGCGGGCCTATAGCTGAAAGGTTGATCAACTACAGAAGAGGAACTGCAGGAGTATGTTCAAGACACTGGGGCACAGAACAAAAGAACTGAAAAAACAGTCCTGCTTGGACACACCATACAGGCTCAAGACACCTTCATCATGAGCCATACCACAGGAAGATTAAAAACTGCAATCAATTGTATATAAGTACAGTTTAGTAGTTGATGTTCTCTTTACTAAAACCAAGGGAATTTGTTCAGTCCCAAGGGAACCTGAACTCTATTAAGCTTGATATATTCAAGTTCAGAACAATCATATTGTACTACAAAGATGATCAGGTAACACAATGTGCAAAGCTCTTTTGTGTTTATTACATGCTCAATAATCTCCTCAATATCATTTGGAAGACCCCCTCAATATAAAATTTAAAATAGTTTTCTTTAACCAAGCTAAAGACACTATAAAAACATGAAAAGTGAGTACTTAATACATATATAGATATATAAATAGATATAGATATATGCATTACACACATACCATTTTCCAAATTCAGTAAACCTAGGAAATGTTCAGTTACCTCAGTTTGTTAATGCATAAAAATATTAACATGTATGCATTTCCACTGTGAAAACATTAAGCTGTTTTTGTACTAAAAAAACATTGCCACACATTTGGAAGTATCATACTTAATCTCTTATTATAGTGCCATATAAGGTCATCCAATATGGTTGCACACAGCTCTTAACTGCAGTCAGACATCTAGTCTAGCTAAATCGTCTTTGATTTACAGTATACACTTACAGTATAGCAAAGATCAAAACGAAATAGAGTTAGCTCAGAACAGAACTAGATACTACAGGCCATGACAGCTAAAACCATAAAAAAAGAATTTACATGACCATTGTAAAACAGCTTCCCTTCACTGCATTTTTCAATGTGACAGTGTTAAACAAACTCTTACAGTCCTTCCAGAAAATCGTTTCCAATCATTAAAATAACCAGAATGAAGAGAATTGCATCCCTTGAGAAACTAATAATCACTGGGTTCTGATTACTACTCCAGGTTCTTTAATGCAAGGAAAACATGAGCATCTCTAAAGCCAGATCCCCATTAACTACTGTGGTTTTAAGAGACACTGCACTGTTTAAGTCCTGCACAGATCATACTGTTCTCAAATATTATTGAAACCCTACACTGGCGCCTCATTTACGTGACACTCAGGAAGAGGTACTGCTATATTAGGTACTGCTGACAGTGTTTGTAGACTCTAAAATCCCAGGACTCACTTTACCTAGCGCAATAACTGCATATAACCATAGAAATGTTGCAATAGAATTTAATCAATTAATATGAATTACTGACCCAGCCTTTCATTTGGCAACAGGTAGTGGTTTATTTTCCACTGGTTATATGCCTTTTACAACAGCATCTCTTCAGTTTATTTTACCCAAAAGGCATGGAAACATCCAACTATCCTATGTCATTCAACACCCTGAGAGATCTTGGTTTGAGACATGTGGTGGTTGCAAATGTAGTCTCTTCCACTCTCGCTGCTTAATCACTGAGCCCCTGCCAATCTGTATGTATTCCACCCCACGTGAGCATGTAATAAACAGCAATGTGCCGACCCCAAAAAACAAAAGCGAGGTGTTAAATCAAAGCACTGGGAAGGGGATCTCAGGAAATCTGATTCTAGTCAGGCACTGTTAAAATAAGCAAGAAAAGAACACAAAAAAAAACATTGGTCATGCATGGGACAAGGCAAGAAGCTGCAGTGTCTCAATGCCATCCCAAGCACAGGAGCATAGAGCTCAGTGGTGAGAAGCCAAAAAGGCAACATCTGTGCTTGCTACAGTAGGTCACCTGGACCAAAGACAACCCTGGAGAATATTTCAGTTTTAACAGTGGTCTCTTCTGAAATATACCTTTAACAGTTTCACCACAACTACTGCATCTGTTTCACCTAACTCACTATTACAGCATTAACAGGTTACTGCATCATTTAATTACAATTTAAACACAACTTCTTTCTAATGAAGTTTTAGAGTAAAAGGTCAGATTTACACAACTGCCAAGAACCCTGCATTGAAGTTCATGAAAGCTTGGACCAGCTTCATGGGCAGCTCTTAAGCTCCAGCACCATGTTTTGTATTTATTGGAGACAAAAAGGACTGCCTGTGACAGAACTTTGCAAAGTCCATTCAACATACAAATCATAGAGCAGCACACTGTGCAAATGCTTGAATTAAGGCTCAGACAATTTAGACTACTCACACTAGTGTATTTGTAGAGATCTTTAAAGCTTGACTTTCTGCATTTTGGATCCCACTGTGAACCTGACTGACAAAGAGGTGGCAATCTAATTCTAGCCTGGTCCTGGTATTCTTAAATGCAGAAACGACTTCAATGTAAAGTACATGCATTGTTTGTAGGGAGGAGGGCACATTAGATAACAAATGTTAGTTCTCAAATATTCATCTATCCCTAATCCTAACCCATCAGCATTAAGTGAGAACCTCTGTGTTTTCTTATCTTTACTTTTTGAGGTTTTGTATCTTTATTCCAGGAGGTTTTTATGGGCAATAGGGCACTCTGATAACAGAATGGATTACAACACTGTGTTATCTTAGCCACACAACAGAACCATCTATACTTAAGACCCTCAGAGAAAGGGGCTTTATAGAGGGGCCTAAAGTAAAAATATGGAATACTGTACGTTTCATTAATTTGGATTACATTAATGCATCCTTCAGGGCAGATGGAGTAAGACAAATGACTCTAGCTAATAACTGATAAATGCAAGGGATAATGTTTATACAGCATTTGTACTAGACCACACCTCGCACAAGGAAAATAAACTGTACTGTGGTACACATCTAAAACCTAAAAGTCAAATAATGGTAAGATTAAATTTGTGTTACAGGTGTGATATAAGGAAACATAACTGCTACACTAATGCGAGATTAAGACTTTTCTGAACTCTCTCATAAAATAAAATCTCTAGACCCGTCAGGAAGATTAACGCTGGTTTGAATGCCTTATTCTAACTTGTAGATTAGAAAAAACACCAAGAGGCCACCACTAAAGCTGAGATCTTCAGTGAAATCTAAAAGCCGAGGAGAAGGATCGCGCACATCTCCCCTTTCTTTGCATTTAATTAAACAAAAACCCCACATCAATGATTGTATTAAAAATCCAGAAGTATTTCCATACATTTGCTCTAATACCGATTTGATGATGCCAACCACCACAGCGTGCAATATGTCACAAATGGGGACCGCTCGATCCCGGGCCTCTTACCATCACAAGTGGAGTCGGCAGCGAGCGAGCCTCTGTCTAGCTTCCCCGTATCACAAGAAATTTGACGCATGATAATCGCGTTTATGAAGTTGGCCGCTGTCATGGTGGTCTTACCGAGAGCTCGGAGCTCCTGCTCCTGCAGGGAAACCGGTTTGTTTTGAGTCTTTTCCCTACTGGGCGGCTGCTCGTGGGCGGGCGGCTCCAGGGAGGGGGCCGGCGCGTGCTGGGGGGGCAGAGGCGGCAGGTTTCTGCCCTGAGGCCCGTGGGGAGGGGGGTAATAGGCCGCTGCGCCCGGGCCAGCGCCCGCCGGCTTGGGCTCGCCTTTGGAGGAGGCGGCGGCGTGTTCCTGGAGGGGCTTCGGCCCGGCGCCGCTTCCCGCCCTGCCGTGGGCGCGCTCGGACTTGCTGCCCTCTTGGCCCCGGGCCAGGTCCTTGGCGCAGCTGGCGTCCAGGCCAGCGGGGTACGGCTCTGCCGAGGGGCCCGCCCTCTGGAGGTGAGGGGTGTACACTGGGTAGCGGGAGGAGGAGGAGGAGGAGGAGGAGGAGCCCGCGGAGGACAACGGCCTGCGACCACAGAAACAAAACAAAACAAGGAGTGGCAGCAGTGGGACGAGTGGAGTAGCAGAGGAACGAACCAACGTCTGATCTACGACCCTTCCGTTCTTCTTCAGCAGCCGCTCAAAAGGGTCAGAACGCTGTAGGGGCCATGTTTCTTTATTTTGTCCCTCCTGGCCCCACTATTCATCAGCCGATTCACTTCCTCACAATCATTGCCTCGACATTTTAATTCAACTACGTTCTCTGCCCGAATCTGTGAAGCACTTAGTCTGCATTTGCGCACCCCCCCGTGTTAAACCCCAACCAACACGATGAATAAAACTACGCGAAAGGAACGAACTCCGAACCACCCCCCCCCACCCCTCCTCCTCGCTCTCAGTAATCTTACCTGAGGACAGAGGGGTTGTTGGCGTCCCCTCCTGCCACGGTCAGCGTCTTGCCGGCGGTGTTGTGCAGCACGCTGGGCCTCTGCTGCACGTTGTCCTGGGTGCGAGGGGACACGGGGGAGTGCTGGTAGTTCTGTGCGGAAGGACGAGGGCCGCTGCTGCTGCTGCTTTGCTCTGTGCCTGCGAGGGGAAAGACAGGCGGAGACGAGCTGAGCCCAGGCTGCTGCAGGCCTCTGCTGACAAAGTGCTTGCCCGCGGACATGTCCCAGGGCATTTTTACAGACTTCATTCACAGAACCCCTGCCCCCATAAAACCAGCCTCACATGGAGAGAACAGAGCAGACACACGCCTGTCGGGCAAGAGCGGTGCCTGCTGCCGACTCGTACAGGATATGACAGGGCAGGCAGGAAGCACTTCATTCTACACCCCTTTCATGCCGCCAAACTGCACGACACATCGATGAAGCGGCTTCTACGAGATCTCACGAGAGAGGCGTGATCCTTAGACTAAATTGCTGCTAGGTTACCAACAGCCAAGTGAGCAAGAAAGGTGCCCTCTCTTGGAACACCTACATTGGTGTGGCACTGTCTGTCGCCCTGTGTCATCTGCTGTACTCCTCCACTCATTTACATAACTTGGGTTTTGACCTTAAGAGGCTGAAAACAGGAGATTTGCGAATATTTAGTAAGATTCACAGCCTGCTTCCTGTAAAGCTTTGTCACAAAATGTGGCCTGGAAACACCAAGGCGAGAGTGAAGGCAATGGTAAACGGGATGTGTTTATTTTTTGCATATGGATACATAGGTGCATGGAACAATGCTCCCAGTTTGTGCTGCCAGGCACTTCAGGGTTACCACGATATTTCCAACTGGGTCAAACGGGTGCATCTCATCCCAAAAATGTTTCCCCTCTGCTGAAAAGCTGTGTAAGCCAGGGAGCCGAGCTCTCACCAGGTCTCCAGATGGGTGCGTGCTCCACATTCGCAGGTGTCTTTTCCCTGTCCCGTTCTCGCTCTCTCTCGCGCTCCCGGTCCCTCTCTCGCTCTGAAGACGGAGTCCCTGGAATTTTGGCCATGTGAGACGGCCCACCTGAAACTTAAAAAAAAGACACCGCATCATGTAACAGACCGCACTGTTTGAGACGGTAACAAAATGCCACCTGTAACTAAGGGCCCTATGTGTCCAAACACGCAGCACACACAGGATTTTACAAAGCAGCAGTGAAGAACAACCACGAGCAGAGACAGACCACAGTGCTGTTCCCCTCATGAACGCATAGAAATAAAAGGATTTAGAAACTGTTCTCTCTGTTTTTTCTTTGTTTTGAAAGGTAACTGTTTTAATTTGGAGAAAGTCACTAAGCTGGATGTCCCTGATCTGTTTTTACAGTATTCCACCCAAGCAGTCTAGCCCTCGCGGTCTCTTAATTTGGGTGTCAGAATGTCCGGCTGGGGCCCCTACCTGGAGAGATGGGTGGGGTAGCGTAGGTCCGGCTTGCAAAGGGACTTGGGGCTCCTGGGATGTAGGTGATGCGATCCATAGGGGAACTGGACGCTCCAGCAGAAGGCGGGACCAGCACAGGCAGATGTGGTACCTGAGACAAATCGATGATGCCTGCAGACAGAAACACACAGAACTTTACAGTGTTCGAGTGCATCCCTTAACAGCAGGACAGCAACGTTAAGAGACCTACTGTACACAATCTGAGCTGCCAATGCGGGCTGTGAAACAGTTACAGTGTTACATTGACAAAACAGTAATTTAACATGTATTTAATCCTGAAGCATAAAGGACAAAGGACTCTGCACAAAAGAGAAGAACTCTTACGGAGATAATGTACTGTATAATAATCACACTATATAATAATTATCCTGAGATTAAAAACACTGCTGGTTCCAGTACTCATCTGTTTTAATTTAATTTCTCTCACTATAAAGAAAGCAGACATGTACAATACAAAACAGAAAATGAAGGAAAGCTAAGAAGCCTCACTAACGAAACGCACACCTTATCATTGCCTGAAGATGCAATTTCAATTTAAGAATACACTTTTTAAATCTTTTGTGACCCCTCCCTAGACTCCAGACTCCACGCCTCGCGCCAGTATTCTAGCGCAGGGGGGGGGGGGGCATTCCCTACCCCGGGGCGCTGCCGAGTAGCTGAGGGCCAGGGCCTGTTCCCGCGGCGACAGGCCCCGCAGCAGGTCCGCCCGCTGGGCCATGGCGGCAGCGGCGTGGTGCATCTGCTGGGAGGTGATGTAGTCGTTCAGGATGGTCTGCCTGTTCTCCAGGGCGGCCGTCTCGGGGAACCCCCGGATCAGATAAGGGGGGTAAGGATGACCGTAGCCGGGGCCCGGGGCGAGGTGCCGTGGCAGGTAATAGGCAGCTGGTTACAAGAAGGCGACAAGGAGGGCTCAGGCTGGGACACACGCAGTGGTTTCCAACAGAACTACACTAACCCCACACCTGCACTGACCAGCGGAGCTTACTGGGCTGTCCATTCCCGTTTTCATCTCTCTTTCCCCTAAAGACACATTTATCCACCTGGACCTGTCTTTTCATTTGCGATTTACAAAGCTGGTTCCTTTTAACGGATCCAGTCGATGAAAAGTTCTTGTTTTTTTTGCGACAATAAACACAAAAGCACGATTTTATTTTAAGTGACGACACTACACAGATGAGGAGCACTGAAGAGAACCGTGCGCTGATTAAAAAAAAAAGGTGCTTTCTCGGCCAAATGATGTTTTAGGGCAGATGCCCAATGATGGTAGTAGTCACCTATTTAACAGGTCTTAATGTCTTTTCAATTCTTAAAGAAACTTGCATTAATAGGAAATTTTGACGAAGGTTTAATAATAATTATAATAATAATAATAATAATAATAATAATAATAATAATAATAATCAACTTTATTTTATATAGTGCCTTTAAAGGTGGCTTCTCAAAGCGTTTACTGTTTGAATGCTTCTGCTATCAATCTAAATCGTACCTGGGTCAATGGGGATGCCCCTAGGCAGCGTCGCAGGGTCAAAGGTCAGGGGGATCTGCCCACGGTAGATGTCTGCTGCCCCTGCGCCCTGTAGTAGCCGCTCATAGGAGGCCAGGGAGGCGTGGTGCTCCTGGACCCCTGTCAGTGGGGACTTGGTGGCGCTCATCTCTCGCGGAGTGGGCGTGGCCTTTCTCTCCTGGGGCGGAGCCTTTCCTGAGCCCATCCCGCCGCCTGTGGGGAAAGAACAGCGGCCAGCGGACAAGTCCGTCAGAAAGGTTACACTGCAGCATTACACATCCTAAAGAGCATCAGCAATTCCCACCTGCTTATGGGCAAAAAATCCCATATTATTAAATTACACAGCTTTATTAAATGCTTTTTTCTTTTAGCTGAAGAGGTTTTCCAGTATTTAGAAGTGTGTATCTGATCTATCCAGGGATAATTCTTAAGGCATTGATAGAATGATTCTAATTCTTAGGGACTGCAGGTAACGATACTGTACATACACTGCCATGATCAAGGGAAACAAACGATTAAAAACACAAACTCACTAATTGCCTCACCCACTGGAAAAAGCTTTTTCCAAGGGTATCTTACTATTAACCCTCGCAGAAAATGGAATAAAGAAACGGATGCAGTCTAACAAGGTGACACAGAGAGAAGGCAAATAAAAACTTTTTTGTGGGTATAAATAAATAAACGTTTGTGGGCGAGCACTACAGGAATTGCAGCAATTGTTGTGTCTTCTATCACTTTACTTCCTAACTAACCAAGAACCTGTTGCACAAATCATGGCCTGTGGCTGGGAAGAGAAAAACCCTTAACCGACACAACTGAGGAAAAGAAAAACAAGTGGGAACAACCTCTGAGCAAGCGAGCACACTAAAGGAAAGGCGGGAAAAGCAGGAGGGCCCCTACCGTCGTGCTGGCGCGAGGCGGAGTCCCTGGAAGAGACGGGCGAGCCGCGGTGCGCGTGCCCGGAGAAGGCGGCGCGCAGGGACCCCTTGTGGTCCTCGTAGGCGAGGGGGCTGCTGTGGGCCTTCCCCGGCTCGCCGATGATGACCGGCGACCCGCGGCTGATGGAGCCGGCCGAGCCCACGCCCGAGCCGGGCCGCCCCTTGAGGCCCTCCTCGTAGCGGGCCCGCTCGGCGTGGTGCTGGAGGGCCGGGTAGGAGCGCGAGGACGACCCGATGATGGAACGCACGTCGTGCCGCTTGCCCCCGCCCTCGTGCTTCATCGGCGTGCCCTGGGAAAACAAGGCGCCGGCGTCACGCCCAGGGCTGCAAAAACGAGACGCCCTGCAGCCACCCGACACGAACAAAACATGTCCGATACAAAGCGCGGGCTCCTGGGCACCTTTCCCTGAGAGGTTAAACAGGAATGCGTTACTGCCTGGGGCTTCATCTCGATGGTCGGTTTGTCGACTTACGAGAAGCTGGGTAACGAGCTGCGAATGCGACTCCAGCGGCCGTGGGCGACCCAGGCGCACCTGCGTAATGGATCCCTCCTTGGCAGGCTTCGACGATACCTCCGGGATCTGCCGCAGCTCTTCCCGCGGGATCTCGTGGATGGACCTCCCGGGCTCCTTCACCGTAGCCATGAGGCCCTCGTGCGGCCCTCCCTGGAGCTTGAGGGCCGCGAGGCCGTCGTGGGCGCGGCCCTTCAGGGCGTCGGGCGGCGGGCCCCGCGGCGGGGAGTTCTCGCGCTTCAGCTGCTTGGCCTCTCTCCGCATGTACTCCTCTGGGGGCTCCATGTGACGAGGTACCCCTGGGGAAACACGGCGCCCGTCAGCCGCTGCTCAAGGAGGAATTCAACCGGGGACACCAGACGCGAGCGTGACAGGCGACCGTGGACAATGCTGTCGCTTTCGTTTCTGTAGCTGCTGGTTTGCTCATGAACAGCAGTGAAGTTAGCAGTGAATCCACGAGGCTCAGCTGAGGGCTGCTAGTCCTTTTCAACTCCATTTTTAAATTTAATTCTAACCCTCCATCACCCACCGCATGAGGATGTTAATGTTAGGTCGGTGGCAAATTTAAATTTAATTTTGTTCTTTGTTTTTTGAGAACACTAGACTATTTTTTGGTCAAATAGATTGACAGAAGATTTTGTGCACAAGTCAATTAGTCCAGATTGCACCCGAACTTGAGTTTTCTGCCTTCTTCTTCTTCTGATTGCACAGATGACCAGGATCAAGACAGTACCGAGAGGGGTGTGCGTTACAAGAGGGGTATGTGCAGGATGGACAGTGGCGTGGGGGACGGCGAGTGCTGTTAGTTGCTGACCTTGCGAGATGGAGCCTGGAATAAGATGGGTGTCCTTGAAGGGGTGTGGGCTGTGCCGGTCCTGCGGCAGGGCTCTCCCAATAAGACCTGATCAACACAGCAAGAAGAGCCATTGACACTTCCCCAAGCCAAGCCATCAAAACACACAAGAATACAATTCAAGTAGGGAGCTCCACCAGCATGTGCAGGCTGCAAAGGAACAAGTTAAGATTTATTCCCTGCTGAAAGGCAAAGAAAAGAGACACAACGTTTCCAAAACCTTGCATCTCTCTTCTTTTCAGCACGGAATAAACCTTTACTTGTTTCTCAAGAGAACGAAATGCCCATCTCTGGACGCTCATCCAGCCCGAGCACAACATGGGTGGGAAAGACCATTCGACTTAAATATTAAAAATGGGATATTTTTCTGCGGCTTTCACAAGAAGCACAATCAGATGCGCTCTTTTGACCTAGGATGTTATAATTTCACGGATTATTTCACACCAGATACTTTCCAATTAAATCTAAAAGGGTTGTCTGCTTGGGCTACAGATTGCTCTGTGTGTGAGCCGAGGCCCTCTTGTACCTTCACAGTTAACAGAAGCCATGGCGTCCCGGATGGGCAGCCCCCGGGCGATTCCCCCTTCCATTACGTCATAGGGCCGCTTCAGCCCAGGGATCTCGCCCGGCGTTCCGGAACCCCTGCCTTCTTCTTTAGAGTTCTGCCCAGGAGCCCCTGCAGAGAGACACAAGCCAATCACAACACTGAGGGGGCAAACGCAGCCTTGTGATTGGACGACTGACCAGGGGTGGCTACAGCTGGAGAACAGCAGGAAAGGATGCAGCATTACAGTCAGCTTTCGCTGAGACGCAGATGATGAGCAGACCTGCGTGAAATATGTCTTAACATAGAACTGACAAACGCTCCTCGACAACTTGAGTGTGACTCTGCGTCTTGGTAATGGCGGGGAATTTTGTGATGACTAATGAACGAGATTCAAAGGGAAGGGAAAGCCATAGCAGACCAATTTCTGCTGTGTCAGAATAAGAACTCCCACAGGACGGGACTGCTGAGCTGCTGTAAAGTCCCTTTGAAGCCCGGAACTGTGCAAAGTGTAAAACAAAGTGAGGGAAAGTCATTCAGAAATACAGTACAAGGCCTGCAGGGCTTTCTCTTTAATCTACAGATCACAGCTCTGTGCAGCATCACCCGACACACACATTGTGCTAAACTGAACTGTAAACACCTAACTTTAACAGCGGAAGAACCTCATTTAATTTGCAAACAAAAAACAACAACAGGCTTTTCCGTTTTAAATTTAAGATTTTCAGACAAAAGGACAGTTGGCTGCTACCATATAATTGAAGAATTCTCCTCTAGGTGCCATCCGCAATATGGATCTCTAATTTTAATCCAGGTGTAGAGTATGGACTCTGGCGACAGTCCTGTTATAATCCCAGCAGTTGCCTGACCCCTCACTCACCATCATACGAGAGGATATGGCCACTGATGCCTTCGTAGATGACGTGCCCTTTGGACAAGGCCTCCTCCCTGGCGCGCTCAGCTCTGCTGGGGCTGTCTTCTATCAGCCTCGTAATCGTGCTTTTGTACAAAACCTCAGCTGGAGTCCCCTTCAAGTTAAACAAAACAAAACACTTAAGCAATTCAAACATCTTTTCTTTACACCATGTAGAACCTTACCTAAGATACAAACCTCAGGCGCTGTTATTCAAGGAACTCTGTCATTACAGCAAAAAACGGAATTTTGATGAAAATACTGGAGAAGAGTCTTATTTTAAGTGTTGGCCTGCACTGGAGTCATACTACAACTTTCTGCTTCAGAAAAAGTGACAAAACATAGAGCCACACATTCTATAACCATTTCTGATGTCACTTTCAAATATTAAACAAGGTACTGCACATCTGAGGAATGTCAAAGAATCCCAATGTCTAAAAGTCAGACAAAGGGTATCGCCTGTGGTGTAAGTTTTGTGGTGACAAATTAGATATCTAAATCAATTAAGTGGATATTTATATGCTAAATGCAAGTGCAGAGTGGAATGCTCACATTCTTAATCTTCAGTTTTGTTTCTTTCCCTCATATTAGTACATACAGAAGGAAAAGACCAAGCTTTACAAAACAAAAGTAACAGCTGCTTGTTAAATCATTTATGACTTTTGAGGATCAGGCTGGTGCTACCTCCGAGGTCATTTTAGATTGTATGACTCTGGGTGAACAGAGCTGCAGAGACATGCTCTACCAGCCCTGATTACCCGGTCCTCATTTTCCCAAACTGCTGTAAACATATTACAGCATTGCCTTTTTTCCTCCTTGAGTCCCACACATCTCCAGATATCACGTGCCTTTAGGTTTGATTAAAATACTTCCCTGAGGTAGGAGAGATTAGCCTGCAAGTAACAATGTCAGACTCAACTGGCTTCAGCCTGGGCCCATACAGCCAAGACATACTGTTTCCGCTGCCTGGACTCTGAGCCTCCTCTCTATCTCCTTTCAGGGGTATTAACAAGGACGTAAGAAACATCTCATGTAGCTTATCTCTACTTAAGCCCGTATCACCGCGCACTGAAATCACTGGAGATTAAGTCAAATAACATAATGACCACGTGATTTGCCTCCCCCCCCCAAGCAAATGTGTTTTCTTTTGCCTAACTGCCCGTTTGGGTAGAAAAGTGCCTCCACCCCCTCATCGCGCAGCTGTGACGCAGGGAGCTTTCTTCCAAAACGCACTCACGGCGCACATCGGCCTCTGGGCTGGGATGAAAAGGGGGCCGAGTCAGGCAGGATCCCTCCGTTGCTATGGGGACGGGGATACAGTGTGATTGCGTGGTTATGCCATCCAAGCTGGCTAAGGTCAAGCAGCTGTTTTTCACTCCCACGTGTCGCAGTGCCTGCCTCCAAACGCTCTCCCGACGCATCGCTCCAAGCCCCTTTTCAACACGACGACGTTTGCCATGAACTGTTTTCCCATCCCCTTCCCACTCCCATCACTATCACACTCTCAAACAATAATTCTATGCACTAGACGGAATGAAGCAAAATGATTCCTTTAATTTAACCTTTAAAAAACATGAACAGTACAGAGAAGCAGTTGAATTTACAATCACTAGACATCATCAGGCAGGTATCATGTACATAAAACCATGACCTGTACTAAAAACTTTTGAAAAGCTCAATGCGGATTTCAATTATCTCCCGGTTTTAGGATTGAATTTCCGAAAACCTTGGAGCCACAAAGTGCACTCAGCACTTAGCGTAGGTTTAAAGGTTAAATTAAAGGAATAATTTTGCTTCATTCAGTCTAGTGCATAGAATTATTGTTTGAGTGTGTGATAGTGATGGGAGTGGGAATGGGATGGGAAAACACTTTCAGAAGCACAGAAGGCAAGTCAGCTTTGATCTCCTCTTCGGGAGTCTGTGGTTCCTGTGACAAAATGGAGTGAACCCCTGGGCCCCAGACACGTTACCCCCCTAATCAGAGTGCCAACACGGCGTTTTACTACAGAGGAGATGAACGGAGAGACCAGGTGCCCCACAGCCATGCCGAACGTCATTTACGTTAATTGAGCCCACGGTCTCCTTGCACCTTACCTGAGTGATGGATCCTCCTCTGCACGTGATGGGAGCATCCTGATGGATTCGAGTGCCCGGAATGCCTTTGGTGATGCTTCCCCCCTGCATTGCCAGGATGGCAGAACCTGGAACAACAGCCCGTGGATGAGTCCGTCAGCAAGAGGCCAGGTGGCGCAACTGGCTTTCTCTGGTATCCAGTATTATTCCCATTCTCAAGCAATCGTTTACAGTGTATGGCTAACACAATACCTAGCCAGGTTGTATCCCCAACAGCTTGTCGGCTCACAAGTCTCTTTTGAGCTTTTCTTCCTGTTACTAAGGACAAAGAAAAACTTCATGTTGTCACGTAGCTAGAGTAACATACATAATGCTGCCGTTGCCGTTGAAAAATAATCAATGACACAAATTTCTACAGCACTCTCCATCCCCAAAGAGCAATATATACAGTATAAGAAGGCGCCCACTTCAGCCCCATCTGGTGATACCAGGTGAGACTGGTAGACCAACTACACCAATGGAGAAGTGAGAAATTGAGAATTGCCTAAGCCCAAGAAGGAAAATACCCAGGACATTCCTACTCTTATGAACAAAACCACGGGATCTTCAATGTTCAGATATTCAAGTCAATGGGTTAATGTCTCATCTAAAGGAAGGCCACCAGTCTCCCGGTCACCATACTGGTGCACTGGTTTGAAATGATGTGGTCCCGGGGGAAGAGTGTCACCTACTGGTCCACCAAAAACATTTTACACCAGCCATTTTACACAAGTGGTTTCCCTTCCTGGTCTCCTGTCTCATTCGTGACCAGGCCCCACCTTTCCTTCTGAAACACTGCTGTCAGGAACAAGGCATTTTAAAGCCAATTTCAACAATGGCTCCAGTCAACCTGTATGTTTTGGTTCAAAACAGGGCAACTTGGGCATCTAAAATGTCCAGGTAATCCTCTGGAAGGAAACCAGAGTTTAACATTGCTGCTGATTAAACCTGCTCCATCAATTCCAAGAAGGTTTGGGGGGCATAATAAAAACACAGAAGAGATTCCAATCTCAGAAGGGATTCTACTGCGATTCACGCATGGCCCCTGCCATCCGCGTGCGTGTCTTTCACAGCTCGTGGCAACGCGGCAACGTGTCGCCTTTATTTTTCTGGGGGGGGGCAGGCAGTGGTGGTGATACTCTGTCCCTTCCTTTTTAATTTTCATTAAAGAGATTTAAACAGCCAACAAAGCTGAAGGCGAACTTCCTCCCTGCCCAGCGTCTCCTTAGCTTGTGATCTGTACTGACACACGAGCCCACCCCTTGGGCTCCAGAGTGGTTTCTCTGGGAAAAGCCTTGGCTCAGAGCCGTGCAGGGGAAATATTACAGCACACAGGCTGCAGGTTCAAACACAGGCCATGGCATCCCTCCCTCACTGCAACTTATGTGTTGTTCATTTTTATTTTCACAGAGAGGTTCTTCTTGGACGTTTCTCAGAGTCATGACATTAAAGAGCACTGGCGGCTGTAAGGAGGGATTTCACCAACCTGCCTCCAGGTGACTGCCTCTTTCTTGCACGGAAGGCTGGTGAGGAAACTCTAAAGCCGTGAGAGATTTCTGAGCCCAAAGCTCGTTTTAGATGCACAAGGAGCAGGGGAGATGGAAGAGAAGCAGTGTCGTACCTCTCATGATGGAGACTTCGTGCGCTGAGCCCGTGGTGCTGAGGTTTTCCGCTTGGCTCGTCTGGCTGCGTGGAGAGAGCTGCTCCTGCTTCACCAGCGGGAAGGGCACGGCTGCAAGAGGAAGGACATAGCATCCCAAAAAAAAGAGAAAGGAAAATGAGACAACAAAACCCACCTTTTACACCGCGTCCTTAAACACCAGCCTCACATCTCGCTTTACAGAACGTAAAATGGTAACAACAACGACAAAAACAGAATGGCAACGATAGAACAAATTCAGAAGAGTCCATTTTCAGGCGAGAAGGAAAAGCACCATGCGTGACTACGGCCCAGAGTTCTTTCGGGATGGTGATCGCAAGATTTGAGGCAGAGCAGCACAGGGGCAGACATCACAGCAGGAACACATAGTGAACCAGAATCAAATGAGCAAAGGTTGCGTGAAGGGGAGAAAAAGGGGTGACAAAGAAAGAGAGAAAAGAAAAACAGTACAGCTGACTTTATCCTATGACATCTAGCTGAGCCACACAAGCCTGTTTAAACATACTGGATATCTCACCCAGTTTTTTGGGGTCAATCCTGGGTATCCCCATTGGCAGTGCTCCAGCAGGAACTTTCCCAAGCTCAGACCTGTATGCCGAGCTGTAGAGCTGCACAGGAGTACCCTAAAACCACAAGAAGCATTGTGAAGAATATACTACATATCCTACGCATTCAAGAGCTCTGTGTGTCAACAGTCATTGTTGATGTATGTCACACAAAATGTGCTTCACCCCTTACTGAAATATTTTGAAGCGAGCATTTCTACAATACATGAGCACTTAATAACAATCCTTACACTTGTTACACTCGAGGAACACCCTGGGATTTTTATCACTATATTGCTGTACTGGAGCATTAGGACCCACACAGACTGCAGGGCGAGCTACCCTCTACTGGTTCCCCTAACACCTCTTCCCTCAGTACCCTCAGCTTTCCCAGGAGGTCTCCCATCCAGGTACTGACCAGGCTCAGACCTGCTGAGCTCCAGTGGGCTGCCAGCTGTGAGTGCCAGCGTTATAAAGCTGCTGGCCGTATTTCATTCTGTGTATGAGATAGTGAATATCCACTGCTTGGTTCTAACCTTAGAGAGCAGTGGAAAGTGTGTGCAGGTGGACAGGTTACCTCTGTGATGGAGCCCCCAGACTTGCCGGAGGAGATGAGTGGGGGGGGCTCGGGGATGTGGAGGGGCCTGATGGCTGCTAGCCGCCCGCTCTCCTGCTGCGGGTTCGAGGGCATGGCCGGGTGAGGAGACGACGGGAAACCTGCAAACACAACACACAGGCCGGTGGCCATGACAAACCGACACCTTAGGGAAAAGGAAGAACAGAGAGGAGGAAGAGGAGAAGGACAGAAGGAGAAACTGGGAGAGGAGGAGGAGGCAGGGAGAGAAGGGGAAAATGAAGAAGGCGAGGATGGAGACCACGAAGGAAGAGAAAGAGGCAGAAAGATGGAGAAGCAGAAAAATAGAGAACCAGAGAGAGGGGAGAGGGAGAGACAGGAGCAGAGGGAGGAGATGCACTTTATAGGAAAGGCGACTCACCTGGGTTATAGTGCAATAAGTGTGGTTCGAGGTGAGAGGAGAGCTTGGCCATTTCCCTAGGGGAGTGCTGGAACGGTGACAGCGAGGGCCTGCTCAGGTTCGTAGGCCTGAAATCCGGCTCTGCAACCTGTCGCTTCCCTTCGGCATGAGGAGAGAAGGACCGGGGTTTATCTAGAAGAGGAGGAGCAGCAGTTCAAGATCACTCACTCTCAAGAGCTCCCAAGTAACTGTTTAAACATCAACATATGAGAAGAGATCCGTTTAGAGCAATGAAGCTATTTTTTCTTACCAAAGCTGGTATGAAAATTACCAAACAGAACCAGGAACAGAAAATAAATAATGTTTAACATCTGTTGAAGTGATCTGAGTCACTGCAGCTGGCAAACTGAATACTCAGAAGGCCCCCTGTAACAGCAGGACCTTGAAATGACTCATCTCACTGGAGACCAAATCCACAGAAAAAGGAGAAGGAAAATGGAGAAGAACAGACGTTTCCACATCTGTCTTCTTCAGTGTTATCTTGAGGATTTGCTTTTCTGTTGATGCAATGACCCCTTCGAGAAAACCAACTATGCAAAAGCAAAAAAGTAAAATAGGATGCCTGGAGGAACTGAAGAGGTAAGTCGTTAAAGAAGCATTTCACGTTCCACCTTCAGATGATGCATTAAGTTGAGGTAGTGTTTGTGTTTAACGTTTACGGCTGGACACCAGAAAGAGCTAAAGAGCGTTACAGAAGGCCTCTGGGCCCAAACACTGTGCTCTCATTTATCAAGGGAGCTAATGATTTTACTTCACGTAGCAATGATGATCGGATATGATTTGTAAATGTTACTTCCCTTGACTTAACGCTAAGCCATCACTAGATCCTGTATCCCTCTTTGTGTTGTCTTTTTCATTAATGTTTTCAATTATTTCCATGATTTAAAATTTAAAACCCAGTATTTCCAGTTTTCCCAGCAAGCCGCCCATCCATTTTGTTTACTCTGGCGTGGGGAGTTTGTCAACAGATTGTTCAAAGTGAAAGTAAGGACCACTCCTTCATTTTGCATCTGAATAGTTCTGTAACAGGCGATGCGCTGTGTTGAAGTAACTAGCCAGCTTGAAGAACGTCTATTGCCAATCTTTCAGTTTCTCAGCCAGCTCCCTTGAAAAGTTCCCAGCCAAATACAGAAAGTGGAACAGGACAAGTTGAGACTTTGGTAGTGTCCAAGAGAACCGTGGTGATGAAGAGTTCACTGAAAGCCCACACCCACACTGAAGTTCAAGGGGCGGACAATCCAGAGAACCTATTACATACAGAAAGGATAAGAAGATCCATCACCCACACATTTCCCCAGAGAGAGGTGGCAAAGTGCTGAGGATATGCTAAACGGTTCCATTTTCAAAGTGAAAGAGGAGTTTCTTCCAGATGTGCTGGTCAGTTTCCTCCCAAGCTGAGTTACACAACGTGCCAGTCAGTGAATGCAATGTGCCACTCTTTACCCATGCTCTGCCTTGCGATAGCAGGAAACTGGTTGGAAGGTGACCACGCATGAACTTGCAACACGTGCATACAATAACACAATTTTAAAGGTTAACCATTAAATGAAAACAACACGTAGTTTTTTTATTTCTTTAAACTTAATCTAGAGAAAAGAAAAGTGCTACATTCTCTACACATAAAGGTGGTAAATGAATAACCTACGTAATCCATGTAGAAGAGTCTGCAGCCATCTCTCGTTATCATCGATTTCTGTTGGGACACAGATACATATCCTTCTCTTGAATATGAAAAAGCCTTCACACACATCCACTACAAAAAAAACGTATTCTTTCATGGTAATGACTAAGACAAGCATCGTCTTTGATGGTTTACTCTTTAAGTCATGACATACGGGCACCTAAACTACAGCAATTCCCATCATCATTGTGTGTCAAATGCCGCACCGCTATTGAAAACAGATGACACTTGCTTTGCTAACTGCAAAAACATAACATGAAGTTGCTGAAGCCGATGTGGCAAGCCACCATGTGCCAGTTTCCAGTTCCCCTGTCAAACAGCCTAGTTAGCACTCCCGTCTCCTTCAGTCCATTTGAAGGGACATGCCACATGACATCGCATGTCATTTCAGTGCAGCGAGAACAGACTGTGCCAGACTTCCTGCCGTGCACAGAGGACATCAGTTGGACTGAAAAACACCACGACTGCACAAAAAAAAAACACAAAACCAGCAAACATCTCAATAACAATCGAATTTGTAGGAACACAGGGTGAGGGGCATGTGAGTTAAGGGGGCGGAATTAAGACCAGCCTGGAGAAAAAGAGCCCTGAGCATAATTTTTTTTTTATTGGAGCTTCTTAAAGAAACATCCCAACAACCCCACATAGTGTTGTATGGCTGTCTGCTGCAAACATGTTTTCTTAAACTGCATGTCTTAGGTACAGCACAGTGAAACAAAGCTGTAAAGTGTGTGTGTGAGTGAAGGGGGGAGCACATGCATAACTTTCTCACGCCTGGTGCTGGTGTGTTTCCCACTGAACTGGAAACAACAACTGTTTGGTCACACAATTTTGAGAACTCAGACAGATGGGCCAAAGCATCCTCTGCTTAAAACATCATAAAACAGCTTAAGAATTAACTAGTTAACTGGATGGATACCTTCGCCCTTATTAATTCAGGAGAATCAACATCCACATCTTCAGATGTTTTGTGTGACAAACACTTAAATTAAAGGGAAATTTAAGCTCAGGTCTTTGATGAACCCAGCCCCAGGCCCTCAACATTAGTTTCATTTGTACTAATAATGGCACTGCAATCTTTCCGCCCGGCATTTCTAGAAAAGGGGGGTAACATGTTCTAAAAAAAGGAAACAAAGTTGTTTATGATTATGAGAGCAACGCACCCAAAACTACACAAACAGCTCTGGAGTGGTATTACTCAATGCACAACCGCAATGCTCAGGGAGCACTTTTAGAATGAAAACGAAAGACAGTACACTGGGTTTAGGGAAAACGTGACATATAAAAGATAGGTAAAAAAAACGGCCTTTTGACGGGACGCAACAAAATAAGACCTGGCAAAGCAAGGTCTGTTGAAATATGCGCCAAAATGCCTTTTTATTATTTGCCAACCATCCGCTTTGTTGAAGTGTGTTAAGATTGAACAAGAAGGAAGTGTACAGTATGTGCAGCTCTCCAGCTGCCACAAGGGCAGGAAAAAACAAACTGGGCCTCCCAATCTCAGAACGATGATCCAGAGAAGTGAAAGTGCCCGTCTTTCAGCAAAGCTCTTTCTGGGAGGCTCTAACACTGAGTTGTAATGAGCAACAAAACTAAACCAGAATTAGAACACTTGGCTCTTCCTCCAAAATCGCCGCCAGGTTTCTCAGTTCACCTGTACATGCTGTGGAGCTCATGTAACAGCACAGTGGGATGCTACAGCTATTTTGGCATTCAGTGCACTCCTGTCTCCATGGCTGCCACTGTGTGGCGGCCAGCGCCTGTTAATTCCATGAGTTCGGTAAAACCCAGGCATACTGAGTGTTTCATCCAAAAAAACGTGAGAAAGTATTTTACCTTGCAGAACCTGGAATCCTGCATTAGGAAAAAGGAGTTTGGAGAATACAACGTCTATGGTTTTAACATGAGCACATGGCCACACAGAGCTGAGAAAATGTCCTGAGCTCTCAGCAAGCATCTACAATGACAGACTGCTATCGCTGATCAGATGCACCTGTAACTCTGTACTCTCCTGGTTACTATCCTAGAAAGGACACCTCATGCTGCTACTCTAACAATGTAATTAACACAAAATGCCCCAGGAACAGAGTCAACCTTGATTAGTGTTGGGCAAGATATTGAGATTTTTCTTTTTCCATCATTAAACATATGTGGCCCAATTTCTTCCATACATAATCGGATTTCTACTTTATAAAAAAGCAAAAAAAAAAAGGAGCAATAAGAGATGTTTTATAGAGAAAGGTGGCAACTGTTTCTGTGTATTTACAGTTAAGACATCTCCTTTAAAAAAGAAATAGCAGACTGCTTGATTTTTCTTGCTATGGTGGGACATACTGCACATGGAGCACAGATAAGTTGATGACAGAAAACACACAAGAGTTATCCTGCTGCTGCTCCATATAATAAGAAATAATCAGGCTATCTAAAGCTAAAGGTTCCACCGAGTTACACCTGGAAAAGAAAAGGGCACGAAGCCATGAGACAGACCTGTGTGCCCCAGTCATTTACAAGGAGAAAAGCCCTTAGGAAGCACAGACTCTACAGAGAATAGGAGACACACGATGCTGTTGTTTACAAAATTACGATAGTGGAATTTCTGAAGACTACTCCAGTTCTCCTCTGAAAGGAAACAAATCCACATATCAACGTGTATATACAGTATGTTCAGTCTCACTTTGCTTGATCCTAATTCAAGTTCGAACTATGAATAGAAAATTAATAAATTTTTAAAGAAATCGACCCATTTATAAATGCTGTAAGGCATCACTCAATGTCTGATATGCAGTTTGGTTCCATTTCTTTTAGAAGAAAATGCATTCTGCCTCGATTTCTTTTTTTATCCAACTGTTTCTCCCAAAAACATATCACTTGCAAAAAGTGAAAAAACAGCAACTGAGTGAATTAATACACATTCGGACCCGTAAGTTTTAGTTTAGAGAGTTTTGCTTCTTCCGAAATTTCTGCAACTGAATCCCCTTGACAAACCACTATCTGCTTAGTGCTAACCTGGCCAGAGGAGGCGTAGACAAGTACTACCGAGTACTGCTAAGGAGAGAAGAAGAAAATGGGACCCTACCTTCTCTGTCGCAGGTGGTGGCAGGGCTCCTGGTTTTGATGAGAGGACTCCTTGTCCTCTGCTGCTCTCTTTCAGCCTGCTGCTGCTGCTGCTGTTGCTGTTGCTGTTGATGCTGTTGCTGCTGTTGTTGCTGATGCTGATGATGATGAAGCTGCTGCTGCTGCTGCTGTGTTGGGTGCTGCTGTTGCTGCTGTGTTGGGTGCTGCTGTTGCTGTAGCTGTTGTTGTTGTTGTTGCTGCTGCTGCTGCTGCTGCTTGGAGACCGGCGAGCCCTCTTGGCACAACTCCACTGCCATAGTGATCTCGTGCTGGTAGAGTGCCAAGGCATGGGGGCCATTTCGCCCGCCTCCCTGCGAGGCCATCTCCTGCGTCCCGAGAACACAGACAGACATAGAAAACCTTCTCCTGGTGGCGCATGGGTGGTATAAACAGGGCAGTGGGCACAGAGCTCCCGCCACCACACACCCCTCTCTCCTTGAACTTAATTATTTACCAGCATCGTTATCTGCAGTCACTCTACACCTAGCAGGCCCACTTAATCCCACTGGAACAAGAACAGCCCTAATCTCTAGATTTAATTGCCACTAATGCCGCCAGCCCCACACGTGGCTTCACCGCAGGTTTCTCCGGAGTAAACAGCTCAGATGAGACCGTCTGGAGCGACTCCCACAGCGCACAGGCAAGGGGATACCCAGGGGCAGGAGCCCGGCCCGCTCTTTGTGAAATACGACCGGCCTGGGTGGCAGCGTAGTGAGGGGCAAAGACAAACGCAGCATTTCACAACGGCACGGGAAGGGCGGGCCAAAACAAAAACAAAAACAAAAAAGACAGCGGTAAACATGAACAACTATAAAGCTTTCCGTTCGGTGAACTAAATTACAGCCCCCTTCCCCACCAGGCGCTAAGGTCTTTAACTTGGAAAGCCATCTCCTGTGCCTGCTGATAACGATCACCGAGGATTTCAAGTTTACTGAAGAAGAACAATCACAGGGTAGACTTGGCTTCACTTCCTGAAGTGTCAACTGACTCTTCTACTTCAAGGAAGAAAAGAATTACGCGCAGATGTAAATACCGCCCAAGAAAAAGCCAGTGGGATTGGCTGCTTTTCACATCTAAAATAAAGCCTTCAACTTTCGAGTGGCTAGTTAAAGGAATGCATGTGGAAACAAGGAAACAATTTTGCACTTGGCAAGTAAAAGTCCAACCATTTGATCTTCCCACAATACTCGTAATTATCCAAGGAACTGTTTACCTCATCTGCTTACAAAGGCCCTTCACATAAACACCAACTGACAGACTTTTGGAATATCACTTTCTTGTTAATGTACTTGCATTAACTTACCATACAGTAATACAAGCAATTACTTAATGTATTACTGTAGATTGTTCAAGTTGCCCTGGTGAGGGGCACATGCTATAAGGAAATATGGTCTTGTAATAATAACTTGGTCAATATGAAGTATGAAAAGCTGAGTAAGAAATCACACTCCAAACACTGACAGGCTGCTAACTTGCAAAATCATGCTTCATACCAACAACATTTTGCATATTATCCTGTGCACTTTCATAGGAGGGAAAGCACAAAGAGTCCTGTTAAAGAAAAGAAAGAACCCTGCAATGCACTTTTAAAGGAGTCTTCTAGGAATTACAAGACTATGAAACAAACACTGGCAACATACAAACCAATTGCTCTAGCACGTCACTTGATCAACATAGCTCTCTTACTTTTGAATCTCAACTATGTCACTAAGATAATGAAGTCAAACTGCCTAAAAATGGTCATGGGACACCACAATGTGCTTGATTAAAATTCTTATTTATGAACAAAACCTTGCACCTTGGTATACAACATCCTTATTTAACAGCTTCCAAATGTGCCCAAACAGCCTTTGACCAGTTCTGTCAGCTATTATCTGAACGCAAGGCTTTGTGATGGTAGTATTTTAAACGGGAAAAAAAAAACAAAACCACACTTACAATTGGTGGAATGGCAGCCGCCCTGTGTTTCAGCTGTTTGAGGTCCATGGGTTTCTGGAGCGGAGAGCTGATGACACTGTCATGGGAGTAGTTCAGCAAGCTCATCCTGGGCGAGGTCATTCTGCAGGCACAAGCACCACTAAATCACTCTGTACCCCGCGTCCTTCCCAGACAACAGGGCAGCAGTGCTGTGCCATCTTTATTGATCCCTTGCGCCATTACAAGGGATTTCAAAGACATAATGAATATGGCGAGAGGTCTGCACAAGTGGACAAAGTGAAGTCAGTTCTGCCAATAATGACTAAAAAAACAACATGGTCACCATTACGGTAATACCGCACTCACTGAACTCCATGGCAAAACGCTGCTAATTTAGCAAGGATTTTTATGTACTTCGCAAGAAATGCCCTGCATCCTGATGAAGCTACATTGTGACAATGGCTGTAAAAGAGAAATTCAATTTTTCTTTCACCACTATTACTCTCACCTAACTAGGAGGGGCAATGTTACCCCAGTTCCATGCCTTACTTATTTCAGACAGTACCGGAAATTATGACACTCCTTAATGTCTTCAAGGCCTGAGGGGCATTTGTCAGAGCTACTTATTTTAATACAATCTAAATGACCAACAGGCTCTTCAAACAGTACACAAACGCTAAAATGTAAAATGGACCATCTGCATCTGAAAGGGCATGCAAGGTAGTAGATGTCTTACTTAGGGAGTTTCATAACTAAACAAAAAAGCTGTTAACAACATACTGCCAGCAGCCATATCACCCTGCGACTCACAACTAGCAACCCACTGAAGTTCAGCAGGTGTGAGCCTGGCCAGGACCTGGATAGGAGACAAGTGTTAGTGGGGCCAGTAGGGGGCGCTCACCCTGCGGTCCTAATGCCCCAGTAAAGTGACAGGGACACTATACTGTAAGCAGGCGCCATCCTTCGGTTGAGATGTAAAACCGAGGCCCTGACTCATTAAAAATCACAGGGAATTTTTTTTTTAAAGAGTAGGGGTGCTTCCCCAGCGTCCTGGGTAAATTTCCCATTGGCCTTTACCAGTCATGGCCTCCTAATAATCCCCATCTCTGAACAGGCTTCATTACTCTGCTCTCCTCCCCACCGATAGCTGGTGTGTGGTGAACACACTAGTGCACTATTGCTGCCGTCACATCATCCAGGTGAGGCTGCACACTGGTGGTGGTGGAGGGGATCCCCATTACCTAAAACGCTTTGAGTGGAATGTCAAGAAAAGTGCTATATAAGTGTAAGCAATCATTATTACTATTATTATTATATTGCTCAGCCTGTTAAGGGCACATCTTGCAACAGTGAAACAGCTCCCCCTAATGCTCCAAAGCTCCCGTCCATTATTCCACAAGGGGGCCCAATAATTCAGACACTGGACAGGCAAAGTGAAAATGAAACAAACAACATTCCTAATTGCCCCTGGCTTGCTGGCCCCTGCATGCGAGCTGAAATATCAGCCTGCAAATTGAGCTAGATACTCCTGGGCCCACCTGGCTGACTGCCAACCTTAGACCACAGCGTAACTCTTCCCCTGCCCTGTCAAAACGCATCACTATCATCTTGTGGAAGCACTGCTGCTTTTTAAGCCTGCTTCACCTCTTATGTACCCCCTTCCTCAAGTTTCTGGCAACCCAGAACTTTCTGAGAGGGCGTTCCGGGCTGCACAGAGTTGCGTGTGACCTCGGCCAGGCGGTCATTACTCGCACGGAAAAATGCAGCGCAGGTGTGGAGCACAAGACGCAGGTGTGAAAAGGGGTCTGATGGGAATTCTCCAAACCCAGCCCTGGCTGGGAAAGGAAGGGGTCCAAAGGGGAGGTACAGTCAACTCATTCCTCTGTCGCAAAAGGACAACAAACAGGGGTAAACTCAGAGGTTTCCAGGTCTGGCAGGAGTCAAGCGTGCAGGTTCCAGTTCCCTGAGAGGAGGGGAGCCTTACAGAATCAGTGCAGAGGCTCCGCCCCAGAGTTCCTGCCCACACGGAGCCCAGAAGCCTTTAAAACACCATGAGATTCACGGATGACGGAGGTAGAGAAGGGGGAGATCCTGGCAGCGGAACTGGACGGCACATAATCGAGTAAGGCAGGCAGACAAGGAGCAACTGGCATGACTACCTGAGCTAAGGTACTCTTGGCAATTCTGCGCCAATAACAGCAAAAAGAAAATGAACAGTTTTGTTTGAACAGCGACGTTAAGTGATGGAATACAGCACAAAACACTGGAGTGTCAAAGCAGACTGTAGTTATCCAGTATACAGTAGCTTAGCAACCCTATAGATTCCTTCTTAAATCTTATTGATCCCGAGCTAGGGAGTTCTCCATACTGAATTTCCTATCCAAAGGAGGAACAATAACAACTGTCTCTAGACTGTTCCTGTGCGCTTTAGTGTGTAGGTCTGTGTCCCATGTTCAAGTCTACATTGCCACAACATTTCACAAGGAATAAGGGCTTGTCGAATAAATACTGGATGGCCGGAGAATCCCCCGCAAGATTAATAAAGAACAAAACCAAGAAGTATGAAGGCAGACTTGGCTCAACTATTACCAGTGTGGGACAGTCGGGGGAAAAAAAATGCTCTTTGAGATAATTAAAAACTCTGGTAAATAGACCAAATGAGTCGTGTTGTTGTACCGATAAGACACTCGAAAAAGGAAATTAAAAGAAAAAAAAGGTTTGAACAACACAACTCTGTGAAACACATCTGACGCCTTAGACTTTCAGTGTTGTGTCCCTCTCTCACGGAGTGAGGCCAGGGGACTCACCTATTCTTGTCAGAGGTGTCGGGCTCTTCCACTTCATCTGCACTGCATGTGGCGCTGGAGTCGCTATCCACATGGGAACCGGTCTTTTTGGCACCCTTCCCCGCGCTCTTCTCAGCCTCGGTGTCAGCTGGGGGTTTCTTGTCACTGCAGTCCATGTGCTGCTCTGCGTCCTCACTCACAGCCTCACGCTTAACCGTGTCCTCGGTGAGACTTTCCCCAGAGTCCATTTTGACCTCCTTCTGCTCCTTGTCAGGCTTAAGGCCGGGAGGACGGGGCTCCTCTTCCGCACTCTTCTGGGAGTCTCCCGAGGCGGGGTCCTCCATGCTGGCGCTGGCTCCTGAGCTGTTCTCCGTCTCAGACTTGGGCCTGCTGTTCTCGCTGTTCTCTTTGGTTTTGCTGTCTTCCGAAGATCTGGGAGAGGGGAGACTCTCTGTGTCTGAGCTATTATTAGCTGCAGCTTGAAAGGGGAAAAATGTAACGGAAGGGGACACAGAACAAGTACATATTAGATGTATAAATATGGCGGCACATTACATTTAAGTTTATTCATTCAGTGTCTGAAAAAGATTAATAAAACCGACAGAACTCTACATAAGCTGCTGTTGTTGAGTGTTGATAATCTAAGGCTCTGATGTTTTGCCTACTAAAAATCTCCTAGGCTTTGACTTAAAAAGAAAACAGCTTTTTTTTTAAAAATAAAGCAGCATACAGTGAGTCCTTCAGAAGCCCGATACACAAACTGAAAAACGTGGTATCTGGTAATTCAGATACAGAAGTAGTGCAAATACAGGGCACCTCAAGTCCCTCAAGGATAGGTTTCCAGAAAAGGTCTATAATTTATTCAACAGCATTCAAGCTCTCTCATCAACCCCCAGAACTCTCCAATCGGCAACCAACTTTTTCAGTTTATCACATGCTTTGAAACCCTCAGCTGTCCAAGGTAAATATTTACTAGCCATGGTGCTACCTAGTAACCTACAATCCACACATGAAGCCATTCTGTTAATACAAACTTTCTCATTGTATTTCACAACTTTTCCAGGATATTTAACTTTTCTACAAACTTTTGACCTGGAAATCTATATCCTGTGACTTTACCCACAAGACTAAAGAGCTGCAGTGTCCCTCCCAATAAGATCTGCCTGAAAATCATGATAGGGGCCACAAGTGGAACCTACGTGCAGTGCAAGTGCATATTAAACCGAGAACAAGAGGCCCTTCTTTACACAAAAGGTGGTGGGAGTGTGGAACAAGCCGCCCGGCCATAATCTTGAAGCCAATTCCCAAAAGCCACTACCAAACAAGCTAGATGGGCCAGATTCTCCTTTTCGACCATTCTTTATGTTCTTATACACAAAACGGTCTCCTTCAGCATTTTCTGCCTCCGAAGCAATCGGCCGGCTCGGATGTGGCAAACAGGAACATACTCTCTCCATCCTCGGCCATCTCCTCCTCGTTGCCGCTAGCCCCCGACCCCTCCATCTCCTCCTCGGGGGCGCTGGCCTCCTCGTTCTGCGCTGCCTTCTTTTTCCTGCGGGCCTTCCTCTCTTTCTCCTGTCGTGAGGCAGGGAGGGGGTTGGGGGTGGGAGTTGTGGGAAAAGACCACCAGTTCAGAGTCTCCTCAAAATAAGCAGGAACAGCCCAAACGTTCAGTACAGTTCTTTCGCGTCTGAGGGAAACGCTTCTGTGAAATTATAGATTCCTTTCTACAGGCTTGGGGAAAGTCAAACGTTATCTTTCAGCATCTGCAAGACAACTCTTAGGCCTTTCTCCAAAAATATGTCAACAGTGTTTCTCTATAAATGCTGATATTTGAGTTAAGATTTAAATAAAAAAAAAACACTTTATTAGTATTAATTAGTATTACAGAAAAAGAAAAAAAACTCCAAAAATGTCATAAAATGTAAAACCTACTATTACCTCCGATTTATGTATTTAGCCCAAGTTGGGAACAAAACCTGACAATACTCCTGTCAAGTCACTCTGTTACACAGGGATTCTTCATTACATCACCTTTAGCTTCAAAGGTGAAAATTTGTCACTAAAGATTTAGCAAAAGGCGATGGAAGAGTGGAGGCCTTTCTCTTGCTCTAGTGTGTGTGTAACTGTGGCTTTCTCAGACCGCAATCTGTCTGATGCTGTGACAATGCTGGTTTTGCCTTACCGATTTCATTTTGTGCTGCTGCAGAATTTCATCCAGTTTCTGCCTCTTCTTGTAATTAAAGTAGAAGTTCTTGCACTGGGACACTGTTTTGGAGCCCACCATCTTAGCAATAGATGACCAGTTTCTTCCATACTGAAGCAGCCCTGAAAAAATGAAAATTCAAGTACATCAGAGAAGGAGCTGAGAGACAATTCCTAATTGAACTAGACAGCAAGCTGGACAGATTGCAGGATTGTATACAACTTATGCCAAAGTCCAACACTGGGCTATAAAATTTAGCACCTTATTGCGAGTCAACCTCCACAGACAGGTAAGTAACATTAATATTAAAAACACTTTTAATAGTTTTTAACTATTATAACTAATTTCCTTGTGTTTCATCACTATGCGTGCAAGAGTGAGCAACCGCTAAAATCTGAAATGAATTGTACTGCTCTGCAACCAAAGTACTAATTTGCTTCCCCAGGTAAAGTTGCAGGTTGAAATGAGATTACGTTTCAGTCTCTGTACCATGAGGAAAAGAAGATGAGTGAGGAGGAGAGGGTAGTTTTAGTTTTCTTTAGAAAGTAGGAATGTTTCTGTTTTCCACTGGGACCTGTGAGACCAGTCAAAATGGAATAAAACAGGTCATACTGTAGCTCTAGGCAAAGTCTCTAAATTGCACATAAAAATAACTGCATCTCAAGCAAAGCAATAACTCTGATCCACTTTATTAAAGATCTTACAACGGCAAAACTAAAGCAGCTGTATCACCCTGCAGCTCTCAGCCAGCTACCCACTGAAGCCAAGCAGGTGTGAGCCTGGTCAGTACCTGGATGGGAGGACTCTTGGGAAGCTATGGTTGCTACTGGAAGTGGTGTTAGTGGGACCAGCAGGGAGCGCCACCATGCAGTCTGTGTGGGTAATACCCCAGAATAGTGGCAGGGACACTACACTATAGTGGTTGCTGTCTTTCAGATGAGATGTTAAACAGAGGTCATTAAAGATCCCTGGGCATTTCTTGATAAGAGTAGGAAGTTATCCTGGTGTCTGGGGCAAATTTCCACCCCTCGGCCTTTACTGTGGCCTCCAAACTGTCCCCGTGTATGACTGGCTTGCATGTGCCCTGCGATGGACTGGCTCCCTGTCCAGGGTGTACCCTGCCTTGCGCTCGTTGCTTGCCGGGTAGGCTCCGGCTTACCGCGATACCACATGGTATAAACTGGTTTTGGTAAATGACATGACAATGCAGAACTGTGGCCATCAGGCAAATGCTGAAATGCTGTTTAGTTTCTAACTGCAAAACATGAACCATGCTTTTTGGACATCCCTGTACCTGATTCAATCAGTCCAGCAATGCCTTGCCTTCACCATAGCATTCTCTGCTCTGGCAAGTATTTTAATTACTCCCATCACACCTGCATAAAAGCAGAAAGTATATTTTGCCTGTAATGCACCTATGGACAGGGTGGAAGCGCCCTGAGCACACCAGGGTAGGTCGTGCGTCCTTCTATCTAGGAAAACGCACACAAGCTCTCCGCCAATGCAACTGTGGGATGACACAATAAGTTTATTGCAGAGCCAGCAGTTTAATTATAAGCTGCACGGGAAAAGGAACTCTCACAACTCGCTTAATTAAACAGAAGTCTCGGAAGATCCATCCTGGCAGATGTGACTCCTCCCATCAGTCTCCCACTGCTGCCAAGCGGGAGGAGTGAAGGCAGAGGGCAGTTAATCCACACAAACTCTGATGAATGCAGTGTTACACAGCCACATTCGATACAGTATACTCTATTTCTTCTACAACTACAATTTAAAGATTTGGATTCGACAAAACTCCTGTAAGGAGAAAATTGACACCCCATTATATTCTGAGGGAAAAATACCCATAATACTAGTACCGGTACCCCAATAAAGCTCTTGCATATTGCTCATATGTAAGAAATAGCTCTCCTAGGAACACATCCGCATTGAACTCAGGCTACAACTGCCTGGATGAGTGCAAACTCCCACAATGCTCCTCTCTCTGAAATGCATCCTCCTTTCAGAGACACTGCTGTACTGGGTTCAAAGGTGAAGAATTTGATTTCAATTCCTAACTGAGGCAGTAGGGCAATGACCTGTACCTGTTTACCTTAACAATGGTAACGACTGATTGCTTTGATAATGTCAACACATCCTACATGTGAAAAGGACTTGTCTTGGCAGGTGCTTTAATGATCATTACAGAACTTTTGCACCTGCTGTAAATTAACTGAGGACAAAACGAATTTACAGAAGGTGCCTCTGTAAGATGCGTCAACAGTTCTGCAATCGATCAAGAACTAGCAACCAAACGAGCCAGAGTCACAGAAAGGCCACCTCTCAATTGCAACCTCTGTTGTGATCTTTGAAGGTTTTCTCTCCCAGCAATCAACAACAAGGAAAACTCCCAGCGAAGTCTAGAGGACACCGTGGAAGCAAAACTCATATTACGGTCAGGTTCTTCTGAAAAATTCACAACAAACAATCGAGACCAGGAATGTGCTGCATTCTTAGGATGACACCAACAGTAAAGAGTCTGGAATCCGCGAGGTGATTAAGGCTGCAAGCTGAACCTAAAATACAAAACTGTTAACCTTTGGTAGCCAGTGAACATTTAAATATGCCCGTGATAAATAATTTTGATAAAGAATGTCCCACAGCTGCATAATGCCACTAAGCCATAATCTGTAAACTGTTTGAATAGCAATCCATGAAAGGATTTTTTTTTACTTTTATAAGAAATGCTATCTTCCTCACCTCACGCAAGCTCGACACTGCATAATCCAGGTGCCCCTTGTTAGTTTCCATGTTTATACGCGTCACTTGTGTTTCCAACTTTCATATAAACGACCCCGTTTTCCAAGAATATCCGCTGTGGCATGGAGCTCAGGATATTTAAAACCATACACTACTGACACAGGACGTTGCCAGAGAAGGAAAATAAAAAGAGCTTCAACTCCCACCCAGGTGCTTGAGGTCAAATGAAAAAATGTTTTAAAAAAAAACAAAACAGGTGCTTTCCCGTGACAGCTTTTTGCCCCTTGACCTCCTTTTCCGGACTCGCCGGCTTCGGCTCACATATTTTCCGCTCCTGTCGCCCGTATCCCTTGACGGAACAGAGGTCCCTAAAGCAGCTACTCTCTCTCCCAGTGCCCTCCGCGCTCCTCTGGTCTGACGCGGCGGCGGCGCTAGCGGGGCTCCGAGGCAGCAGTCCCAGAGGTTCAGAGGTGAACGGAGCCCCCCTGGGCGAAACGTCTGGCGCCCTCCTTCCCCCCCGCTGACACCCGAGACTCGGCGACGCCACGTGCTGCAGCCCCTCGGGGCGAAGCTGCCGGGGCAGAGGGGCAAGACGCCTCTAGCGGCGCAGCTGACGGAGAACTGTCGGAGCGCCTGGAACTCGTATCTGATCCCCTCTAGGCATCCCGGGTCCTCTTACCCATCCTTTCCCTGCCACAGAGCCGATGACACGAGTGAATGCCAGAGGAGTCCTCTCCACAGCCTCGGCTCTGCCAAGTAAACAGAGAGGGACGGCGGGGAAAGGGAGGCGGAACGGAGGGGGGGGCGGGGAGGGGAGTGTGGGACAGAAAAGGATGGCAGCCTGGCAGCACAGCAAAGAGCCGGCCACTGGCGAGAAGGATTGATGCCGTTGCTATGAGGAGGAGTCGTAAAGCAGGTCTAATCTTTCCCCTGGCTGACCCGCATCTCAGCTCGTCTGAATGTGACCTCCAGACTGCGCTTTAATAACCAGAGGGAAAAAAAAAAGTGGCAGTAGGCCCGGGCTGGCAGAGGCTGTGGAAGACTTGGCCCCTACTACTCTCTTTTCTCTCGCTCGCTCGCTCTCTCCCTCTCTCCTTTTCCCACTGCCTTAAACGTACAGCACGCATTCTGGTTGTCAGCAAGGCCAGGCGAGGGGGGGATGTAGGTTTGGGGGGGCCAAACAAAAGCTTTCCAGTCTGCTCCACACAGCGGGATTCACTGAAGTGCGCTGAAGCTCCGTTAGTTTTTCTAGAGCAAGGCAGGAGGCGATTATCTGGCTGTACACGCTGAAGGAACAGCTTGACAGATTAGGAGCCTTACATAAAAAGTGACCCAAAGTGCAGCAGGGTCTGCTACATTTTTTCTTCGAGTTGTTTTTTTTAATCTGCCTCTCTGTTCGTTTCGATACGGAGTCAAGCCCAGAAACAGGAGGGGTGTACAGACCTGTCATCCCTTGTGAAAATAATAGTGCGGAAAAATTTGTTTTGGCAGGATTCCTTTGTTTTCCAAGGCGCACAATGGAAAACTCACTGGCAGACCTGTGACGGACTAGGGAATGAGGCACGGATGCCATTACTCTGAGCACCGTGTTCTCTGGAGTCGACACTTTGCTTCACCTTTCCGAGCGACAAACAAAACCGTAAGAGGAAAGACAACAAAGACCGATACTGCACATATGCGCCCTGCGGGAAACAGCAGGTGCTCCCGAATATGGGCCTCAAGGGCACCTAGAATACAACCCAGCTGGCTTTTTAGATCTCTAGACTGTCAACAGTTTAAGCCAGTAGAGAAGGTTTAATAGTCCTGATTAGACAATTCAACTTCACAGGTCTTAAACTGAGACTGAAGCCCTCAGTAACCAGACCCCAGGGGCAGAGTGAAGACTACAGTACAAACTACAAGCCTTGTCCTACTACACAAAGCCCATAGCCCTGTGGGTCACAATACAATCCTTCACAAGCCTTTTATCATTACCAGACCTGCAAGAACACCACATAATGTGTAGCGGATGTAGACCCTGTAGACATACTGTACAACAGAGTATATTAAAGTGTATGTAAGTCTGTAACACCAAATTCCTCTCTATAGGCTAGAGAATGTAGCTGCTTTATCCTCTGACAAAGCAGTTTAGGTGTCTGGAGTTTTGAGCGAATAATACAAAAAAAAAACACCTGCCTAACAGAAGTAACCCTTTTCATTAAATTTAACAGGCATCTGATCATTAAGCCAGGAACTACAGATTCTAGCATTGAGGGTTTTATAGGAAAGAGGGATAAACCTTTTACAGTAATACCTCATTTGGCTAAGTTAGGCACATCTCATTATAAAGTGCTACATAAAAATGCTATAAAATCAAACCAAAAAAGCTCTAAACGAGAGACACTTCACATTTCCGTCTGCATTCCAAGACGCTTATCCTTTTTTTCTTAATGGAAGTTACAGAAATCATCTTAAAATCCAGCAGATCCTATTTATACCAGCCCCACCCCCCACCTCTTAGTTACATAAACCTTTTGTAAGTATCTAGTTCATATGCGCCCTGCGAGTAAGGCTCACCCAGCCTCGAGGACAACGATGTCTGCTCATCTCCCCGCAGTGGATTGGAACTCAAAACATTAGTTTAGATTACGAGGACGCACTCCAGAGCAGTCAGCCCAGGGTGGGATCACCCAGTCAAGTGAAATGGAGGTGTTGGTGATGGCCACTTCTGCACTCTAAGGGCCAGGGCACAAACGCCATGTTGGAAGATGCTGGGCTGCCCAGCTTTCTGACGCCTCAGATGGGATTACTGGACATAGCTGTCAGGGTAGAGGCAGCACACCACTGCCATCTCACTGTAGACTGAGCACAGAAAGCAAGATTTCAGGGTACGTGGAGCCCTTGGGGGCTGTTTGTCCATTCGGACAAAGTCACAGACATAGAGGGCTGTCGGGGAGAAGCCGAATTTTAGTTTTGTTTTAGTCATTTGTTAAGTCAGTTGGGTATGAATGTTCATTTACAACAATACCCATTTTCAAAACACAGTGTGCTGCCAGGGCATATATGAGCATCTTGCTGAAAAGTACAACAGCTGTACCCCATTGGGATTTGAACCCGTAAACCTCTGGGGTCTGGATTCCAGAGCCTTAACCACTACCGCACACACGACTGAGTAGAGAAAACACAATACTGAACACAGAGCCGGAAGAGTGAACACAGAGGCTCAACCCATCATTTTTTTTTAATTTTCTGTCTAGATTTTATCTGTGATCTGGCTAACTTTACCTGTTCATTATCTTAGGGCTCTTTCACTACCACATACACACAGGGAGCTGATGGTGTTTACCGAGAGCTAAACAATAGTCATTAGACAGAGTTGTTTTTGCCTTTTTTCCTATATTGAAAGAAAATAAGAAGTAATGAGTCTTCAATGGAAATCCTGCCTCCTGATGTCGTATCTACAGTTACAATACAGTATGCAGAAGTACCAATTAAATTATCAATATAAGGATGCATCTTTAAGATCACCAGTGTACCATTATTTATCCTCGAACAGGGTTTGAAACCTAGTGGTAAACCCACCTTGAAAGGATTTGAAAATCTGACATTGTGAGTAAACAAAGTCAAAGTGGCCAGCATTGCAGCACATGCTCAACAGTATTAAACGGACAACCTTCAGCGTACAATTTTGGGTTATGCTGCCATGCACTGCTGTGCATACAGATAAAACCCTCACGTCTGCTTGCATGCTACTATTTCTGAGCACGCATGTGTGGGTTCCTTTCGCTCCAACGTTTGTGGTGAATGAATGAAAGGAATGGCCAAGTGTCTAGCTGTCGCCAATTTGGCTGAGAAAATCGAGGAAGATACAAGTACAGCCACCATGACCCTCTTCAAAGACAGATTTCAGGACGTACACAACTAGACAAGGCTAAAATGTTACCGATATACTAACCACTATTAATTATATTATTTACAAGAAGAAGAAAAAAACTTGAAAATGTCAGAACTGCGAGGAACTAACAAGTAATAAAAGTGGTGACTTTTTCCCTTGATGCTATTACAAGATGAAAGCTACCAGCTTGTTTCTTTTAGCTTTCAGGATAAAACACTTGGACTGGAGCCTCATCCCACAAGAATCCCACAAGGATGTCTGGATAGTCAGTTCCAGGGTCTGGTCTGAAACATATTTGTCTGAATGTGTATTCTTGCAGCTGATTTTGGAATCATGCCTCTATGTACTGTTATGTTCTAGGATGCTTTGGTAATAACGTTCACGCTAGGAGTAAACTGTAAAGCACTGTATTGCTGTGTTTTTAATTTAAAAGACCATGCATCACACTCAGAGATGAAAGCCTGCAGTCAAAGGGTTTTGCTCATTGCATCTAAAAACATTTGTGAAAAAAGCACAGCTTAGTTTGGAAAATCTCCCACTTTACCGACCCAGTATAAAAAAGAACCAAGAGTTTTTGTTTGCCTGTATACGCACGATATACAGCAGATGCAAATCGACATATCATTAAAAAGCCAACATTCCTAGAAAACTAAGCAAACAATTCAACACAGGCACAGTTTACTGGATAAGAAATAAAGCACAGATAAACCTAACCCGAGCACCGATTAGATGTTGCTATCTCAGAGCTCATTTTTCATTGTGAACAGATGACCGGGTTCGAAGAGATCTGTAGAGATGTGCGGCGCTCACCAACGTTTGGGAGCACTAAAGTGCCATTTCCGAGAGCGCTTCAAACATCTAGGAATGAACGCTGGCACTCAGCGAAACCTCACAAGAGTACGCTAACCTTCATCATCGCAGTACAAAGCTTCTGGCAACAGCAAGTGAAAAAGCCCCTCGGTACAAAAACAAAGGCGCAGAGGGGTCAAAGAGCAGAGGACTCAAGCAGACGACAAAAGATGTCAAACTTCCTGCCGCCAGCCAGCTTCCACTCCGCAGTGGCTGCACTGTACGAAGAAGGAAGCCTTCGGCAGACTTCATTCACAGCTGAGGGAACCACGAAATCCTGAGGAGGGAAAAATAAAACTTGCACTCACCTTTTTTGGCAGTTTCCATCTCCTCCTCTGTCCAGCGAGAGCTCTCGTTCATCTCTAGATTAGCTGCAAAGCAAGTATTTATTGACGGTGAGAATGTGCAGAGAGCAGGCAGTGTTAGTGTGCTTCAGTCTGCCTTTCAACCCAGTTTGTTTAATCAACTAGGAAGCAGGAAGCCCACATAAAATTCAGTTAATCATTACAGTTATTACTACCATGTTTTTCTCTCTTACCTCTGTAGTCCCCTGCTTGAAGCAGAACAAGGCTAAGGCCAAATCACCCACAACCCCATCCTCCACAGGCAGTATTCAATGCAAAATACAGAGGTGTGAGTTTGTGTGCACTGCTGAGAGGGGCTGTTGTAAACTATTATAAAACCACAAAAACATCAGACCAGACCTTACCTCAAAGGAACCATTTTGTTTCAAACAGGCTTTAGTTTTCCCTCAGAGATCAAATAGATCTGCTGGGCTTTTACGTGTAACACTACTACAATACAGAAGGAACCCATATGAATCACCATATTTTACACAATCCGAATGTCTGACTCTCTTTTCTTGGAAAAAGAAGTGCACTTTTTAAAATCCTAGTCCTTAGTTGTAGGAGACACTCATTCAAAATTGATACGATAGTAAAAGAAATATGATCTTCTTTCAGAGTTCCTCGAAATAATTATTCTAATGTAATTTTATTTGATGGATATGATTTATTTTTAATTTTCTACATGACATAATGTGCCATACATGTATGTACAGTACCAAAAGCCAGCTTTGTTGACAGTTACGGGGACAAGTCTATGGGTGGACACTGGCTCCCTCTAGTGGACATATGATGTCATGTTGAATTTTTCCATCATTCATCAAGACAGTGTCAGAATGAATGCATGGGCTGAAAATAATTAACCCAAAAATAAAAACTTGAGCTTCACCAGCTTTAGGTGGCTCATCTGAAAAGAAAGGCCCACACTGTCCTTATCTTTTCTTTATTTTCTAGCACATTAATTTTATGCGATGAGACTCGGGAAGAAGATCCAGCCCTTCTGTATAGTATCAAAAAAGACAGTCCATACAAGTCAGTCACCTATTGCCACATGTACTGAACGCTATCCGATTGGTTCAAAACCTGTAAAAAATCCAAGGTGTATAAATCATTTTATAATAAGCGGGCATGTTTGTCCCTGATGATGATGTCCCTAACAAACAAAACGTTTTTAAAGCTTCATTAAAGATTTAACTGAATAAGTGTCCAAATGCGGTCTCTGAGAGACCAAAATCTGGAGGATTTCTAAGTATGGTTAAATCCTTACATGATAAGCTGAGCAAACTTGATCAAACACAATCAGTAGGATAACAGAACAGTAAAACAACATATCCAGATTCTATGGAAAATCAGCTATGTCATTGTAACGATCCTTTAAAATTTTGAACTTGAAATATTTTTGGGCGGATGAGCTTTAAAATTCATCTTTACTAGCCCTTTAAAAACTTCTCTTGCTCTCTCTGGGACAAGAGAAACAAAGGCAATTTATTTCCCACAGGCACTGTAATCTGCTCTGGGGTGCTGCACCATTAGCCTCCCATCAAGCTCAGGGTCTCAGTGAAGGTCACTATGAAGCCAGCGTACAGGCCGACACCCCTGGGGATGACAGGTTTGGGAATGGCAGCAAACACTAGGACCAGCCTGGTTCCATTCCAGCTTCGTGACACCATCAGACAAAGGGATCATTCTCTTCTAGGCAATCAGGAGGGCAGATTAGTCCTGGACAAGTTCCTGACACAGCTGCCTGACTACGACACTGCCTATAAAAAGACTGGCTTTGTCAGACGCTCAGCTGTAGGGGAGCCTGCAGCTGCACTGGACCGTCACACTGCCTTCCCATCATGCAGCACTCCAGGGCGCACAGAGTATCCTGAGCACGGGGATGCAAAAGAGCAGTGGTCAACTCAACTCTCCTCGGCATGACTGGCATGAGCTCCTTGTGCCGTTCTGTCTCGGCTAGGTGTGGAGTAATTTAGATGCAAAAAATACTTCTGCTGCACATGAAGCTATTAAATACGGAACAAACGACCCCTGTCTGTAAAATAGGGCAGAGAGGGCAGACTGGCAACTTCCTCTTCTGAGTCTATACATAAAAGTACAGGCTCAACAGTTTCCCCACTACTAGTTTCGTAATACCTTGACAAATTGTGCAAGCTACAAACTACACACTTCGCAGAGACTGTCAGAGTAAATTGATCAGAAGACAGACAGTCTTAGACATGTATACATCCATCCCTCCATTTTCTAATGGCTTTATCCAGTAAAGGGTTCATGGGGGATATATATCCCCTGGACAGGACGCAGGGCAGGGAGACCAACTGACACAGACGTGCTCCCAATCACAGCAGGGGCCGTTTTCCCAGAAGCCAATGAACCTGCTAGTGTGACTGTGGACTGTAAGAGGAGACAGGAGCATCCAGAGGAAACCCATGCAAATGGGAAGAGAACACTCAAACTCCACACAGATAGTAGCCCGGAAAACTGAACACACAATGAAACCACTGCGACACCACGCTGCCCGACTTTAATTCAGCCACATTGTAACCTGGCCTGCCACCTGCATCTCCGAGCTTCTAAGCGGGGCTGGCTGAGGCGGTCGCAGCTTGGCACACCAAAGCACACAGCAGGCGAGGTCAGCCGGACGGCGGCGCGCAGGGACCTCACCCAGCTCGTTGCTGAGCGGCAGGGCCGCGGCCTCCTCGGTCTCGTTGGCCATGGAGCGGGTGATGCGACCCTTGCGGCGGCCCTGGCTGTTGGCAGTGCGGCGGCCCCTGAAGGCAACAGCTGGCTCCTTGTCCTCCCCGTCCTCCCCGGAGGTGTCGTCCCTGCGAGAGGGAGAGAGAGAGAGGACAGGAGAGGCGTGGGCAAAGGCCTGGGGTGGTTTTCCTCAAGCCCTGTGATCCTCGGGGGCCACTGGTGTGTAGAAACAGCTGGAGCCAATTCTGTTTGGATGAACCTGGACAGTGTTTAAATGAAGAAGTCGCCCCCCCCCCACCCCTGCACATGGGACCACGTCCTGATGCAGAGGTGCTGTGGCGCACAGCAGCTGCCTCTGCCCTGCTGGACTGTAAAGTCTCTACTGTAGGCGATGTCCAGTAACTGGCTTGGTGTATCACATTTCATCCACTCTTTGCCACAGCAAGTTGTGTAATATATTTTAACACAGAGTTTTCTACAAATTACCATCTCAGTAGAGTACTGGATATTAATAATATAAAAGTACTAAAATAAGTAGAATGTAAAATATCAGTATAATATTTCAAACATGATTGTTTTTTTAAAAGAGCAAAATAGCTCAGTTCAGAACACTTTTTAATCAGTAACAAAAGTCAAGGATAACACCATTTCTATCTCCATATTAGTTTCTACTTTCTGAAAAGCAGGATTTACTTGGTGACAAAGAAAAAACGCGGGTCGAGTTCGTCCATATACACACAAAATAATTTTTGAAAGAAGCAAGAAAAAAAAAGACTCCCCAGAAAACGGTTCATCCAGGGAGATGAGCCACAAATATAGGTCTTAAACTGGGAATAAGGTAATTCATCTGTAAAGCTGGCTTTTACGAGCTCCAGAAATCTCCTTCAGCGTCCTTTATGAACCAGTCATTTGTTTCAACAATAAAGTGAAGCACTGTGCAAAAAGAAGAAAAAAACAGGCTCGCACTGAAAGGACCTTCAAATAGCTTTCGCACAAGCTTGCATTTCCAGCATCAGCACAATCGGCAAGCTGACAGTAAGCTATTTGCAAAGTGGCCTTTCTGAATTCATCATTCCTGGCTCCTAATTAATCTTCCTGAAAGAAACCTGCTGCTGAACTTCAGGCTGCACTAAATATAGGACAGCCAGATGTTCCCTCTGGTTGCAGCTGGGTGAGAGAGTGGGCCCTCTGTCTCCCCCCGTTCGAGATTTCAGGGTGAAAAAAATACCTCTCTCCTGCGCACCATGCCCTATATTTAACCAGCTCCGCATCTTCGCCACAAATTTACTACTGTGGTTCCAGAGCAATGAGCAACAACTCCAGCACTTCCAGTACTTTTTAGACTAGGTCACCTTCCAGCGTCAATCAGGAGCACCTGAAGGCTCAAAACCTACAAACCTAGACTACAACAAACATTTCTGTCACATACTGTATCAGTACTCTACTGTATAATAAGCTTTCAATCACAGAAAAACGCTCAGCTGAATCCAGATACGTCTATCCTTGAAATGCAAATGTACAATATTACAGGACCTCTACTTTAAAACGGTTTTGAATACTCACAGCAGAAGAAGCGCAGTTGAACTTCATACTATTTTTATATACATTTTTACATTTCGCAAAGCATGAACATCACAAGCAACACGGAGACCACAGTGTCGATGTGAAATTTTAAGAAGCTAAAGTTACCAATTACCAGTCGCTGTAATGGAAAACAACTGTGACCACTGGTGCTGAGTGGTTGTGGAACGTGTCGTGTAACTGAAGAAATAAAAAGAGACCCGAGGAGACGCTGTGTTGAGTCAATCGGATGTTTCAGAAATTTGCAGCAATAAAGATTTAAAACAAATCTTTGTGTTCATCAGGACGGAGAGGAAAAACGACTGTGACTCAGACTGTACTAACACAGACTAACCCGACCTGTTCCAATTTTTCCCAAGTTGCCCAGGGGAAGAGGCAGAATGATCACACCACGCTCGACCCCAAGTCCCACAAAAAGCCTTTTAGCAACCTGTTCAATCTGCGTACAAGCATAGGAAGCATTAAGTAAAAAAAAATGTGCTGTTTTCTAAACCGTCATGCTGGGCAGAATAGCAGTTGTGAAAATGGCACGGAAATCTGCACTTACAAAACGTGGAGAACTGTGCTATAAACAGGAGGCGTACTGATGTGAACTCAATATGGTAATGCCCCAAGACCCAATACCAATCAAACAGGACTTTTACACACTGATCTTCTTTCTTAATGCATCTGCTAAAATAAAACTGAAGCTGAGCCAATACATTTGATACAAAGCACCTCCAACAGGGAAATAAAGCAAGATTTTTTGTGTGTGAAAGGATTCCATTAAAACAAAAGCCATGATTATAAACCAAAACCTTGATCTCATCATTTTAAACTCCAGCACCATTGCCTAATTATGATTTATTTTAACCATCAGCTGTGCTGTTTGGAATATGTCTCAGTTCTTTGTTCTTGTTCTTGTTCTTTTCCTTCGCTTTCTTCATGTGGTTAGCACTGAACTGGCTGGCACAGACACTTCTGGAATGCTCTGGCTGAAAATAACTTGTGAGGAATCCATGAAGAGAGGCAATCAATAACCTGAACGCCCAGAACTGCTGCCAACATGCTTAATTTGGTTGGATTTGCAGAGAAACTTTCAGAATTTGTTAGAAATGAGGCATTCCAAGCATGGAAAAAACAAAAGGAAGAAAATTAATCACTGGATAGGCATTTCCAGGAGAAAGGCATTGGTGATAAAGATATTCTGGGCTGTGATTTAATAAAGGGAGGGAGGAAGGAGTCATACCTCACATTCACACAAATCTAATTCAGTTTCCTGGACAGAATCCCTGCATCGTTATGTCTGACCAAAAGAACAAAACAATTCAAGGCTTCCTTCGAATGGAAGTTACTTCCCAGTAATTAATACATTTAATTTATATTGCAAAGGAACAAGTAATAGGTTTATTCCATGCTGAAAAAAAGAAGAAAGAGAACACAACGTTTCGGCTGTGGAGCCTTCTTCAGGTTCTTCTTCAGGCTTGACACCTGAAGAAGGCTCCACGGCCGAAACGTTGTGTTCTCTTCCTTCTTTTTTTCAGCGTGGAATAAACCTATTACTTGTTCCTTTGCAGCCTACGCATGCTGACGCAGCTCCCCACTTTAATTTATATTGCACATTTCACTACAGTGAATGTCAATGTGCTTCACATTAAAAGGAGAAGTCAAGGGACTTAAAAATCACCAAGAAGAACAAAGGAGATCAGACAGTTTATAGTACTGGAAGGTGAAAAGCCTGCTGGTTGAGAACATATTCATGATCTCAGTTGAAGCTTCTTGTCTGAGAAGACTGGGGAGGCTGTTCTCTATGAGCAGGGAGCAGAGACGGAGAAGACACCGTAACCCACAGTACTGTATGTAATCCGATTCTGGAGACCTGCAGCAGGTTAAACTGACCTGATCGTACTTGAACACATAGTTTTGACATTAAATAAACTTCCAATCTTCACGCAGTGTGTAAAAGAGTATGCTCTGAGAAAGCCTCTGATGGATGTGTTGATGCTTCACTCCACTTAGGATATAGCTTTAGCATTAAAAGTGGATTTGCTTTCTCATAATTGCACATTTCAATTTGGTTTCACATTTCACTTGGTAAGATCAATTAAAAATGAAGTCTCAAGAAAGAGATCCCCTTGTTAAAAAAGCTTTTTGCGCTGAGTTCCAAATCATAAAGACCACATGGAATTAAGGCACGTAAAGCAAAAAACCTTTTGTTGTGAAGCCTGACCCGTACAAAGATTATGGGGGGAAAAAACCTCCTACAATGACAAACTAATGAGATGTGGAACTTCACCCCACTGAAAGTCTCACCCAGACAAAATTTGTAAAGAAGACTGCAATACGATTATGACAACAGTATTCACAGAGAAGCCAGGAGCTTAAATTGCTTTTGAAACACTAAGGGAAAATGTCCTTTGCCGAGATTAACGTCTCAAAAACTAAGAAACCACTGGAATTTGTCCAACATTTTTAACATTCGCCATGGAATCCTACCAAGGACCGCTAACCAGGTTAATGATGTAAAAGACTGATCTGTAGTGTCACATGTGATACAGACAGACATGCGATTGACCAAAATGTTCGTTTTAGATGGTTAGCTTTTTGTATGTTTGTGTTAGGAGGAATTTGCACTGCATTTTGCCATTGCTTAACCAGCGGGAACTGTGCCTATCCAGATTCTCCAAAGAGTTTGGTGCAACGAATGAGTGAGGAGAGAGAGAGAGAAGTGGGCGACTCACTTCAAGCCCTCTTCCTTGTCGTTCTCCGTCTCAGGCTTCTCCTCCTCCTTCTCTCCCTCCTTCTCCTTGTCTTTCTCATCCTTGTCTTCCTGGCTGCTCCGATTCACCTGCTGCTGCTGCTGCTGCTGTTGTTGCTGCTGCTGCTGCTGTTGCTGCTGTTGCTGCTGCTGCTGTAACACAAGACCAAGACGTTAATATGACGTTCCGGTGACCGGAGAGAGAAACTTAAAGAAAGCACGCAGAGGAGAGAGACCAAGATGTTCCTCTTCGCGCATAGGCTGGTGGGTGTCTGCAACAAGATGCCCAGCCAGACTGCTGAAGCAGACTCCTTGGAGTCTTTCGAGGAGCAGCTGGAGACGTGGAAGCTGCAAGCAATGAACCAGCCAGCCCACACTCAATTGAGCTCAACAAAATTGTTAAAAGGCACCAGTTTTGACACTGGGGCGCCTGTTTTTTAAAATAGTTTTGCATGGTTTTGTTAGCATGGGGTATGAAAACCATGGGGCCAAATTTGGTTTCCAGTGGAGGGGATGGGACGGATGAGGGATCCCACCACTCATCTTGGCATGGCCCTATATCTTCACGTTGAGAAGACCCTGGAAAAATATTAAATTTGTCCCTCTGAGCCAGTAACTGTTTACAGCTAATTAAAACAAGAGATTAAAGATAGGCTTTGACACCCTCTATATACTGTACATAAAGGTTTGTAATGACACATGACAACATTGTGTGAAAAGACTCATTAAGACCAACCATTACTATGTATGATATCAACAGCTCAGAAGGAGCGAAACCAATCAACTAAGCGAGAGAGCTCCATTAATACCCCACCTGTCCAAACACTTATCCTAGACACCCCTAAGGGAAATGATGAAGGTCCTTTCCTTTTAGTGAAATACCCGTTTCCAACCCAGTCAAGACAAAACATAACCTGTTTATCCAGCCTCAGTGATTTTTTTCACTACACCAAGACCTACCCTTCACAACATGTGACATTTGAGGCCAGCCAGCAAGAATCAGTCCTTCGCCAGACTTTCACACTTCTGGTCTCTACGACTGGAAGGAAACTTTTTCTTTGCTCCCTCCCCCTCTCCCTCACCCCCATGTTCCTGGCTTTGGCGCAACTTCCTCGCTGCTGGAGAGAGGAATGCGGATCTCTAGGAACAGGGACAGATACTCCTGGCTTCAGCAATATCAACAGCTAAAACCTGCTGTGGGCCCTGCATTTAGTGTAACTGCTAAAGCCACGGAGGACAGATCCATTCCTAAAAGACAACAGACTTAAGCCCTCCAGATTTCATTCCAAACTTTTTTAATTGACCTAATTATTTGCGTAGGAAATCAAATGTGCTCCTGATCAGTTGGTTACTGAAAGAAGGTGCTTCTAAATAACTTATTTTGGCTCCCACTGACCGAAGTTGTCCACCCTTGAGCTACAGCCATTCGCATCTGGTGCTGTACTGTACAGGCACACCGCACTATAATGAGAAATAACGGAAAACCTACAGGACATTTCCGTTATGAGGAAGACAATAAGGTGTCTTAGGATAAGGATAATAATTTGACATGTTTCATGCCGCAAAAGACAGAGGCTCACCCAGATGTAATCTGAATGATAAAAAACAATACATTAATAATTTTGTATATACATTATACATTAATTAGATCTATGTAGGCATACACAACAGATCTCTTTATTATAATCCCTGCCGGTGCGCCATTGTCTTCTGACTCAAATGAGTTAAAACCACCACATCATAAACAGATCCTCTCTGAAATCAGAAAACAAAAAGTGTGACAAATTTGCTTCTGCAAACACAGGCACACACGCCCAGCAGTAGAAGAGAGCTGACACGTGTCTCTTGTTTCAGGGAGTTTATCCCAGGCCAGCTGAGAGAGATAAACAGTCAGTCAGCCGCTAGGCCACACCACACTACCTGACAAGCCCGCACGAGTCTTTGCTAGACACCAAGGAGGCGTTCCTTCTGAAACCGTCCCTCTCCTGTCTCAGCTGATCTGAATCTCTACAGGCTGCCGCCCACAGGACTGGACATCCCTGCGCTGTTATCAGCAGGAAGCCTCCTACCGAAAGCACCAGCCACGCGGGGGTTAAGAAACGCACGACAGCACAAGCCAAAATAGCCTGACATTTTTTTTTCTCAAAACCCACCTTCTGTTCCGCTGGGTCACAGCAAGCTGACAGCAGCCCCGAGCTCCTCATCGCAGCTGAGCACTGACTCAGTGAAGCCTCTGATCTGAGCCCCTGCTAACAGCTCCCTCTCTCCCTCTCTCGTCATGCTAAACTAACTGCTTTTCTCTCCCTTTCCGTTTTTTTTTCTTTTCGTTACTTTGCATACTGAGCCTGTCAACTAACCACAGCATTCCAGTTATGATTTTGCAATTTACTGGAATACTGGAGTAGCTCAGAGCCTGGCCTATGATTCATAATCTAAAAAAACCACAAGTGGTGCAACCCAAACCACAGGGCTGCTCGGCAGTGGTGATTAATCCTCAGGGACACCGATTCTGAAGAGCAGCGCAGCACTCTTCTTTTATTCTGCACTTTCAGACAGAGGGAGACATCTGCAGAAAATGAGAGCTGAGCTTCTTACCTGTGCACCCCACACTCCCAGCCCCTCCAAACACACAGACATCCCAGAAAGTTACACTCACACTCACAAGAATACAGCACACACACAAGCATCCTACAAGCCAACGAGCAAAATGCAATTATGACTCATTAATACAAATCCTGTCACAAAGAAAACTAAGGTTACCCACCTTAGTTACCCAGCTCCACCCTCTCACTACTCATTATCTGGACAGTAAAACGCCTTAGCTTTTTTTACAAATTAGAAAACCAAACCTTCTTCCGAAAGATTAAAAAATTATGTTCCTACAGTAAATCTTATCACTTAAAGAGTTGTTCTACATTGCTCCTTGTTAATTGAAAATCAGTGACTGACACACATTTCTGATTTTTAAAACTGGCACGTTCTCATTTGGAGCGCCTGCCTCAGGCGACTATTAAAAGCACCCCAAAATGACTTCCCTTTCCTTCGCATGCTAGCCTACGAACACCTCCACTGGGAAACGTTTTTTTTCAAATCTGTTTGATTTTCTTAGGCCGTTGCAAAGGAAAAGTAAACCACACAACACACGTTTCCATCGCTTAAAATAATCCCAGTGGAGAAACAGTGGATTTAAACCAAGAAGAACAGGCACATGGCTACATGCTTAAAATCTAGCCCTCTGCCCTAGTGGTCTCTGAAACTCTTCAAATAGCAGGCAACTCCAAAGGTACAGGCCAACAACTGCAGGTACAATCTGTCCAGAACCTGTCTAGAGCATACGAACTATGGCGCACCTGCCCATTCTTAAATCCAGGAATGTTCCAAAGAGGTGGCTTTGCAATTGTCAGTTGGCACCAGGGCCCTAGTTTTCACTGAATCTGGCCGAAGACTGGTGCAAGGTGTGAGGTGGGCATCTATAAACGAGCTGGCACAAGATGAAGATCTCCTATGGTTATCTTACAGTGCATCTGCGCTCGAGCGAGTGTTGAAACAAATCATGATTATCAACTGAGCTGCACCTCAGGACTTATCTCTGAAGGGACTTATCTACTGCCTCAGATTGCCACACACTGTCTTTGACAGAACCCGCCACCAGCTTCCTGCAGGGTCTTATCGAAGGAAACAAAATGCCACTCGTTGATGTGACTAAGCTTACCAGTTATTAGGCCCAGACTTTGTTCAGCAAACATGCACTCTTGTAGATCCACTGAAGGCTTAAATATGTGGAGAGAAACCAAATGACTGATTTTACTAATAAGGTTTCTACAGAAGCCCCCACACATCCAGAGGATGGGGTAACGACAGAACACAAGCCAGGTAGCTCCGACAAGGGGGGGGGCCAACACTGCACTTAAAATCCAGCTGCGATGGAAATGTCAGGCCTTGTTGCCGCACAAGTGATTTATCTGAACACAAAGGCACTCCTAGCGCACATTGAGAGGTGCCGTTATCAATGATGAGTGGAAAATGGACAGTATCACTCAGAATATTATGTTAAATACTTCAGATCATTTTCATATTCTCCAAAAAAAAACTACTTCCTCCACACACTGCTCCTCCCACACCTTTGAACACACAATAAGTCTCTGTTCCTTACAGTTAGTGATGCTTACATTCATCGTCATAACACTTACTGTAGTTGTCCATTATCTTTACAAGCATCTTCGTATTGAAACAATTTCATATGACCTGTACTGAAGATACACACACATCTACATGTGTGCAGCTGTCTATGACTTCCACTGTCTAGTCTACATAAGGGGCACTTACATAAGTGAATAAAGTATGACGTTACAGTTATCACACAAGTCAAAACAGGCACTGCTTACACGTGTCTTTTGTAATTTTTTTACCTTATCTTTGTGAATAAGGTACTACTTCTGTTAATTCTATATCACAAGAAAATAGGCCCATAGTATTATGCTACACTTCCTTACAGGACTAACAAATTTTATCTAGTTCATATCTACTGTACCAGTTTAGTTTTATGTTTTGTTCCCTTGCTAGAAACATTTCTGAAGGCACATTCTGAATTGAGACATCTTGTAACTGATAAACCCGTCATGAACACACACCACCAAAAGCTACAAGCTAAAAATCTCAGAACTAAAAAAAAAAAAAAAATCACTCTAATCACCTTTTGATAATCACCTAATTTTTTGCTGCTTTGCGTTCTGCACCTAAACAGATCGATAGCCTGCTCGTTAACATCGCTGATATTTAACGATTCTTTGAGGTCAATGTTGCTATTAAAAAAAAATCCATTTAGACTTCAGACTCATTATCCAGCCCTTTATTGCAATCTTCACTTTCATTCACATAAGGCTGTTACTCTTCACCCAGGTTCTATATTAGACGCTATTAACATCACCTTCTGCTAACGTGTTCCTGATTAAAGAAACTAAGGTGCTTAGCACTGGAAGACAGGATGGTAATGAGAGTGAGTGTTGTACAGGCAATGCAAAGCTAAGGGAAAACTACAGCTTACAATAATTTACACTTCTTTTTACTTAAGCCCGGCACAGAGAAAACAATGATTCACCATTTAATAATGACCACATATCAAGAGCCCTGTGTGGACCAAATACATTAACTTGATGATAGTACACTGTCAAAACTAAATACAGTGAATATTTTATAGTACACTCATCTCTTGCCATATGAGCACAGTTGATTTCAAAATTTGATTGTGTAGGTGAAAAACTGACAAATTCCCATTAGTAGTTCAGTAGTTTAGGTGGGCAGCTTTTTCATCAACAGAGGATACCCCAGCAGTGTTACTGACGGGGCCCTTGCCCGAGCCAAAAACACCCCTCGGACCATCAACTCAAGAAGGATCCCCCACCTTAACAACCGCATTCCCTACCACCCCAACACACACCCTATCCCCAGGATTATTAACGACAACTTTTCCATCCTACAGGATGATCCCTCCATTGGGGCCCTCTTTTCTGATCGCCCTATCATCTCATATCGCCGACCACCTAATCTGCGCAACCTTCTTGTTCACAGCTCCCTTGACTGCCCTCAGCAACCATCCACACCAGGCACTTTCCCTTGCAACAGAGCTCGCTGTTTCACCTGCAAGTACATATTTAACACCACACTCATTCAAGGCCCCTCAGGACAATTCCGGATCACCCAGATGGCATCTTGTACCTCCAGCAACCTTATTTACTGTATCTCTTGCAGTAAATGCGCAGCCATCTACATTGGGGAAACAGGAAGGAGACTCGGAGACCGCTTCAGAGAACATGTTAGGGCTGTGAAGATTAAAGATCTCTCCAAGCCCATTGTTTTCCATTTCACCTCTGACGGCCATGACCACTCTAATCTCTCCTTTGTGTTCTCAAAGACGGTTTTCCGAACTCATACATCAGAAAGACTACAGAAACCAAAATTATCCTGCAACTAGGATCACACCTTCTCCCTTCTCTTAACGACAGACTACTTTCCTTCCAAATTTTCTCCATTCATTGGAGGTTTCATTTCACAGCTCTCTACACCCATTCTGACTTCACACCTCTTGATTGGCCTCTCTTTCTGTCCCATGCTCCTGTCTCTCACTCCTCCTCTCTCCCAGCCTTTGTTGGCTTTAACACTTTTACATTTTATGTTAAGACAGGAGTAAAAAGTAAAAATGGAAGAATGAGTGAAACATCTGGAGTTCGCATAACTGAGTAAAGTTAACGGATATAAAAAAAAATAGGTATGGATATGCATTCTTGTTTTAGCAAATACTACTCTGAAAAGTGCTCTTTTAATGAGGGATGAGTTTATATTTCCAGGACTGACCTATTTATTCCACTACTCTTAGGAATACATACAGTACCATATTCATTTTTGTTTGAAGCTGCTGTTTAAACATTTATGTATGCCATGCTGTAAGTGGCAAAATTACTAGCACACAAATGCTTTCCAGTGTTTCGCTAAGGCTAAGAAATAAGGCAAGAAACAAGTTCTTTCCCAGAACCGCAAATTTAAGAAGTACTGTTCATTTTGGATAAGCTTCTGAGATAAGTCAATATCTGTAAACCAAGAACAGCAAAACAAAAACACTTTAGCAGGTGACTAGAACATCATGAAATATGAACTATCATGGGTGATATGAAAGAAAAAGGGAGCAAAAGAGAACACACTTACCTGGCTTCTTCCACGGCGGCGGTAATTCCTTCGGACAATGTTTTTGTAGTTTTCATTTTTCTTTGTCAGGTAGTAAAACAAGACGCAGTCGGCCACAGTCTGAAACAACACAACACAGGTTCATCGAACTCTCTGCGCTCACCCACCACACCTGGACACTTTCACTGGGGCACGATGCTGCACTTTAATGTAACTAAACAAACACAAGTGAGCAACAGTGACATGCATCTGGCTGGGATTCCAGAGCATGGACTTAAGCGATCAGATGAAACAGAGGGGAGGAATGAACTTTCAAATGCACAATTATCCTTCAAGGAACAAATTAGGCCATTTCCAGAACCCTGCCAAGCCGAGAATCTAATTAGTGAAACACTTGCTCTGCTTTATTGCGGCATTGCGGTGTGTACAGGCAACAGACAGATGTTCGGGTGACAACGAAAGGATTCAGACGCCTTGAAATGCAGAGTTTTGGAGTCTGACACTGGAAAGATAAAACAACTTGGTAGAGATACTGAAGCATAAAAGCTGTTCATTCTGACAGGACATCAGAGGTTATTAAACAAGAAAATAAATCTAAAGACCATCACACAAAGCTCCTCGTTAAGGTTGACGAGCAACTGTTAATAAGGACCTGAGGAGCATTAGCAGTGCCTGTTACCTCAGCCGAGGGTCTTCTAATTCTGAGGTAAATGAGGGAAGAGACTCAGTGTGTGTTAGCGCCATCAATGTGAGTCTAATTAATAGCTCCTGATACCCAGAATGAAAACCTCTTCTTTTATAACACTTTCCCCTTAATTGACTATTGAGGTGTTAAAAGATTACACATACATTATTTAGAGCTCTAATTCCAGTCTTTGCCTCATTATCCAAGAAATTAATTAGCTTTCTGTTTGTTTTCTTTGTTATCTTTCCATCTTACAGCCATAGTGCAGAATACCAGCAATAAATTAATAACCGTAGTGGAACTAGTACTAAGAATATTATTCTTATAAGATTTTTTTTTCAAGGGCAAGGACAGTGACATCCCGAAAAACAATCATTTACAGACCTTTGTGGCCCTTTTGAAATTTGTCCACCATTTAATTTCCTCTCTTTTATTACATGTTCAAGCTTCTAATTTTCACCCTACTGCTTTTGTTTTCATTTGGCAAGAGACGGAAAACATCCTTCCTCCAGAGCAAGATGAAACGCTTTGCATAATGAAGTCAAAGGGTTTGATTTTGAACACAAGAAACACTTAAGTATCTCACGTCAGATTCCCAGCTATCAGATTAAGGAAATGAAGCATTAAATTCACCAAGATGTTGCAAGAAGCACGTTGACAGACATGTGGTAGGTGTGTTGTTAAAGGGCACAAACCAAAATAATCTACTACTATAATACTATAATAAGGACATTGTTTTTTGTAAAAGGAAAGCGAAAGGTTTTAAATCATGTTCAATTAGTTTTAGTTAAAAGGTTAAACATAGAGCTATAAGTTGATCAAACACACAGAGAAATAAATAATTCTTACTGTATATATACATGTGTGCACTAATGTGAATACACACTCTAACTTTAGAAGACACTTCTGCTTAGGCATTAAAAGCTGACTCATTAGGATCTTCCTCCTTCCAACTTTAGCTTCTATTAATCTGATATCAATACCGAAGCTTCTTTGCACAGCTGAATAAAAGCACATCACAGGAAGATTGTTTCTAACCCACAGTGTGCAGTGTCTTAGTATAGTCTCAGTTATAAGGAAGGGCTCTCACCTTTCTCTCCAGAAAAGAAGCAATTAGACCAAAGTTCTTCGGGTGCTGAATGAACCTGTTGACCCAAGAAAGAAAACAGAGCGAATTAAAAAACAAAACAAAAATCGGACATATGAATTGTTTATTCCTGACCCCAGTGATGCCGGTGAGCTGTGCCTCGGCCAAGCTCAGTTTAGAAACTGGACCAGGTCCCGTCTCCCTTGACCTAAGGCTTGATCTCCGAGAGAGACCTGTTAATTAGAAATCTGTGTATACGTCTACATACACGTCTGTGCCTGAAGTGCTATCCCCACCTGACCTGCAGAACACATCAGAGCTCCAGTGTTGTGCTGACCAGAGCTGTTAGCATCATTCTTCTCTGTAGGAAGGGTCAATTGCTTTGGTAAGTGAATACATACACCCATCCCAACCACCACACGCCCACCAGTACACATATATCAGGAGTCCTCTGTAAAGGATGGATAACAAAACCTTCTTAAACTTGACTGCCAAGCCCAATAAACACAGATGTTGTCAATACCTAAACATTATGTAACAACAGTTTCAAATTTCTAGCAACAGTATGATTTAGGGGCAGTAAGACAAAACCAAGCTATTTTATTTTGCTGTTCAAAAAAGCTTCACAATAGATAATGGCCTCTATTATTATATTTAGTGCACATAGGTCTTAATAAGGCATCATCAGTATTTAATCAAAGATTATGTCTGTTACAGCAAACCTATCACACTTTTTCAGAAGAAAAAACGCTCCATGAGTTGAAATAAGTTGAACATTTGAGTAAATGTCTTACTAGGTTATAGTATTCACTCACCTCTTACTGTGTACATTTGACTTTTAATGTGGTTTGCAATGCGCTCATCAGCGCTGATTCTTTCTAACCCCGAAATATAAAAATAGCATTGCAGCTCCTGTTTAAAACCCATACACTGCCTTCTTTCAAGGAAAGCCTTGATAAGATACTTTGTTCAATTAACTACTACCAAACAGGATCGATGGATTCAGCTGGAACTCTTCGCTTATTTTCGAATATACAGTAGGTCTGCGGACAGCCACGAGAAATTAGAAATTACAGTACAGGCAAATTCTCTGGAAGGACATTTCTTTCTTAATACAGACCTGCAAAAATGTCACGATTTCACTTCAGTTCCAACGAGACCAACACCCTCTTTGTACTGAGGCCCACAGCAAAAGAAGCCAGACAGACTCCTTTTCTATCATGTAAACAGAAGTACTGGCACACATTCTGGACTGGCAGTGAACGCTGTAATATAAAAGTCTCGGGACTTTCTTTCTTACTTAAACAGCTTTTTTTGCACTACCCATGTGGCATGTATTGTGCTGCATGGAAATAACACGTGTATTTGTATGAAACCAGCTCAAAACAGAAGAGAAAATCTCCCCTTCAATAGTTTGACGTGATTCAAATCTGAAAGAAGTGTGACCAAGACTGACTGTCTGGAACAGACAGTAACATTAGCTGGAAGTTAAAGTAAATAATATTCCTGAATACAAACCTGTTCAATTTGAACATGGCAGTTTAAACTTTAAACCATAACAATACATTTTATCTGTAACTGCACCACTATACAGTTTTTGTGAATTATTAAGTTTAAGTAAAATTAGGAAAAATAAAACTTCATTAAAGGTAAGTACTTTACAATAATGCAAATGAAGTGCAATGCAAGTATGCACGAAACCAAAAATGAACTTGGTACAATATCTTGGATTCTTCAATGCTTTTTTACTGAGTGATTTGATCACTTCTGTGAGTCAAAGTCTAGCTGTCGAATTCTGAGTATGCTACAATTTTAAGGTAGTTTTATAAACTCTTACAAGTAGGTCTTTAATAAACGATTTTTGAAAAGACAAACACATGGACCACTTTTCCCCACTACAGACAGAAACCACAGTATGTAGCCTGGCAACATTTCTAAGAATGAAAAGCAATGTCTTTACAAATTCTGCACATGAGAACATTCAGAATTAAAGAGCAACAGAAATAATTCACTAGTTTAAAAACGAATTTGGATTCATTGTTCTTGGTGAGAAGACAGCAGCTTCTGAAAAAAGAAGTATCGACAACCTCCAGACAAAGTTATCAATTTCCTTTCACAATCTTACAGACATATCTTAACACTGCGAGTCCCATGAGGCAGAGGTTAAAACTGAAATAAGCAGGCCAGGACTTCACATCACACAGCCTCAAGTCTTCAATACAGGGCTTGTACTGCAAGATATTATCTACTCATGGCATGGCCTCGAGATATTTAACATTCATAGCCTCACTCCAACACCAGGGATACTTTAACAATGCTTCACTGAAAGACACCATTTTCATTTTTTTTATTTTATTGCAGAAACAGACTGTAGTTTTTTTATAGCAAACTAATAAAAAAGTCAAGCCGACTCAAGTTTCTCAATCAAAACAGCTGTTTCGGAAGTCATTTTAATATTGCTCACAGTCTTGATCAATTTTCAAAATCAGGGTGAAAAGAGAAAAGGAAAACTATCATAGCTGTTTCTAAATCTATTTCTGCCAAATCCTTAAGGCGCAATACTTTGGCTTTAAAAGTTCTAACTGAAGATGAACTTGCTTGATGTGGACATTTTGGTTGAAACCAATGGTGCACCAAAAAAGTGACAGCTGACCTCATTCAATTCTATATTTTTTTTAAATGTGGTTAGCTTTGAGACTGCATGCCAACTAAAGTCTTCCAAAGCCACTCCTATAAACCATTTTCCTGAAGGAAAATTACATTAAACTTGGCCTCAGTTTCATTCTTCTTTCTCAGAAGGCATTTGAGCAACAGAGAAATGCCAAGGAATTCAACCGGAAAAAAACAAGCAAAATACGTGTATAAATGTTGTTAAAAGTAATTTTCAGGTCCATATGGGCAAGGAAGTATAAGGTCAGTTTTTGGCAAGGTAATTAAAAATCTGGTAAGGGGATTCATCAGTCCAGTGACCAAAATGGACAGTTGTCTAGGATTCTCTTATAATGCCAACCCTTGTTCAAATAAACTCGAGATGTTTGCGTGCATTCAAACCTAAAACTAGACCTTAGATTTAGCCAAGCTTATTAATTTCCTGGTCTTTTGTTTCTGTGCATACACCCCTGTACCCCTGAGTATTCACAACGCCCTTCAGAGAAATATCAGGAAAGAGAGGTGTCAGAGCACAGGACTGCCACCTCGCCAGGGATCACATCAGCTTTCTCTTATGATAACTCATTTGAAATGGCACTAAACTGTTTTTAAAGTAACCTGGTAATTTAAAAAGACAAAACCTTATTTTATAAAGGGTTATTCTAAAGAAAAATCTATAAAAATATATCTTGCAGGGTTGGGTAGACAGTGATGCAGTACATCGTCAGATCACAGTTGGTTATCACTCATTTGCAGAAAATGCTCTAACAGGAAGAAGTACATCTAGGCAACATTTTGCTGGCCAAACTACTCTTCTTATCTTAAACACATTTAATTAGCCCCACCTTTTTCTTTTTGTGTGTGAGCTCACCCGTTTCACATGTTCCTTTTTTATGTTGAGTTCTGCAACCCAGAGTCTTTACTGTTTATTTTTCACCTCCTCAGTCACATCAAGAAGGGATACAGAGGTGATAAGAGGAACTGGACACACGTCCCTCTGTATTTATGGCAGGATCAAGTCTGGTATACTCCCGAGAATAAGCCAATGAGTCTTAATGTAACTAAAGGCTAATTCAAGCTGGATACAGAAATCTCTGAAAGGATATTCGCCATAACACCTTCAGCTGCTTTCAGGTTTCCTCATAGGGCAGAGGCACATATTAGGTTAAAACTCAATGAAGATAAAGCACTTAGTTGCTGCATCCGTTTAACAACTAATGCAATTTTGTTACCGATCGCAACTGATATATCTATCGCTGGCAGCATTTATCCCCCACCTCCCAGCACTCTGTAATCTTAGCCAAGGCTATTTCAAAGTGACAAGGGAGAGCACACAATGAAGGCCAGATTTAATAAGGCTCTGCATCTGAAGAAAATTGGCACCATTTTCCCTTTAAGGGAAATTTTAACCTGCTGCTTTTTTCCGTTCAGAAAGTGGTACTAACAGCCTAGATAACTCAGGGTTCCTGCGTGCATCCTAAGTGATGCAGTGCATCATCCAAGAGAGATTGAGTTCATTTTTTAGGAAAAAGAAGAGGAGGTCACAACATTGATACCAGTGCAAAGCTTAGCTGTCCACTGATCTGCCTGGCAAGCGACAAGAATATTTTTTACAGCTTCAGGGGTTACGGGCTGGATCATTAATTAAGTGACTGATATGACAACATTTGGGACCCCAAGTGCTCATAGCTCATTATTCAACTTCTACAATCATTTGTCTTTGCTACCTTTACTTCTTTTTGAAACTGCAGACCCGTGAAAACAATTTCTGCAGCTTACTTCATTCATGTACACAAACCTGCTGGATAGTACTGTAATATTTGCTCAGCTTCAGCGTGTGATGGTGTCACTGACTAATTGCATTTACAGGATGGTGGCGTTGACCACTATTTATAGCACTTATCTATAGATTGAGCATTGAAGCTTAGCATATGTTCTATAACACTGAAGCATACGAGTATGTTTTATGGAAAATACCAGTCAGGCAGTGCAATATATCCAGGAATGCATATTGGACTCACTTGTGGGTTGATTATAAAGAGAACTGAGCCTGTATTTCTCATGTCTGCAAAGCTGCAAAGTTTAATTAAAACTGCAAATTAGGCTGCAAATTAAACTTCTAGTTGGCTGCAACACAGTGATTATTTGCATATTCACACTGATCAGCCTGTGAGGATCATTTTTATTTATCATAATTTATATGTCTATACTCATATCATTACATCCATGCTTTAATAGGCACTGTTTATGGTCGGCAAATTTGATTCCATCCATCCATCCATTAGAAAATCTCGAATTCCTGGTAAGGGTCGAGGAAATCTGGAGGCTACCACAGAAACACAGGATGCAAAGTTGGGGGAAAAATTGCTTTATGGGCTGCCATCCCTTTTAATGAATCAGATTGTCTTTGGAGGATGGGAGGAAACTGGAACACGTGTTACAAAACTCCACACAGAAGGCACCTCAGACCCTGAATTGAACCCTGAACCCAAAAGAGGTGAGTCAGCAGTGCTAACCTCCACACCTCTGTGGCACCCAAATGTCTTACTGGTTGTGAGAAAATCCATCCCAGATGGAGCTTAAATCAAGCCAAGGCAAAATCAAACAAAGTTGAAGCTTTTCTTTACTCTTCTTGAATACCCATATTCTTAATCCTGAATAATGCCAATGCCTCAACCTTTTCTTTGTGAATAACCTAGGAGACAGCGGACTTGGGTATGTTCACAATACATTTTTTCCTAGCTGTACTAAAGGTATATTCTGCTCTCTCTCGTCTTTACTGCAGACTGACGCTAAGCAACGCTCTTCCACTCTCTGAACTGATGGTCCAGGAAAATGGACCCAAGTAATGTTTAACCCAGAATGCTGGATCTGAGATTTTGGAGCCCATGATTTCTACAGCTTAGGCACAAGCGCTCGAACCCTTTAGAAATCCCCGCACACATCCATGAGCTACTCATGGGCCTTGAAACTCCCCCTTTCATTATCCTCCCCTCCGTGACTAGTGGTTGTTCTGTCCATTCTGGTAAATGCCTTTGCACGATGTACCTATTATTGATCATGAAATCACTCTGTGGCAGTTTATTGGAAAGGACATTACACCAACCAAAAATCGAACTGAACTGAATTATTAAACAACAACATGCAGGCAAAAGTGAAAGTTCTGCAGCAAGAGACAAAGTTGTATCAGTGCAGCCTTTTCTGAGGTGTATTTGCTCCCGAGGAGGCTATAAAGTATTCAGAGTTGAAAAAGCCTTGTTTGAAAATCTTTCCTTCACAAAACATATGAAAATATTTTTACACTTATTATTTGCATTATTATGCATTTATCTGCATTTCACAATTCCTCTGTGACCTTACAAAGTGCATCGGTGCGATGTGCCTTACATTAAAATTGAATTCACTATCATTGTCCTCCTCGGCACACAAAACTAGTGCAAAAACATCCTCGACACAGAGAGAGCGCTAGCGATCAGTTTAAAGAACACATTTCATCAGGCAGCAAGCAGCGGGATAACCATGAGAGAGAGCAACCTCGCCTCGTGAAGCACAAACAGGCACAAGTGGAGGGCGAAGCTCAGCCAGGGCCTCCATCTCCTTCAACCCCGAAGGGGGGCGGACTCAGCCCACAGGGCAGGACCCTTCACTTCTTTCTTTAACCCAGCGCTCCCGCCCCAGTGCGGTCACTTACTTCTCGCGGAACGTGTCCTTCTCCTGCTCGCTCCACATGTTCATGACCTGCCGGTCCTTGTAGACCTTCATGGGGTCGTCCATCAGCCCGTTCATGTTGATGAACTTGATCCTCTGCTGCTCGGCGTCAAACAGCATCGGGGGGATGACGGCGAGCTGGCGCATCTGCTTCTCGGAGTTCTACAACCAAGAGGCCCGTTTAAGTGACCGAAGGAGGAGAACAGGAAGAGAACAGTGTGACGGCTGAACCGAAATAGCTTTGGGGATTCCAGTTGCAAATCTGCAAAATTAAATCCCCCCCAATTTGTTTGAGAAATGCATATAAAATGCGTGCAGAAGAAAAACTGTGATTGTTTGCAGGTACGATTCTTATTATTGATGGTTTAGACGCTTTACCAGCTAATTGTTTTTAATATTATGCTGCTGGAAGAGTTCTGACTGAGTGATGCTGTTAAAGGTTGTTTTGTATTTTAGTTTTGTACTGTTGTTGCATTGTATTATGGTCATACATGTTATATGTTTATGAGCAGGACAAATTCCCTTAGAGACAATAAAGGTTAATTCAATTCAATAGTGCTGTTCAGAAAATGCCTCCTGTGAAACAAAACCGCTTCTACACAAAAAGCAACAACCCTCAAAAGGATCTGAACTGCTCATTCAAGATGTCACACAATTAGCAATTTCTAGAGAAGTTGGTTATTTATTATTAAGCAATGCCAGCAGTTTTCATGCTTGAAGAAAACCCATTGTGTGGCATGGCACGCCTGCTGCTCACAAGCGTTATCGAAAAACAGCCGTTTCCAGCCACAGCGAAAAATCCCAAAGCCCCGATGACAGCACATGTAAGATTCAGAAGCCCTTGATAATGGGTCTCCACCGCCAGGCTGACAAAGCACAGAAGAGCAAAAGTGGATGTGAGGAGAGAGGTAGGACACAGTCAGAGGGACAGTAAGTGCGCCTGGGGGCCATCTGTAGTCGCGATCATAAATAATTGCAGAGAAGCTCGCCAACAAAGGTATACCTGACTCTGCTGAGGTATCACACCAGGCTAGCAAACAACCTCACACCAAGCCTTGCTGCTCGTGCATCTGAAACCGTTAATGCACTGACTGCACCGCCCTGGGAACTGAGGCGGCAAAAGAGTATAAAAGCAGTTACGCCTGGCTGTCCTTCACCCCACTGCCTTTTCAACCTTTTCAGCTAGTCTATTTGTGAGTCACTGCCCCCATCGACTTCAGAAACATAGCCCTTTCAAGAACCTGCTGTCTATATACTGTACTGGTCAGGTTTATATTTTTCAGCTCCCCCGTTCCGTAACGATGAGAAAATTAAGGTCACCGGCAGCTCTGAAAAGCTAAATTTGATGCGATCGACACAAGATGAAAAGAAGTCGCTAAGGCTGACGACGAAAAGGAACATTTGCTCCTTGCACTAAAGCCAAGTGCTCCAGACACGGGGAGCACACAGAACGGTCACCGTCTGGCACGGCCATCATGAGCCCAGTCAGGCAATGAGACCGGGCTGGTGAAAAAGAGGCTGTGGCTGGATGATAAGGTGGCACAGCGTCTTCCACAATTGCTCACTGCTCGTGTGTGAAGGTGAAACTTAAAACAAAAAGGAATCATTTTGGCCTTTCAAGAAATGACCTGTAACATGCTGCACAGGACTTTCATTTTGATTTCATTTCATTTACTTGCCAGTGTATCTCTGAGAAATACTATTCCTAGAAGGGATTTCCATTTTCTGTTATCCACCTTTCTCAAAGGTGTAGTAAAGAGTTTAATCTTAAACAAAGGTTTTGTTTTCAGTGCCTAAATTACAAGGCAAATACAAAACCTAAAACACACAAAGCAAACATAAAACCTATCATCGTCTCTACACCTACAATGAGTGTTTATCAAGCATTAAGAATAATTTAAAACAAGAAACTTTTTTTCGTATATTGCAGCTAAACGAACGCATTGAATAACAAGACCTTTATAAACACGTTCCTTATGCTTAGTTAAAACAGTCAAATGATGGAACAGAACCAGGAGGTTAAAGACATCAGTTAAAGGTGTTAATTCACAGTGCCAGTCTGCATCACCCAGAAGCCTGCAGAGTAATACAGCAGAAACAAATTGCTTACTGCTAACCTGACGTACAGCAGCTGAGGAAGCCTGTGGGAGGAGGGGTAAGACAATAAAGAACTCGAAACGGCTCCTGACAGCACTTCTCACAGTTGGATGGTTTGAACTCTTGACAGAAAGAAGCCTGCACATGTTGTTTTTCTTTTCCATTATTCTTGTTTTAAAAAAAAAACGGTTTCTTTACTACACCCAGTGAAGCTAGTGCCCGGGCACTGACTGAAGGGTGTGCAATTTATTTATTCCACACGTTGGTGGTTTCCAGACTGCGGTGTGCTACTGTTGCATAAGAGGGCTTGCAATTTTGTCTCATGTAGCTTGTAACAAAGAACTCAACTCACACACATACTGTATATACAAGACATGAAAACTACTGAGAATACTTGAACAAACTAGGAGGAATTTTACAAGTCATTTTTTTCACATACAGCACGTCACACAATAACAGTGATGGCACACTGATTCTCTAAACTAGAGAAAGTTTCATCCCACATTTATTCACTCAAGGAAGCAATCTGTCTGACAGTTTGCTCTGGCGTGGGCTGACTTCATTCAGAGTCAGAGATTTGTTTGGCGTTTTCAGGAGGGAAAGACGACGTCAAGGTGATTTTTTTCCCCTTTGGTTGAAGAAGCACGTACAGACAGATTTGGAGAGCAGTCGTCTCTCACCTCTTGCTCTGAGATGCCATCGATGATTTCTGACACCTCGTGCTCGCTCCTTGCTGCTGATGACGACAGGGCCCCACTCCTCTGTCCGACCCTGCTGATAGACAGCCACCTCAATTCATACCACAACGCCACACAGTGGTCCACACCCAAAGAACCTTGAGAGGGTACCCCCCAAAACCCACATATTGTATTTGTACACACGTGCAAGAGTACAACTTACTTCTAGCAACAATGAATGCACAGCATTGCTCAACCCCACATATGTGCTGAGTAGAACTGGGCCATATTTATACAACCAGTGCTGGCGTTTAGCATAGGCAGGTCTGAGGCTACCCAGTCTTGGTTGGCTACTGCCGCTTGACTTCAAACACACGAGCCAGAGGTACAGCTAAGACAGTCTTAAGCCCAGATGAAAAGACCCATTACAAATTATGATACCAGCTTTTCAATGTAGGAAGAGGGAAAAATATAATCCATACAGAACAGTAACTTGTTACTAGACAATCCATAGAGATAATGAATGTTTTATTTTTACTTTGGTATTCATATTAGAATAAAGCAGACATTAAAATCCCTACAAACAGCTTGAAGAGTTATTTATTAATGTGAAAAACACCCAAAAGTCCAGTCTGATTACATGCAGAGGTAAGAGGTTTTAATAATGGCAATCCAGAGAAAGCATTAATGACTCCTAGGCTCAATCACTGTAATGACCTCTTACTCAAACTGTCACAAGAGAAGAAACATGGCTTTTTCATGATCAGAAGACAGTTAATAGCCCTTAATGTATTCCTGCCACTGTGCCAGTTAAGAATACTTTGTCTCCAGCCCATAGTGGGTTTCAGATGCAGAAGGTAATGTGAGCTTCTGAGAAAGACTTTCCGAATGATAGGATTTTTAATTTTTAAATCAGTCTGCACCTCTAAAGACTAAAAAAGTTATTTCTGAAAGGAACAATACAAATACACCTTTGTAAAGGTACAGAACACAAACATAGTGTAACAAATGCCCTATTAAAAAAAAAGGTTTCTTTGCAACAAACAAGCCTTTAAGAAATTAAACAAACTCTTGCATAAACTTGCATTATTTCAGGGCCCGTTTGCTTCCTACGGTGGCCTTCACAGAAGTTCACGTACAGCAAATCAGCATGGGAACTTCACCTTCTACCCTACCGCATGAGCCCCAAGCATGCCACACGTCCACCTGTGCTTTCACAGTGCTCCGAAAGACACATTTCCCCATTTTATTCTCAACAGATAGGTCAAGGTCAGCACGCCTTCACCGTGCTTTTCTACACGACGCAGGGATAATACCATGGCTACCGCGGCAAGCTTCTGAAAGGTCAGCTGATTGGGGTGCCCCCCACCCCACCCCACCGCTCGACTGCCACGCCCCGCCACTCACCTCTGCATGCGCTCCTGGAGCTCCCTCTGCTTGCGGATCTCGGGGAACTGCTTCTCGTAGTACTCGCGCACCTTGCTCTCCTTGGCGCGGCGGCGGGGGTTGCTCTCGATGCGCTCCACTTTCTTCTCCCAGGCTTCCATCAGCTGGTCGTAGCGCTGGCAGAACTTCTGCTCCTGCTCGGAGGCAAACGTGGGCTGGGGGTGAGGTCAGGATTCTCGGGCGCCACGCCCCCAAATCCACCCACCCAGCCTCTAACCACTGCATCCAATTCGGGGTTCGCGAGGGAACTGGAGCCTATACCAGCAAGCAACAGGTGCAAGGTGGGGTACACCCTGGACGGGACGCCCCCCAGTTTTCCCAGAAGCCTATTAACTTACTAGCATGTTTCTGGACCGTGAGAGAAAACCCACAAACTTACTTCGGTTTTTAAAGAATAACTGTCCATTATCATCCACAATAATAATTTTCCACAGGCATTTCTGAATTTTAATGAAGTTACAGTTTTGAGGTTGAGGTTAATTCCCCTGGAAAAAAAAAACACAGGAGGATCTTCAGCCAAAATGTGTTTTTTCCTTTGTATATCTCAGTGTGGAATTCACCTTCACTTTTCCCTACAAATTTAGCCAACAGCTGAAATGAAGTATATATGTATTATATATGGTGTTTCCAGGGGATGTTCCAGACAAATAAAAAAGAAAACCTCTTGTCCTTTACGAAACTGCTTCAGAAAAATGGTGTGGAATAATGTATTTCACAGCATTTCCAGGTGTTGATTAAATTAAATCTCGTTTCCTTATTTAGGTAGAATTCTTTATGGTAACAGAAAAAGACTGTTAATCTCACAGTTTTGCGGTAAGATCTTATTAAAAAACGCAGCAATAATATTAACACTGTTCTGGTACATCCCCCAGATGTGGCCTTTCCCTTTAAAGAAGACTGAAAGCTGAAGTGCCCCTCCTGTGGTGTGTCGAATCCTGTCCCCGAGACACCGGAACGAAACGGTAGGTTCCCTTTTCTGCGAGGAGTTCAGCTCGGGACACAAGTGCCAGTTTCACCTCAGACAGACTGCTCTCGACTTCCCCCACTGCTCCTCTCGCACGACTCTCCGCTGCTCTGCAGAGTCAAAACTGCCCAGGCACGAGCAGGTGGGTCGAAAACACTGCCAAAGGGCCCCGTAAATGCCCCGTAAAAAAAAAACCGCGAAAACTCCCTTGGGCAGAAGGTGAAATACTCATCCCGGAAATTAAAATTGCAAAATCGATTCCGTCCAGAGAAGACGAAGTAAAAATATCCAAATGAGTCAGAGCATTAGACAAAATCAGCCCGCTTTCTAGGTCAGGAGAACAAAACTACGGTAAAAATAACAAGTAACGCTATGAATGAAAAATTAAGAAATTGAAATAATTAACCTTTCCTCTCAATGGCTGAGAATATTTATGCGCCAACTTACAGTGCATACTACGTTTGAGTCGTGCCAGTACAAAGTGAAGGGGGTATGTAATATATAAACACAACTGCCTGATCCAGTCTTTACAGAAGAGCAGCACAAGTGTCCAGGCCATGAAGATATATTCAGTTATTCACAGCCATTCCCTTTTAACTGTCACAGTTAGCAAGATACTATTTTCCAAAGACGAACACTTGCACAGTGTGCCAACACCAGGTCAGCAGGACATAGCAGCAGATTACAAGCAACAGATCTGATCTGACTCGGGTAGAAGCCATGCAACAGTGTGTAAAAAGGCAGATCATTAACCCAAGGAAATAAAGAAAAAATGAAATTGCTCAGAATTGACCTGATATACAAGCTAGGAGTTGTCCTGGGTAACTACAGTATTTGGATATCAAATTGTATGACTGACAGTACATTGTAACTTGCTCTTGCTTTATTTGAATTTGTTCTTATAGAAAAATATGCTTATGACATCCCTATCCAATTGTCCTTGTCCACACAGCTCCTTGCCAACTTCAGTTTCTTTAGAAAAAGACTCAAAAAAAGGGAAGAAATTAGGAAGAAACTGTTTTTTTTTTCTAGGGAAACCTCCTTCTCCAAACACTGCTCTAATTGAAAGTGCTGACCACATGCTTTTCTCTATCTCCTTTTCCTTCAAACTCAAGTCAGAGAAAGAAATAATTGACAGCCCTATGGATTTTCTGTCAAGAACCGCTGCATTTAAGATTTCTGTGTGTCTGTTTTTGTATCGGATTTGGACAATCAATCTCTGCTGTATTTATAGCCCATTAACCACAGCTTTTTTTTGTCACAGGCACACTCAAGGTCTAAAGGCACGAGCCATACTGTAGTCTACTAATAGCACTAGTAGGTCATAATCACTCAACTATGTTCTTAGTACAGCTAAAATTGATTTGTTTGATCATTTTATTTTAAAAAGCAATTTAAAATGCATTTTAGAATAAATAAAGTCTTACCAAGAACACCATTCTGATGAAGTCCTTGTTTATAATGTCTGGCCTAAATCAGGGCTGCTTCTGACTCAGAGTGAATTTCACATGATGTGCTTAAGACCCAGTCTGGTGTTTAGCAAACTTACCACAATTCTTTCTGTCTTAAAGGAAGGGCAACCAAGACAAAGCACCGTGAGTGCAGTCTCATGTTTAAAAAGGGGGAGGGCTCTGACTGCCACAAGAGTCATAGAAGAGGAAGCTCTATTTAAGCGAAAGTTCAGAAACCTTGACTTCCACCACCTAACAGAGTCCTGGAGGCCACATCAGCAGCAGATCATGAATATGACCCCACAGCCGAAGACGAGCAGAGAACTCGACTATCTGACAGTCACTCCAAGAGCACTTTTGCCAGCAACACCATCTCGGAACATTCCCCTCTAATGATTTCTTAAGTGGGCTCTCCAGAATTAGAAACACAAATATTTCTGATTTATGGAAGTTTGGCATGCAGTCAGCTCCAGGTCTTTTCTCAGAAATACAGAAGTGATAAAATCAGCACATGTGAGAGGACTACAAGAGCCCAGCAGTTCTTTGTCTCTAATCAAGTATCTGTTTTCCAAAAGATGGAAATCAGCTGATCGTGGCTGTAAAGACAAAAACTCACAGGGGGGTTTACCCTTTTGTTTAGGATTTTAAATCCTGAGGCCATAAAACAGAGATAAAACCACACTGATTTTTAGACAGATTTAGATTTAAGAAAAACTGATCAACATTTACAATCACCACCCAAACTCAGAAGAACAGATTACCTAATGCAGTAGAACTAGACTTCTGGTTTTTACGACCTCTATCTACACCAATAACAATATGTTGAGCACAATCTGTGTTTAAAGAGCTAGTTTGAAATTTTTTCCCCTCCGTTTGTGTTTTTTCTGCTGTGCTGTTGACACTCACCCACTGCTTACGAGCATGGTTTCTTCTTTTGAAGTACAGAATTAGCTTCTTCCGCATTGCCTGGTTTCTAGGAGAAGAAAAAAAAAATCAATGTCATGTATCCGCTGCCTGAAATACGTCAACAGGCTTGATATAATTTTTTAGAAAGCAATGAACTGAGCTTCCTTTGACTTGGAAGAGCGAGAAAGGGACAAATGGCAAAGATATGTTGCTCCTCATCAATGATAAAATAAAAAGAAGAGAATTGTTACTGCATCCAAGGTTAGAGAATGGGCCTTTGTTTAATACAGATCGATAGAGAAGAACACACTTGGAAACCATTTGGCAAAGCTAAAAAGAAGGGTCAAATAAAAAGTCTATGCCAACTATATATATTGTTATATTGGAATTTCTGTAACTGTACTCTTTAATGACGTGAATTTTTTGAGTTACGGACCTTAAGAAACATCTCACATTTTCTTATAAGAAAAAAATAATTTGCTTGCTTAATTGACAACTGAGTTTGAAACTAAATCCAGAAGATCCTAGGCTCACCATGAACAGGAGTGTGACACTCCTGTCCTAAGAAGATTCAAACACTTGCTTCACTTATTTTCCTAAGAGTTACAACAATTAATTTCTCAGCACAAAGCTACCGAGATTTCTCTCATCTTGGACCTTAACAACTGATTAGGAATGACATTGAACAACAAAAACAGAGCAGCATGTCCTATTTTTAGATACTTATCGGCAGGTGTCTCACAGTTTCTGAAGTAATAACTGACCAAGAAATGAAACAATATATGAAGATAAGAACAGTTACAAGCAAGAGGGAGCAATTTGCTAGGCTGTTTGATATAGTTAATAGCTAATTGATCCAAGGATCTCTTCCAGCTGTTTCTTAGAAGCCAGTGTACCGGCTTCAACAACATGGCTGGGCAGCCTATTCCAGACTCTCACAACACCATTTTTACCCTCTAACACTGCATTCCAGCCCAGCAAGACATCAGACAAATTATACATCATACAAGCAGCACAAAATCTTTTCTAGGATGTAATTTTGTCCATTTTCCTATCTAGAAATGGACTAACATTACAGTCTCTCTGGTTACTGGTTCGAACTACTCGTGTAACTGTATAAGGTATTAATAGTGCCAAAATAAGATGCCAAACCTACAGACTACAGCAGATCTGGAACAACTCTCACAACCCTTTGGGGAAAAAAAGTGCCTTTTGTTCTCAGGTTTAAATGCATTTCCACATAGGTTCCCCTTGTGTTTTATGATTCATGTTTCACTGTTCATGAGTTTGAAGATGCTGAAAAATATATTAGGTCGCCTTGCAATATTCTCATTTCAAGGCTAAAAATATTTTTTTGTCAGTGTAGGACATTTCTTAAACCTCAGAACGTATCTGGTTGTGCCTCTCTGGACAGATTCCAGAGCAGCAATAACATTTCTTGGATCAGGTGAGCAAAATGATATACTGTACTCTAATTGAGACCTTACTAGTGCTTTACACAAATTTAACATAAAATTCCCTGATTCAAATTCAAAACATTAAACTCTATACATCCTAATCTTTTATTTGCCTTTGAGCATTTAAGCTTCCCCAGACTCTCACCTCAGTCTTTTTCAGTAGTAGCCTCTTCTAACTCAGCATTTCCCATTTTGCATGAAATGCTGAAATGAAAATGTGAGCTGCAAAAGCTTGAGCCAATGAAGGAAAACATATGTAAGCTCAATGTAACTGTCAATAAGTAAACACCTTTGTCTATTCTTATTGCGCTCTGTTTAACACTGCACGGAAAATCTAAGTGAAGCGATTAGAAATCTCACTCTGATCTCCTGGTGCGACTCTAGTAAAGCACAGCAAAAGCACGTGGACTGGAAACAGAGGCTGGAAGGAGAGAACTTCTTGCATCTCAACTTTCAACTGCTGCATCTTTACGCACCTAATGAATTTTAAACATTTAGATTGCATTGCTGATTGCATTTTTCTAAGCTTATGCTTAGAAGGATGTAGAAAAAAACTGCACTGAAAACCAAAAAGCACAAATATCAATTCAAATGAAGGAATGCAGAAACAATTCTTATTCCTCATTTGCTCCCCAGGAGGCTGAACTTTGTAGTGTGTAGACATATAGTTTACACTACCCTACACTCCCCCGCAGATGGAGACTCTCTGACATTGCCTTTGTCTATGGTTATAAAAATAAATATACAATATTAATAATGATCATGTTAAGAAAAAGCTATTAGGAAAATTGTTACTATTGCTCTAAAGCAAAAAAAACAAGGTCATTTCTTAAACATTCACATAAATGAAAGCTTCTAACCAAATTTTAAATTGCTCCTCTCCACGTGGAACACCCCCTGCCACTCCCTACAGCACATACCCCAAAGGACAACTGCTCGATCGTCATAGCGTAGATAGAAACTGTGGAAACTCCGTGTTTTCTACTGTAGTAAAGGCCTCCTGAACCTCTGCCAATCCCCAGACATTTGTGACAGCACAAAGTGGATGAACTTAAAATAGCTCAGAAAAACTGCAAACCCGGGGTAAAACAGCCTGCACTTAAAGCTCAAATTTTCAATTAAAGGTCACAGAAGTAATCAGCTTATAAGGAGTCATTCGTCTCAGGCTTGGCAGAAAATGGATTTTTTGACACTTAATCTCTGTCAGCGGTAAGGTCAGGTTCTACCTGATTAATGGAATCTTAGTCCACATTAATTACTTCAATAATGTGGCCATAACCTGCAAAGCTGTGTTTGCCTCGAAAGAGATGAATGGAAAACCTGACGGATATCAGCATCACACGACCACATGAGCTGAACCCAAATCCTGGTGGGTTTGGATTTGGAAAGCATGGTTTGTGGCGAGGAGATAGCTGAGAAAAACAGCAAAAGAGATAGAGCAGCCTCGTCCAGCAAGTGTCTGGAAGAGACTCATGGTTGAGAAACAGAATTTTATCAATAAGGAATGAGACGGCACATTACACATAGTACTGCCTATTTTATGTAAGAGGCTTTTCAGTGATGCTGCACCTATTCTGTAGTTTAGAGTTAAAACTATTTGAGTTTACATCCGTATGTCAAGGCCCAGAAACGAAAAAGGTAACACCACATATTCACCTCCAGGGAGTACATTTCTGCTTATTTAGAGATGTCAAGAAGAGCCCTGTTGTTGCCTCTTGAAGCACCATAAGTCTAGGACCTCCAATACTCTTCCATTCCCAGGTTCACCTGCTCTGTGCTCATGACTTTCGCCTCGTGAGCCTTAAGGTTTTAGGAAGGAAGGAAGGAAGCAGCCATGACTGGGAAGCAGAGAACTGCAGGGTGAGTCCTGCTACTCCTCTTACACGTCGGAAGATGGTGCCAAGAAAAATGGGTGGACAAAGCTCTGCCTGTTCGGTGATCAAAGCCCAGCTGAGGTATTTAGTAACAGAGGCCTTCATAGAAACTGCTTAGACCCAATAAGCATGAAGATCAAAGGGCTGGAGCAAAGAAAAAAGTTGAGGGTAAAAGCCAACGAATTGGCACTTGACCAGTCGTTAATTAATCTCTTCTCCTAAATAGACCAACAGAAGTGGCTTTTCCTCTTCAACCCAAACGTCACAATGGATCTTTAGAGACAAGGGCATCTGTATTGGAACAGCAGAGAGAAAGACTGGGTGGCGGTGCTGACCACCGGTCCAGTTGGATGATCAAGCACTGCTTCTGCACAGTGCTAAGGGCCACCCCTGGTGGCACTAGGTTTGACGAGACTCGGGGAAAGAGTGGTACTAGTGTCTTGGGGCTAAAAAAACAACAACCAATGTGTCACAATTTTACAATGTGTACAAAATCTACAATTGTCATCAAACAAAGAAAAACCTTTAACCCTATGCAGGACCTTATCAAAACAATGTTCACAGAAGGAGCTGGAAGACTTCGGGAAACATACTCGGTACACGGCACTCGTCAAACAAATATGGACTCTGGTGTTCAGCAGGCTGAAATTGTCTCGACCTTGGCGACTTGCTACAAACTCAAAAGGCAGCCAAGCATTTTGTGCCTAAGTGCGATAATTCTCACTTCTTCCAAATTCAGCTGTGCCAGACAGGCAGGATCAACTTTGCTTTGATCTCCTGCTTTGCAACCACAGCTGACACCTATAATGCCTTAAAACACATGGTGAACCATTACACTCAAGATGACTATGAGTCATGCAACACATCCATGCAAAAGAAGTCTCAGATTCTCATTCAAAATGTGCGTGTGATTGTATGCGCCCTTATGCACACAGAAGAAAACACTGCCCTTTACAATGACCTATCATGCTCAGCCTTACATCACACACTTTTCAAACTGGATCATCCCAGAAGTGGAACCCTTTCAGAGTTTTCAGTGCTTTGCATTTTTTCTCTTTCTAGGTTAGAAACCAACAGTATCTATTGTTCAGGGTTAATTCAGGGTTATACAAAACAAATCCAATATTGTTGCTGCAGGTTGAGTTTTGAAAATGTGAAAAATAATGTCCCTTATTTTAGGGATTTATCATCTAAGTTTTATAAATTGCATGTAAATAAGCTGCAGATACCCAAACGTATGTAACAGCATTAATCACACTTTTATACCATATCAAATAAACTACTGTAATTTCACACATAACCTTACCCCAGTTTGCTTGCGTTAGCATAATTTAATATGACACCCGTGTTAAAGACACTAAGTTTAAATCTTCTCTCATTTATCACGACCAATCTTGCACAACGCAGTCAAGAAGCATTACTGAATTAACAATCCAATTTGCATACACTTGCATATAAATCAGCAGAAATGCTGGGTTCTATAACGTAGCATTTTTCCTCCCATCTCCAAAATCCAAAATACTTTTAATTAAACAAATCTACTACTAAAGTAAAATAGTTGCAATACAGACATGATAACCTGAAAAAAGTGGTTTATGGATTTACCAACCCACCCTTGAGAGCTGGAAAATCAAAACTCTAAAACTGGAATCATTAAAGATGTTTTCATTCTCTATTACAAGAAAAGGGTTTACCACAAGCTAATTTAAGCACAACTGACCCCTTGGCTAAGTAAAACAAACCTCAATAAGCAATTATTTATGTGGTTTGAAATGCTGTGGCGCTTCAGAATACATTAAAAAATAATTTTGTAATCTGGACACATACAACAGAACTCTAAGAGCATTTTGGCTTTCAGAAGGACTGTACAAAAAAGTCAAGCTGAATCACAGCAAGTGCTTTCGTTTATTGAAAAATAATTACACCCAAAACAGTAAAAAAAAGGTACTGTGCAGTGGGCATTTCGGGTATTTTTAGAAGCAACTGCTTAAAAGAAATTGACAGGATTCTAGTTCAGCTTTAGAAGATGAGAAATCAAAGAGCCAACATTTTCTGCGTACATCAAGCTGACCCCTAACCTGACATTGTGGATTATCACCACATACAGTACTTACATTTTTATGTTTTCATGGTACTGCTTGGTGTCTGAAGGCTGGTTGTAGAGTGGCTGGAAAAAATGAAAAGATGAAAGCATGAACAGAACAGTCAGACATTTCAAAGGGCATACTCTATGGATCTGAAAGAAGAAAGTTTGTTTTCATCACAAGAAGGTTGGGACGCATCTGTTCCCAAAAATGTTAGTTTCTCTTAGCGAGAACTGACATTTGTATTAAATGTCTATCCTACCTACCCAACTATCAATCTATTTGTGTGCTCATTCATCTTTTAAAATTTAAATCTAGTCTACTTCAGCAAATATAAAACTATAGCGCAATGAACTGAATGCTGTTAATAGATTTAAATTCCTTGTTTGTGGTTTTTGGATGATCAACTGAGAGATATCATTGGGGAGAAAAAAGCTCTGTCACTATAATTCAGTCTGGAAAGACTTCAGACTTCAACAGCTTTCCAAGAAATCATTACAAAGCATCACAAGACACTGGAGACCGCTCCTTTGGGGGAACAATGAGTATCATTCTGGGAGCGTGCCCTGTACACCAACAGGAAACGAAAAATATTTCTCTGAAATTGAATCTAGACATTAAGAAAAAAAAGGAGTAGTTCATACAAACTTGATAAAAATAAGTCACCCTATAACCACCATATCTGGCTGTGATATGAGCCAGTTTCCTTTGCAAAACAAAATATACACTAACATGACTCACATTTCACAGCTACTTCTCTCGACTGTCATTATGTCCCCAATACAGAGAGCTCTGTAGTAGCCTACGAGAATTTCCTGTTCATCTTCCTCCTTGGGTCTGTATAGTGTTTTTCTCTTTCCATGCGGAAGGAGAGTTCCACTTTGTCCACCAATAGGGCACTGTCCCAGCAGCCAACTTGCAGACAAAATTAAGGCTCAAGGAAGGAACGCGCTACAGTACATGAATGTGAGGAAGCATTATTAATCATTATGAGTGAGAAATCACTTCGCCAGTTGAGAGAGCCTCACAGAGGACAGAGACTACCTACTGTATGACGTTATCAAAATGTTAGACTTAACAGCCCTCCTTTCTCAAACCAGGTTAATGGGATCTTTAAAGACCGTGTAATATGGACCAAGGCAGCATGCATAACCTCAGCTAAATCTACTGTGAACCTTAAGTTTTAATTGATTTTTATAAAAGTAAAACAACGGACAATTACTGCAACCATAAACGTTTATGTCAGTGTGCGGAATTGTCACATTTGTAAGTGAACTGCTTTTCTGTTGCAGGCAGCTGCTCAACGAGATCTTCGATTCAACAGCCTAACTTGTGAAGATAAAACCCTTTTTCTGGTTTGGGGTTTTGTTCCATTTAACACAGCCCCAAATTTGTTTTGTTTTTATACAACTGCGTTCCAAACTCTTCTATGCAGTTTACAAGTCAATGACAATGGTACCTCTGTGAATCATTAAGAGTTTCTAAAGATTCTTATCTAAAAACAAAGGAAAAAGGTCAATTTACAAATCGGATTTCTTCCGAATTCAATTCACCTTCTGGAAAGGTTTGTTTTGAGAGTACTGATAGTTCTTTTTCCCTCTTGCATTTGGACTGTATTTTTAACCCAAAAGGTTCCCATGGGGGAGGAAAGATCCATGTTGCCCACTACTGAGGTGTTGCTCCCACCTCAAAGGTACAAAAGATAACTTCCCAGTCAGACTCCGAATGCTGTGAAACTTCCCGAGATATCACTGACCACTGTGGAGCATAATCACTACTGCTCATTTCTTAGTGGCTTGAAAATAATAACATAAAAACCGATACTGATAGCCCTACTTCTAGGGTTGCTTCTAAAGACAGCTATAAAAGGATATGGGAAGAACTGTCCCCTGCAAACATGCTGGGGATACACAAAGTCATTGTGGATTCCCACATCTGGATAAACACACAAACTGGCCGAGTGCTATTTTACATCCTAGATATGTTCACACAGGCTCAGTAAAGAATGGGAAAGCGCGAGGCATGTGATCCAGGGCAGAGCAGGGCAACCATGCATTCATCTGGCTTACCCCTCAATGTGTTATCTTGCAAGTCACGGGTCTAACCACAAGCAATATCACCAGCCTAGCTACTTACACTTCAGCAATCTCCGCCTGTTCAAACAGCCCCACATGGCCACAGTTTATGAAGCTCCAGTGTGTAGTACAGTGGGACAAAACAATCTAAACCTCTCAAGTTGGCAATCTGCTCAAATATACTGTACCATGTCTGACCAACTTGAAAAAAGCTAAATGAATAATTTACTTTTTTGGGTATTGCACTGTTAAAGAAAGATATACCAACCTCAAAAAGCTCTTCCTTTTTTAAGATAACATCTTTATAGCTCTAATGTCAGAGGCCATAATTAGTTCTTGGAGACCAGCACCAGCATATCAATCATCATTGTCATAATACTCCCAATTAAGCAACAATCAAGTGCCACACACCATGCAAACCACTGTCCTGGCACAACAAACCAGAAGTTGTACATCAATCAGAAAAAATGACAAAGCCTTCCTCTGGACAGCTCAATCTTATTTCATCAACCTCAACACCTCAGTAGCCCTTCCCCTGCCAGACTGTTCCAGAGTTTTCAGAGGGTTTTTTTTTTTTTGAGACTCTAAACCCACAGAGTAACTTCCTCCTCTCTACACACAGCAACTTGTGCTCATCTCAGCGAGACTGGAGTCAGAGTGAAACAGGGGGCCGGGCGAGTGTCCAGCACTTTCTCCCACAGAAAGAGACGCGCAACTCACCAGCTCCACGCGGGGACCCAAGCCTTCCAGGATGCGATGGGCTTCTTCTGCCTTTTTCTGCCCAGAATGAGGAGAAAAAAAAGACCAGAATCAGACAGTTATCACTACTTCTCCCCATTCGCACAGTGGTAGTACTGTGGCATTAAGAACATAATCCTGGACGTTAAATGCCGCTAATAATTTCACCTTAATCAGGGCTACTGTGTATTATGATTATAGCTTTAAACAGAAAGCACCCCTCTACACACACAGCCTAATGCAGAGAAAAGACTTGTCACCTTCAGAGTGAGTACTGAGACGAGACAGCACTGTAATTTACAGCCTCATCCGGTACAGACCTGCTGACAACACCGTCAGCGAGGAGGACAGAGGAGAAGCCCTCGTTTTCCCTTTGTGCTTTACAGCGTTTCCGCAGGTCAAAAACTCTCTCGCGCCAGATCTGAACGGACGAGCATCACATACGGTACTACCAGCACCTTCTCCTGTGTCTTTTTTTTTTATTTCAGCTCCCACAGCCTGGTACTGTCTCTCCCTCACCACCACTCTGTTCATTCATTCAGTCGCCTCCCCTCAGCGACAGCTGAATTCTCTTTCACTTTCCATCCCACTTCATTTCCTTCAATTACCTCAGCAGTATCAGACAGAGTGAGAGAGATAGCTGGAGAGCCCGTTCGAGAGAAGAGTGGGGGGAGTGCAGATTGAGCAAGCGAGTGAGAGAGAAATGCCCTTTTCTATTTTTCATCAGCCACTACCCCATGTGGTTTTGGTTCAAGTGCTAGGTCCCTCCTCGCTGCTCAGAACACCTTGAGCTCTGGAGACAAACAAGAGCAAGTGTCACAGACAGAACCACAGTTACTAATCAGTGCCAGCGCAGCCTACACAGGGTCATCGCTGGAGTTATTCTGAATAAAAGATGATTTCTGGTGGGGTTTTTTTTAACAACCCAGCTTTTTTTTTGTGCTAGAAATAGGACAGCCTCTTCCCTTTTCTCCTTCCAGCCCAACAACACATCGCTGCACTTTAAGGTCAGGGAAAAAGAGGAAGACCTTTTTTTTTTTAAAGAATCTCTTATACATTTTAACTCTGGTATGATCAAGGTCGGGTAAAGTTACAGGGATAGACAGGAGGGTAAAAGCATGGCAGTGCGCAGACAGGCGTAGTTCAGCACCATACCAAAAAGTGCATTTGATTAGGATGGGAAAAATCCTGGGAAAACATGGATTGTCCATTGCTCTTTACATTCAATCAATCATGATGTCAATTGCTGCATTCCATTGATTCTGTCTTTGGGCCACTGCTTTTTATCACTTATATTCTTCCTCTTGGTCAGATTACTCACAAACTTGGTCTTCAGTTCTATGGAGATGATATTCCGATTTAGGTTAAAACCTCTTCCCCCTCTGATCCCCTGCCTTTCTCACTTCTCTCGATGCGTGATGGCCGACATTAACATTTCTTGTAGCTAAATGGCGACAAAACTGAAATTTTACAGCAAATGTCAGCTGGAAAAGCTGGAGAGCTACACAGTAATTCACTTCTACATTCAACCATCAGCCGTTGTTATGCTCATTGCTCACCTGTCTTTTAAACCCCATGTGAAAAAATTGAATTAAGAGCTCAATACACACAGTGTCTTATGACTGTCATGCAGGATGGAGAAGGCTACGTCATGTTACTTTAGAAAGGCTTTCGCTTATTATTTACAATACAAATACACACAGACAGTATACACACCTGACTGCAACCACAAAGCACCAGTTTGGACATTTATTCAAAATCACACAAATCTTCATAGAGAAGTAGGAAGTAACCGGTTTGAAAAACTGTCAAATTCAGCGACGGAAGCAACACCCTGGTAATGTTTTGCCAAGCAACAAAGAGGCAGGAATTTGCACGGTATCACATTCCCGTAATAGAAAATATTTTCAGTTTTAAGGACATCATAAAAGTTCCAGCCTTACAGTAACAAGTCTCTTTCTCATCTGTTTCAGCAGTTCCTCAATGCAAGTTCTGCACCTGCTGAATCCTTCTCCAACCTCTAATCTAATTCAAGCTCATTCAAACTCAGAGGATGTTTCTGCTTGGTATTTACAATATAAATACACACAGACCGTATAGACACCTGACTGCAACACACCAAGCACCAGCTCAGACATTTATTCAAAACCACACAAACCACGCAAATTATAGCACAAGTCTCCAAGACTGTTGACACCAGCGCTCTACTGCAAAGCCCGTTACAACGATTTAACAAAGGCCAGTTTGCTGGTGAAAAAATAGCTTTAGCCACAGTGCAAAATGTAATGCACAAACATCAGCTTAAAAAAACAGAGGAGGCTGCTATAATCAAATCCACAATAACGCTGATGTAAATGAACCCTGGTCGTAAGCTTGATGTGCATGCATTTCAGTAAATAGCCCATGCCAAAAAAACTGTTTAAGACATAGAAGTGATAGCGTGGCCCCCTTGTGGCCAGAAGTGCTCTTACTACTACAGCTGATTTTTTTTTTTTTGATGACTAACATTCTTAAGGCTGCTTGTCAGCCTCAGAGGAGATAATCTACGATCAGCATGTAAAAAAAGTATTAAAGAAATACAATCATCATACTCAACTTAAGAAAAGGTAACTAATGTATAACAAAATACAAGTATTCTAATGAAGTCACATAATACTGTTAAGAGAACAGACTTTGGCCTGCTTTTTCCAAGAGTGGGTTGTGGTTTGAATTCAGGATCATCTGTGGTTTTTGTGCATCTAATGCAGATTGTGTAGGGGTAATGCAAGTAAAGCTGAATATTGAATAATGAATCACACCATTGCACTTTCTGTATTTAATTCTCTAAAAATATTACATAAGATAAAAAAGTAACAAGTTTTCATGATTTTGGAAAGCTAAGGGACTGCTTGAAGAGGCTTTTTTACTCAGTTACTTCAAAGCAGATGTAGTACATGTGTAGTTCAAATCCTAGTCTGGCCAAGTCACTCTGAATAAGACCAACAGCTGATGAGCACTCGTCATAATCATTGTTATTATTAAGGTGTAACTCAACATACTGAACTACACTGATATAAATGGAGAACAAGAATTTGGACTGGTCAGGGAACTGTCCCACTATTTAAAGAAGATCAACACCTATCCTCATCATCCCCTCAGCATCCAATGAATGAGAAAAGTTGAGCCTACAGTAGGTCCAGATCAGTCATCGCCTGCTAGGGCACCTTATGACTTATGTGACACCCCGGCGCACAGAAACAGGCACACCACAACACACCTGTGCCCCCTCATAAAAAAAATAGTAACAGAACAGAAGCTCACAATGAATTGAGACCCTGTACCTATACATAACCACACTTGTTGGGGGAGCAGGGCATGCAGACTGGCTATTTCAGAGAAAAAGGAAAAAAAAACAATGAATCAGAAGAGTCGGGCAAGATGCTTCCTTAAAATAGTGTGCATGTCTTGAAACAGCCACCCTCCCCTCAAGAAAAATAAAAACAAGGGCTCTGTAGATCGAAGACAGCCAGAGGCAAACGGCAGCACTATTCCCTGGAAAGCCTCCAGCGCCGTTCTGCAAATACTCCCAGAAGCTGCGCCGGGCTGAACCCTGTCTGGCCTGGTTTTATTTATAGAAGTGTGGAAACGGCTTGACGCGAGAGCGGAGCTGGCAGAGAGGCGAGGGTCGGCGAAGGGGGACGCGCGGATCTCCAGGACCGGGGGAAGGCCCGGGCAGGTCCGTTTTTCTCCCCGCACCAGCGTCTGTGCCGCAGTCCCTCAACAACAGCCATCCGTCTTCAACACCTTTGTCTCTCCAGACCGCCGTTCAGGAAGGGCCACCAAAGCCACCTGACCCCCCTGCTTCTGCTTCTAACGCCTCAGCTGAAGTCAATGTCCCAAACCTCCACCACCCTCCACTTCTGCTTCCTTGTTTTGTCCAACCTGCCCCACGATCTCCATGGTGCCACCCACACAAGACGAGATGTACAGCTGCATATGTGAAGCTACCTGTCTTGGAAAAGACTGTTTGTGCAATGATCCCAAAACCTGTCCCCCATAAAATTCAACTCTGCAGCTGCTTCTATTCAAAGGCATTTGGTAATTAGAGTCCCTTATAAGAGCAATTAACCTATCACTTCCAGCAGCCCAGCACAATATACATTATCACACATTACCTTTTTTAATCACTCATTAGTGTTTTCTCTCTAATTCCCAGCTTAGCACAGAAAGGTGAACGACAATATGCTGCAATACCTCAGTTATCATATCCTCTGGGAATGAAACTCCATTATCATTAAACCGAATGATTTTGGAAACACATTTGGAAATTGCATGAAGGGTTTCCGAGGTAACCCTGCCTCGCGAACACAACCACTTGGGGTTCCCTTAAGCTATCGGAAGCAAATCAGCAAAGAGGGGGCGTAAGGCTACCATGTCTGCCCCCGTCAGGCATGAGGTTTGCCAGTCGGCTGTCACTCTTACTCAAGCTCCTCAGAAAGGAGCATGTATTTTATCCTGTGTTTGACAGCACTCCAGTAATTTTATCACCCCATTATGTCACCCAAACGACCAAAAAACAATACAGATCATAAGGCAGGTAAAGGCAGGAAAGTGAAGTAGCTTTTTCATTTGGGTTAGCGCATTCTATATATAAAAACCACTTTAAACCATTTATACAAAGTGAAGACTTCAGGCACACTTGACCTTAATTTCATTAGTGACACTTCAGTTAACTGAGGCATCATTACGCACGCACCATTCAAAGTGTGCAACGCGTGGCCATCCATTTCATCTCCCCTGTAACCCACAATGTTAGCATTGCTAAGAGGAGCATTGCACTGGAGAGAGCAGGAAGGTCACGCTCAGGGCCTCGGGTTTATCGGTATCCGATACTGTGTAGTTATGCAGCAAGCTCATGATGCTATGATGGCTGACCCCCAACAGCCCAACCCTGCCAGCCCCATGCCCTTTGGCATGTCGGTACTTAAGGATCCTGGCTACAGCCAGCTTATGTCTTCACACCAGTTTAACATGAAACAGACTGCACTGATCCTCCTCGGGTCTCGGACCTGCTCCTCTTCCTACTAGGTTTTAATCAAGGAGTAACTGCAGCAACTCTGTTTAACATAGCACGATGAAGGCCAGCCAAACTCATAAGGGGACATCCCCTTGCGTTTGCAATGATGGCACTGATGACAGGCCCGCACTGGCACGGAACTTGGGGGCAGCTGACGTGGAACAGTGGCTGCACTGTGCTGTGCTCAAACCACCCCATGCATGCGAAACAGACTGCTGTTCAGACCCTGAATGGGAAGGCTCCTTCACCTTGCCGCCAGTGATGCATTTTAACATCAAGAGGTTTAACTGGCAAAGCAAAACCTCCAGAGGCCATGCGATGAGGTCAGATAACTTAGTTTGCATCACAAAGAGCAGTCTTTAACCCAGCGCTGATGCAGGGAAAGATTTCTATGCATTCAGGTGTTGGCCTTGATTTTCGGATGAGTTTTCCCTCCCCTTCTTCTCATACGGAGAGCGTTTTCAAAAGCCCCTTGGCTGACCAGAATTCTTTGTGCCTGTTTTTAAGTGCAGGCCTGTCAAATTTCCCCCTAATCTTTCCAGGTTTCCCCCCCCTTTGCCATTCTAAAAGTCCAGCGCTGTGCAGCTACGGATCAGACCGGGCCGCCCAGAGGTGTGCTCACCCGGTTCTCGTCGTAGATGATCTGGACCAAGCTCCGGTGCTTGGCCTCGCTGGGCGGAGGGGACAGAGGCCTTTCCGGCTCCTGCGGTTTGGCAGCTTCCTCCTCCAGCTGTTGCTGTTAGAAAAAATGATAAGAGCATAGCAGAACAGCGACGTTATTGAAGTTCCTTCAGTCCATTTTGTCCACATGCTGTCTGCTGCGCTATGAACTCCGCCCTGGAAGTGTTGGCATTCATTTCTTTTTTGTTCTGTATTATCTTGCAAAGGAAGGTAATCAATGGAGCTTAATGAGCTGATTGCTTTGGAATCTACAGAGAAAAGTCTTTACAGAGGCAATGCAAGGAGATATGGTAACATGCTAATGGGATTTGTTTTTTTAAAACATTTCCAGATATTAATATATTAACTATATTATAGTAAGCTACAACAGCTCTTGAATCACCATTCACCGTTCCACTAATTGGACACAGACTATTTCCAGAAGCCTTTCTTATCCCAGGTCCAACATTACACAATACACGAAGGGCCTCTTCCATACAAGTCACAACATTTTTCTGGAAAGAAACACAAATTCGCTCTGCTTCGAGAACGTTTCCAAGGAAACCCCTCGTTTTCATCCACTGCTTAAACCTCCTTGTCAGCAGAGATGCTGGCTGAGAAGTGATAAAAGGCAAAAAAATTAATTATTTTAAATTGCTCTTAATTCCACAGGGCTCCATTAATTAAAGGGTTTCCATGGCATTATATAAACAAGCTTTAGTGACAAATATCTGAGATTGCCTTGCGTGAGCCTGGTGTTGCATGGTGAGCACATTTTTGCTAAATGAAAATTAATGTCTAGAAATAATGAATATTGTTTTAAACAAAGGCAATTCTTTAAGCCTTAATCATTCCTTATTACTGCACTGAACAATGCATACAGATTCATTCTGCTTTTTTAGTATTTTATCCCATTTTGGGGGAATTAACATTCCCGAAGAAATTCAAGAAGTCAAAGACCTTAATAAGCATTGCTTTATTCTTCAATTTGGACATGTTTAGCCACTACGTCGTTTGTTTCTTTTCATTAATTTAAGAAATGGTGTGAAAATAATTAAATGGTAAAGTGCCTCATATTGCAAATGACTTCTTCAAGGACATTTATACTGAACATTGTCATGTCTGTTTCCATCTACAACAACTAAAATGTAGTATCAAAATACTTTAGAAAAATCCACACTTCAGATGAAAATGAAAATGGAATTCATTTTGAAAAGGAATCAAAATGAATTCCATTTTATATGCAAATTATAAGCAAAAGAACTTTATATAAATTGACTACACAACAGATAGAGAATCAAAAAGAAGCTATTTCTTGCAATATCATGAAACACCACCTACTGTATAATACCACAGATTATCCACACAGTTTAAGAATGAACCTAAAGTATATTCAATTATATTGCTTCTATCTTTACAAATAAAGCAGTCTAGGACACTGTAGTATCTGCTTTCTAACTCATAAATTTGAGCTCTTTTTATTTCATCAGCCAGTCTTCACTATAGTAAGCAACTGCGCCTTTGAGGGGAAAAAAAGCAAGTAGTGTGAATAAGCATTAATAATTAAACAAATTGATAATAAATTACACATCATTAAAAGAGGGGGAACTTCCAATAGCTATCTTCTGCAGTGACGCAATGTAACAAGGTTTAATAGGGCTTAAATCTCATGGTGTAATAGCCTCCAATTAAAAATTACTGAGCGTTTTCCAACTCAGAAGTCACATGAAATATGAACTCTACATCAAAGGACACCTTCTCCTCTTTATAATGACAAACCGGACTGCAGTGTAGCCCTGAGAATAAACCACATCTCAGTATCTAATGAATGAAGGCAAAATGAAGGGCTTCACTTTCATTATGAGGATGAAAATAAAAGGGATTTAAAAACAGGGCTTTTTTGCCTAACTCGTAACACATGCTTTCCACTGACACATTCCTGCAATGACAAGATGTGTACTAAATGCAAAAAAGTAATATTTGCAATGGCCAAGTCTGATGGTTTTGACTATGTGCAAGATGCTATGTTTTTTGCATATAGATACAAAAAGGTCTTTCTCCATTCTACACTGCATGGCAATCTCTTCGCATCTGCAATTACACTGTAGTCAGTGGAGCAGAAGAACCACTGTGCATCTGGAAAGGTGCAGCTGAGCTTTTGGATGAGCTTTGGAATCTACTGGTTTCCTCATCTCTGCTGCTGTGTTCCAATGCTTTCCATGTTGTTGTCAAGGACTGCACCCACATACTGTACTGTATATGCACTCAGCTCTGGTAAAAGCCCACCATCTGTGGCTCATATCTATGGAAAGCAGGCTCTTAGATTCAATACCTGTAAAACACATTGACACAAAAAAAAGAATGTTTAATAATCCTGGCCATTCAGCCCATTTTATTCATCAGGTAATTAGCACCTGAGCTATTTACGAGACTTTAAGAAATTAGTGCAGACATCATAAAATCTAAGCAAGGCAGTACCCACCATCCCCCATGGTCTCCAGGCCAGAAGTGAAAGAACAGACCTGGTTAGGGATTTATTTTAACATACTGAACAGCTGCAATCTCTCGAATGCACTCCTGAATAAATGGACATTTCTTTCCCATGGTGCATCACAACTTTACCCCTGCCAAATAGCTGAGCACCTCACTCCTTTGGCCTCCAGGGGGAGGATGTGGCAGCCCTCCTATGCCAACACACACTGTCAAAGACACCGGGACAAGGGAAACTGGGACTTAAAGAGAACTCCTGGTCTTTCGGCTTGGGCTAGCAAAGTTCAGACATGGATTAAAGCTCCACCTGAAGCACTTGCTGTTTCCTGAGGTTTAAAAGTATCAAAAATGTACAAATCCTGCTTTTCCAAGGAAGCTTCTATGCAGACTCAAGGTATACCGATTAGAACACTGTTAGTCAAGGCCTAAGCTGTGAGCTGACTTCTCGAACTCCTGCCCCTTCTCCATGTGCTTGAATCCATCACACCGAACGCCTGCCCAGGAACAGATGGCAGCAACTTGCTTCCTGAGCAAGGCCTCACAAAGGCACCCTCCCACTCCATGCGCAGCGAGCACGATCATGCAGGCAACACCACCTCAACTTGCTTGGATTAAATAAGTGATGTGCTAACCTGCCGCGAACTGCAGGAAAACAGTACTGAATCAGAACGATTAATAACATCCAACAGGTAGATGATGCATGTACAGTAGCACACACCCTGGTCACGATCAGTCTATTAAAACATCCACTACAAAACTTTTTTTGCCATACTCATCTATAGTACAGTATTATCTGCAAAACCATTTAAAAACCATTTAACCAACCCCTCAGGACTCTTATAAAAAAGCCCAGCTTTAAGAATTGACTAGTGTTTTATGACTACTAAGAAAATGCCAGGCAAGGATATGAACACAGTGCTCAGATGCCAAAATCCAACAAATTTTATGTTGATGGTTTTATGTTAAATTTAATTGTTTAGCTCACTGCTGCAGGCAGCTATCCAATTCATGATCCACAGCTAGGAGGACGTTCACTAATTTTACAAAATCATAAAAATTTACATTATACAGTCACAAAATCATTTAAATATTAATTCCAGGCAAGAAAATACATACTAGTGCTAAATTCTCTACAGTGGGGGGGTTAATTCAACTTGATGTAGAAAAGACTCCATTACGTTATTGAAAAGAAAAATGCCACAACTTTCTGGGAAATGTATTTATGGAAAGTTACAGAGTATATGACCTTAAAATGATAATAAAACATTAAGAGTTTATGGAAAGGATTCCCCTCACTGGTCCTGCACTGGACAACACATCCATTTAGCTTGCAAAGAGTCTTTGAAACCGTGTGCTCCTGAACACAGCTTCAGGCACAAAGAACAGCTGGTCAAAAGCACAGGAATGTAAGGAATGGACACAATTTTGCTCAGCTAAGAGATATCCTCAAAGGGCAGCCAACGACTGGAGATCCTGAGGCAAGTAAGCTGTGTTTCTGCTCCCAAAGCCTGTATACTGTAACTATAAGCTGGTAGTCGCTTCACTGCCGAATAAAACATTCATTTTTGTGGACTGGACACAATGCTTACACAATAGGAATGGCCTTTGACCAGGTATCGACACACAGGGCGCAAGCAATCCTCTCCTGTTATCTACTACCCAGGGAAAAAAAATACAGTGTTTGCATAAAAAAAGGATGCATAACATACAGTCTTCATACACGTTAATTTGGGAGACGTCATTTTTTTTTTACTTATTAACTCAATAATAGAAACACCTCAAGGAAATGATTTAATTTGAGCCAGGGGCAATACTTATTTGTTGGTTTAAACATACTGTGTCCATTACACATCCTGAAGTTTCCATCAGTACAACATGAATTTGCTTCAGATTCCCATCACCCCTTCTGTCATAAAAATGCGCATACAGCTCGTAAGGAAACTCCTGTCTGTTTCCTGAAGCGCAGTTGTTCGCTGTTCGCCTGTCCTGTCTGAGGCCAATGATTTTCCATTTATAAATTAACTAATTTTGTGTTTAGCTACATTCACGTGTACTTTTCGTAGACACTACAGAACAGTAATATGTCAAAAACTAACTCGTACAAAACAAAACAACTGTAAGACCATACATTTCAGAGCTCGGGGATTTCAGAGTCACTTTTTAGTTGACAGATTTTCACGTGTGTGACTAAGGACTAGAATACAGATATTCAGGGACTGAATTCAAAACAGCTCTGAGCTCAGGTGAGTCAGGTATATCTGCATATTAATATTCGTTTTGCATACCACACCAGGTTTCAGGAAATATTTGAAAGATGTGGTAGAGATAGTGTGTGTTGTGTGTACAGCTGTGGGAACTCTTGCAGGGAGTTACACTAATGCAATAGTTTTATTACACACCAAGGGACCTGCAATTCTCTCTCTGACATTACAGGGGGTAGAATACCTCATTACAATGTCAAAACATGACGTTGTATTAAAAAAGGTGCACTCGTTGGTATACCCTGATTCCGGCACGCTACACCTCTGATTGTCATTTGGGAGGCAGCTGAAACATTGCAGTTCGAGACGCCATTTCAAAGGGGCTGCAGAAACGGGGTCAAACCTATTATTAATCAGGCAAGTCAATTTTCATTTACAACGAAGACCTGCATACTCCTTTACACAGCAGGGAACTTCCTAGTTATCTGCTTTTCTCGTCATCAAGCATACCATCCCATTACGGTGTGTATAAAAACATAAGGAAGGACGCACACGACGGGAAACCAATCGTCCCATCAGGTTCATTTGGTCGTGCGGAATTAAGGATGCGAAGATCTCACACAGCCATTTCTTGAAGGAATCCCAAGTATCAGCTTCAACCACATGGTTGGATAGCTTGTTCCACACTCCCAAAACTCTTTGGGTAAAGAAATGTTCCCTAGCCTTGGTTTTAAATGCCCTTCCACATCGTTTCCACTTGCATCCTCTGGTTCATGTTTGTGATTTCGGATGTGTGAGCTAAAAGGGCTCGGCAAAGCACTGTCCTCTCCCATCCCTCAAACACATAAGAAAAGAGAAAACACGGCAGTCAAACTCGCATCTCCGCATCGGCAAAATACAGCCGCGCTGTAACCTAAATCCAGGCCTCTCTCCCAGAACTATTAAAATAAAGCTTTACCACACTTCTTAATTGCTCCAGATGTTTTAAAGCTTGGGGAGGCAGGGGGGGGAAGAAGGTAAATGCAGCTTAAAAAAAGAAGTTGTTTTATTTTATATGGTGCCACAGTCTTCTCCGAAATCCCTTGCTAAGCCCCACTTCTCCCTCCACCCCCCGTCTCCTTCTGTACAAAATACAGGTGTCTTTGATTTATGAAACTGTGCAGTGAATTGCTGCCAAGTGTGGGAAGGAGGAATGGGAGTCAGGCCGTATACACCACTGGGAAGAAAAAAGCCCATTAATAAGAAAGTTGCTGCGGAATGCTGTTTTATAAAACATGACATGGCACACAGCCAACGGGGAGTCAGTTTGGAAAGAATTTGAGTGGTTTAACAGGCACAGAAAAAAACCTCAGTCGTAATTTCTTGCTCTTCTGGGAAGGTTTTATTTATGGAGTTATACATTTTTAACCTAGTTTTTAAAAGTCACTTTAATTGTCGTGTTCAGACGCAGTGCTCGGGCAGGGAAAAGAGCTATTATTCCAAATCACATTACCGCAATGCAGCGGCTCACGCCGAAATTCACACACTTCAAGACGGAAAGCCAAAGAAAATTATACTTTTCAAGAACTATTAGCCTCAGCTCCCGGGAGTGTTTTCTGAACTGCTGGCAAGGGAAGTAAACGTGGCAGTGTTAACCCAAGTCTCGGCAGGTTCCAAATCTTCCCGATTGCTCCACAGTACGTCTGTTTATCCAAGCGCCTCTAAGGTACTTGCACAACTAGGTGCAAGGAGCCAGATTTAAATTCTGACTTACAGCACTTCCACAGCCTGATGTGCAAATCAAGTCAACAGCACATGTGGCCCACAGATTCACAGGAAGCAGAGCAGGTCTGTCAGGGTGACGGGGGAGAATGCACCTGGTGTTTTTGGAGGTTGCTAATAGCCCTACCCCTCCACAGAATAAAACTGTAACTGGATACAAGAGCTGTGCAGCACCCACCTGGATCATTTGTAACACAGGTGCTGTTCTGACTGAAAGCAGGGCTAATAAAACTTGCTAGTGGACAATATGCTAGCTTCTATCCAAGAGAATTCATTTTACTTTCAAATCTTGTGTCTTTTATACAACTACAACTGTCAAACTCTCATATTTGTTCTTGCATAACAGCCTCCTTTGTGCCTGCATTTTTGTACTAGAATGGAATTTCTTTGGTAAACTTGCTTAAAAATTGTGTTGCCTATAAAATGCTGTTCTTTGTAATCGCTTGTAATCTTAAAGACTTGTGAGCTTCTTCCAATTTACAGCATGGAACACTAAAACACTCGTTTGGCTCTCATTACAACTCTTCTACTGCTATTTAAGTTCTATCTGAATCCATCTCAGCATGACTTGGGATAAGATGAGATTTACTGAGGTGATGTAAAAAGTGGAGTACACCAAGGATCTCTACTAGGACCACTGCTTTTTTAAATTTAGATCAATAATCTAGATTATGTAATAGTCAAGAAATTAGGTTTGAAGATCATACCAAATTAGGGGAATTATCAAACACCAAAAAAGCAACTACTTAAAGATTTAGATGAGATTCAAGACTTAGAAAACACTTGGTAGATTACAGTTAATGTATATACGTGCAGGGTTTTGCACACAGATAGCAAAAACAAATACAATGTGGGAGAAGCCAAGTTAAAAGAGGCTACCTATGAAAAAGACTTGTGTGTTTAAGTTGAGACACTGTTTACATCTTTTAAACAATGTGGGGAGGCAATTAAAAGGGCAAACAAAATATACATATATTTAAAGAGTGGAATTTAAATCTAAGAATGTTATGTTAAAACTGCATAAACACACAAGCAAAGCATCTTTTAGAATAATGTGCACCATTATGGTGACTACACTATAGAGAAAATATTGCTGCCCTGGAATCAGTCCAAATAACAACCAGATACAGTACATTATGTGGCTAAATGGAATTTTGTACACTAACAGGCAGAAGAAATTGAACCTTTTCAGTCTTCAAAAGAAGATTACGATGGGACCCAATTCAAGTATTTAAAATCCTCAAAGGCATTGACAAAGACGACCCAGAGGATTTCTTCAGGATGAATAGTGAAACAAACCAGAAGGCACAAGTCAAACGCATGGGGAGGTGCATTTAAAACCTAGAACACCCAGATAAAAGGGCTGAATGAAATCCCTGATTTAATTAACTTATTACCAAATTGGCCATATGGGCTGAACGGCTTTGTTTTGTTCGTAACCTCTACACAGTCGGCATGTTAGAATAAACTACAGTATAGAAGAAAGACAGAGAATTAACCAGGGAACAGAAAGTAGGGGCGTTCTAGGAAATGGAACTGCACTATAGCACCAACCTGTTTTTTTCTAAGTTTGCAGATCTGCTGCTCCACCATAGTGATCTCTCGATCCACTCGGTCCATGTTTTGGATCAGCTCCTCCTTGGAGAATCTGGCTGGTACCAGATCAAGTTCACCGTCCATCTGGGCTGGACTCACAGGGGAGATGGGCTCCAGTTTCCCAATTGTACTGTTCCTCTCCTAGAAAACAACAAAAAAAAGGTTGATTGGAAACTTCAGAGATTCACAGTCATTGCTCAGCAAGCCTGTGAGGCTGTCTACAGCACAGTAAACTACCAGAGGTTGTGAAAATGATTACACAGCACATGGTACTTGTGCAACCAAACCTTGGATGCATTGCAGACTGCTTCTCCCAATTGCAAAATAGGACAAAGACATTATTATGGCAAAGAGAAGCTTCTTGTAAGAAGAGGTTAGAAGTACTAGAGACGACTCTTCAAAAACAAAAAGGAATCAACCCCCAGCAAAAGCAAGAGCAAGAGTAAACGGTTTCCTTATGGCTGTTGGGTTGTTTTCCCTGTGACACCTTCTATAAATATAAATCTTTTACGTGATGGCCACCAACCCGAAACAGAACTCTAGGACAAGCTTTCGTCAAACATTTCTTAGGTGAGCAAGATACCCATGTTCCTGAATGGAGAACCATGACTGAAAGCTGTTCTTCCCTACAGACAAACATACAATAAAGATCAGTGCTTCAGGACAAGGGCAGGCTAATGACAGTGATCACTCAAAAAAATTCACATATGAATCAATAAATCCTCCAACTGTGCCCGAGCGAGACATTTCTTCACAATGTTCAAGGACAGCTTTCATAAGCCACTGTATACACTTTTGCGAACAACAAATATTCAGCTTTAATTCACTTTGACTAATAATTAAACATGTTATAGCTGTACCACTTATTCGATTTTGCATAAAAAGTATTATTTTCTTTGTACATGTATGCCTACTATAATTAACTCCAGCAAAGGAGATGCCTTCATATGCACCCAAATACAAGCACAGACGCATATAAATCAAATAAATGTTGATAAAACACACAAATAAAATTTTGTTGGAAGGTGGTTCACTGTAGGTCAAGCAGGCCTAACAAAAAATTGCATGAATCAATTTCAATTTCAACACAAACCCTTGATTCCATATTGTGGTCCAGACCACATCAAATGAGCAAAGAAAATTTATGACAACTTGTTAATTAAATTCATGCAAATTTACTTAAATTAAATAAAAGCTTCCATGTTTGCATGCAGCTCAATCATCAGATGAAATGCTAGCACTGAGCAAGCACATATTCCTTCTGACTTGGAGGCGATTAAGTTTAGATCCTGAAGCAAGCACAGACACCACATGTCTGAACCTGTGGCTCCTACTGTACTGCAGCAAGGTCAGACTGTATGTCGTTAAAGGAACCAGAATGCTTACAATATTACTACAGTATCTGAGACCTGAAAACATACAGCAGGACAGCACAAGCAGTGTAAAACCTCTCAAATCAGGAAAACAATCCCTGGCTTGAATTCAAAGGCAGGCTTACCCACCCCAAGAAACCAGGGCTCTGCGGATCTCTCCCAGTGGGGGTGTGCTAGGTGGGCACTGTCATTCACTTCCTCCTGCAGGCTGTGGCCCAGGAACGCACCCCTTTCTCTCAGAGCCTCTTCTCGACTCACCCAGAATCACACTGCAGCTCCCTACACTGTTGTCCCGCCCCACAAACCCACCACCGAAGCCTGCCCGGCTCTCACAGCGGAGCCGGTTGAAAAGCATCACGTTTCAAATTTCGACGCCATTTTCCACAAGCTATGATGGTCAACAAAAGCCTGCATTTTAATGGATGTGCTTCAGACTCAAAAACAAAAATAGGATACATTTAAATTCTGATTAAATTCAAAACAGCTCCTGCCTGCCCATGCTCCCCCCCTGTATCTTTAGGGGTAAAAGTTTGACAGAAGTTGCGTTTGCTGACCTTAACTGAAGTCCAGTTAGGTGCGAGGTGAATAGTTTTTTTTGGGGGGGAATCAGGAGCATAGTGTGGTAATTCTAGCCCCACAGGAAGCCTATCCTCTAAATGTCAAGGGGAAAGTCATTTTATGCCAATATCAGAGACAGAAGGGTGTGCAAGTATCGCCTGTCTTTTACAAAAAGCCCAAGCCCTGTCATGCAGCATTAATGGCCTGTACTCGGAGAAACTTGTTGAAGGACAAGCAGTAGGTCAAAGCACAGACCGTGGTCTGTGAAAACCTACGTGTCCATTAAGCACAAGAAGAGAGACAGTTTTACAGTATAACTGTGACCCGGTTAAGCTATGCTTCATATTATGTTTCTAACAGCTAAAAACATTACCAAGTTACCTATATAAAGTTTCACTGGATCCTTCTGTGCTATAAAAGCTGACATTACTTACACATTACCAGGATGCAGGATTTACTGTGCACATACACATTACATAAAGTAAATTCCTTAATCCTGATGAAACTATAGAAAAAGAAAAAAACTATATAATGGAAGGATTAACAGATTAGATTGTGTGATTTGATTAAAACAATTCTAAAAATGTTGTACTGTGATCGTCAAACCATTACACAAAGCAAAAGCACATTCATCACGATTAAAGTCCAGAAAACACGAGAATCACATTCACGCCCCTGTAGTTAGTGTTTTGTAAATCTTCCCCTGGCAGGGATTACACATTCTGGCACATCTGAGGAAGGATTCCTCCAGGCAGAACTTCTCCAGGTTTTTTGGGTAATCTCACACACACAGAGTGTATATTATCTAGATTTATGTATTTCAACAAAAAATACTTTTAGTGTACACACTGTACATTTTGGGGAAACAAACCACTCTTCATTTCTGGAATTCATGTTATAAATGCTCGTCTTGCGTGAAAAAAACAACACAAGGGCTTTCAGAGGTAAATAATTACACTTTCAAAAACCAACTGGTTTGCAAGATCTCAGCAATCTAATATCGCAATTGGTACATTTTTTATATTAAACAGAGAAAAGATCATTGTATATCAGGACTCATCTACTGTATGTGCATGTATAATTTTAATTGTACTGGTTTTAAAATGTCAGGGCTGAAGGGCCAGTGTTAGGGGGTGTTCAAAGGTTGTCACTTTAAGAGAATATAAGAAAGGTTACAAATGAGAACAGACCAGCCTGTTTGGTATTTTATAGCCAATTGATCTCAGAATCTCATCAAACTGTTTCTTGAAGGAAACCAGGGCATCAACTTCAACAACACAGCTGAGTAGCCTGTTCCAGACTCCAGCATCAGAATTCTTACTCTCCAATACTGCTTTCATTTCTCAATGTGTACAAATCCCAGTTATACAGAGGAGGACAAACTATGCAGGATCATGTCAAGGTTATACATTCCGGCTTTCAAAAAAATACTAACAGTTCCACGTTAAAAAGTATTGAAATTAAAGCTCACACAGTTTTCATGAGGCTTCACAAAGTCTGAAAAATAAGGGCAGTTTTAATTGCATTTTTTTTTATTTCTTTAATGGCTCGAGCTCTCCTTTATCTGTGGAGTAACCTAGTTAATGTGCATGCTTGCCCAGAGCCAGAGCAAAGATGATAAACACAGAGAGAGTGTCTCAGAGGAGCAGCAAGCCTGTCACATGTCTAACTTCAAGAAAAGGCCCAAGGACACTGCCACTCACTTGCAACCTTCAGAAAGTTACAGGCAAAGCCTTATCCAATCACATGTAAGCAATCTGACATTTGTGTGGTTATGACTGTTGACAAAAAAACAAACATTTAATTACTAAATGAGTGATTAAATGTTTAATTTAGCCATGTTCCGGTGTATTAGATAAGGGTAGATAAACCCGGAGGACACCTTGTTTGACTAAAATGAATAGAGAGCTCTTGGTGATTTGGGGCTCTTCATCAGAAGCACTGTTCTAAAAATGTCCTGGAAACTATGTGGTAATTAATTTCTCCTACTCCCACAAAAAAACAACCTGATACTGATTTTTTACAACTGGACCACTGAGCTGCAGTCCCTTCTGTATCAGGCATGAAGCTCTTCCTTAATTACACCGGTGCCAGGGAATTAAGGCCTGGTGTTTTTCTTAAACTTGATTCTTCGTAGTATTGGTTTTCAAGAGATAAGCATTTAGTGAATGCTTTGCCAAAATCGTTTCATATGTACAGTGCTGTGGGCCTCTTCTGTGGTTAGAGGGATTTTTTAAAATTATAGTTGCTAGTAACGTGTATAATTCAGCCCTGTCTCTCATGGTAGAATCATTCATATGTCAGCGGCATATAGAAATGTTACGGAAGAAAAAAAAACCTTATTATCAGATGCCAGAATATAGAGAATCTGGCTCTGTTAAGGAACTGAGAAAACAGCCTACCCATCACTCTCACGGACTGTCGTTTTTTCTGTTAATTGCGCTGCAGTGCTCTCATGTGCCAAACAAGATTAAGCTGACCGAATCCAGACCTCTGACAATGATCTTTATTTATGTTTCCCCAGCAGTGTCGTTCCCCTAGATATATATATATACTGTACGACTGGCTACCAAGAAGAAAGGAGGGTAGGAGTGGGAGGAGCTGAGACAGAAAAGGGGCATTAAATTATTATCCTTGTTAGTGATTTTCAGAAGCTGGGTAAGAAAAGGAAACGCGTATTTCACATGCCTTGCTTATAATAACAAATCCAAAGAATATCAAGTGATTGTCAATGCGATCAGGGATCAAAATAACTGATGTTTCAGGCAGCTCAGTAGTCCCTGACGAAACCAGAATGGCAGACAGGGAACCGCAGTCTTGATTGCTAGACTCCTGTCAGGACCAAACAGGCCATCATGCTGATTGGAATCATTTTTGATTTGTATTGACTTTTCAGCGCTTTTTTTTTTTACAGTATGGCAGCACTGCCATTGATTATACATTGGGATTGGAAAGCAAAGCACTACTGCTTTAATTTACAAACTACCACAAAATACCCTTAGCAGGTCTTTATTTAAAAAATGTCCTTTTAAAAACTGTATGGCTCAGTAATCAGAATGACAAGACAGCCCTCTTGAGACACGTTCACCAAAAACAATTTATTCCAAACAAATCACTTAATGTGCTGTAGCTCTGTAGTAAAAACCAAAATCTGTTCAACATGAAAATAAATGGAATGGAACACAAGCTTCATAAGGCCTTTTTTATATA